CTCAAAGGATAGGAAGGCCAAACATGCTGCCAGTGGTGCAGTGGAGGGCTGGAATCTGCCTGAGTATATGCCTTCTGAGGACGTAGACCCCGACGGCAGGAAGCAGGCTCTTTCCACGTGGCGCTGTCAAGTGAGGCAGCGCCTACTCAGCAACGCGACGCTGTACCTGGAGGGTGAAGCGGCTGAACTGGCCATCCAGATCGAACGCGGTGCAAACGTGGGCCGCACAGTTCACCTGCACATTGCTGGGGCACCACACACCGACGTGATTGCAATGAGCTCCATGCGAGCTTTCGCTGTGGATGAGGAACGACAGCTGGCAGTGTTCAGCCGTTGCCTGGAAGTCCCGCTGGACATTCTCATCACTCACGGTCCACCCTATGGCATTCTTGACAAGTTCGTCGGTACGCATACGGGCTCGAAAGCACTCGCGCGAGCTCTGGCTCGCTGTTCGCCGCCCAGTGGGCGTGCCCCTTCCTTCCATGTCTTCGGGCACGTGCACAAGCAAAAGGGAATGCAGGTGGGTGCTACGCTGCCTTTGTCTGATGCAAGAGGTGCTGACCGGATGGAGCTGTCCACGACCTTCGTCAATGCAGCGTCTGTCACCGGCATGAAGCATCGGATTCGCGACGACCCTGCTGTCATCATGGATGTTCCGGTGACGAGTCTGGTTGCGCACCTGCCGAAGTAAACCCCTGTCACTTCCATGCTCCATCCGGCAGTGCAGTGTAGCCCAGAGATCCTTACACGACGAAGTCCCTGAAGAGTAGCATAGTGTACCTGCAAGGTTGTAAGGGGCATATTGGGGAAATTAGGGTACCTTATTGGGGGCCTTTACTGTATGGGAATCCTATTATTTGGGGCTCTATTTTAGGGGTCCCCTATTTTCGTAAACCCCACTGGTCCTCTGCGGTCCACAGCCCAGGAATGGGTACTGCCCCGTCTACGAAGCGCTGCTCCAGCACATGAAGGTCAACCGCCTGTTGCCGGGCCAAGTGTACCCCAAAACATATTTTGAACTATACGTTATATATATATATATACATGTACATGAACATTTACATATACATATACATATACATATACATATATATATATATATATTTATAGTCTTATGGCCATATTATAGCCATAACCTTTTGTTTTTCAAGTTAGCAGCGCCGTAGGCCCAAAGAGCTGCCAAGGCTTGAGGTGGGCTTGGGCACGCAGATCCCGGACTCCTTGAGTTCCATGGCAGGCCACCCGGCGCTCCCTTTTTGGGTGGGTTTAGGGCTTAGGGTTGAGGGCTAGGGTTTAGGGTTTAGGGTTTTCAGGGTTTTAGGGTTTTAGGGTTTAGGGTTTAGGGTTTAGGGGGGCCCCCTAGAACCCTTTTTTGGGGCAGGAGTGGGGTTCCGCTGGGGGGTGCTTCCTGCTGAGGCTAGCCCGGGGAGTAAATCGTTGGTATGGTCGTCGTTAGAGTCATCGTTACGCTGCCGTTGCTGCACTTGCTCTTGTTATTGACAGTCCTTTGGTTCATGTTATTGGAGTTAGATTTCGAATGAAGATTTTCTTATCCATGGCTGCTATGAACGGGAAGGTCTGTTCGCTCAACAAAAAGCCCAATTCCGGAGCTGCTGAGGCCTGGGACCCGATTTCCGGCCGGGCGGGTCGCTCCGCGCCTGGCGCAGCTACTTCCCGGAAGCGCTCCGGTCCGGCAGTTCAGGGCCCTCCTTTGAAAAGAGGCTTTCGGGGCTTTTGGAGCCTTTGGAGGGCTTGTGAATTCTTAAGAGGCGACGAGCCTGCACCCGGCAACGCTTGAAGTGCCCCAGCTCAGCTGCGAACCGGCAGCCGAGGTTTTGTTCAGGTGCTTTGGTAGGGGCCGATGTGCTTCGCAGGTGAATTCAACCATCGATTTCGTCCTGAGGCCTTCATCTACGGCCTGGATGTCATGCCGGAAGCAAGGCAGCATTATGGGCCACGGGGTTGCGTCAGATGTGGGCAACCAGGAAGCCCAATGTGCCTGCACTTTGCACTTAATTCGTCTCCCAAGCTTCTGCAGCTCGCGAACCATGTGGGAACGCATGTGGAGGGCTGTTGTACACAATGCGGACCCTCTGTTGGAGCCCAGGATGCCATGGTCCGTGGTGAGGCCTGCGCTGCTGGTTATTGGCTGAGCGGGCTGGGGTTTGGTTTTTTAAAGGATTGCTGTGTACTCCAAGAATCGGAATCTGTTGAAAGCGGGTTCCATCCCTCACCTGACGTGTCTTGAGTTGAGACATTGGCTACGCAGCTTTGTTCACCGACCGATAGACAGACAGAGTAACGCTTGCGCGAGGCCCGAATTCGCACAGCCCTGGCAGACTCGGCAAACGAGGAGCACGTGGCCGCCGAAACCCGGTGTTAAGTCAAGCAAAGGGCTCTTATCCTTCTTTGTTATTGGTGCTGTTATTCAGGTTATTTTCAGGATATTCATGTTTGTTTAAAGACCTTTGCGGTTTCTCGCTCTGCTCTTCCCCCTCACATGGGGACGTGACAGTTGAAGCCTCGGATGGCCTACGTGAGGCCTCATGGAACTGCATATGGTGCCTTGGTGATGTTTCAGCAGCCCAGGTGATGAAAGCCTGGGGCTTCGCTCCTTCGCGCAGCGCTGCCCTTGAGGTTTTTTGACGCCGCTGAGATATTCTGGAGGTGAATTTCAGCATCAGGCCCCCTCAAGCCAAGGTGCTAAGCAACCAGTCTTATCAGTTCGCCTGGGGCATAGGAAACCCCAAGTTAAAGGGGATGATTCCCTTGAGTCCCCAACCTCGAAGCCTACCCCAGGTCGTGGTGGATGACGGCTTGCATTCGCCGGAGGCGCAGATCGCGACGCCTCCCGGCAGCAACTTCGGGATCTCACAAAGCGTGGGCCCACGTTGAAGTTGAAGATGTTGATGAATTTTGCACCCAAAGGCTTTAGTTCGTGCCGGAAGATCCGCAAGGGAGTTGCCTCTGAGCGTTTTTCTACTAAGGCTCGGCAGCCTATGGCCATGGCTAAAGCGCGGCGGGCTTTTCGTCGTGGAGGACCAGGGCAAGGGCCCAGCGAACACTGCAGCTTCAGATTTCCTGTTTTGTGAGCTTGGGTCTTGATCCCGGCGGTAAGCACATCCAGCCGGTGGCTTCTTATGCGTGCCGCGAAGCTAGACTGCAGCTGTCATCAGCTTGCCGTTGTTGCAAGCTTCGCAGTGCAGTGAGCAGCATCTTCTGCGCCCGCATCTCAACGCAAGTTACGGAAGCTTTCTGGTGGCAACGCAGAATTTCCAGGGCCCTAGGTCTCTCGGGCCGGCTCTAGGGACTCTAGGGCACACTCGCTAGAACACTCTGTGTGAGGCTTGGGTTACTTGAGGAAGCACAGAGGGTGCACAATGGCACGGGAGCCGCTCAAGTGCTGTAACAAATAGCCATGTACCCACACATACAACTACTCCCAGGGGGCGAACGTAGACAGGAAGACTCGGGAAAGTAACAAGCGCGATGTGAATGCCTATGGTCAACGCAGGGCCGCGAGTGCTTTGCGCGAGTGCTTTGCGCGAGTGCTTTGCGCAAGGGTTGTGGGACTAGACGTAGGCATTGTGTACCCCCTATATATCCTTTTACGGGTTTGTACAATCTGCAGAAAGAACCAATATACTAGACTTTCAGTACATCGAATGGCTCACATTTGGGCGTGAAAGATGTTCTGATCACTTCGGAGGTTTGGAAAGACCAACTGGGAGGCACTAGCATCGTCACGTGTGCACAGAACTGCAGCTCATCCAAGGATGCGCTTCGATCTTGTATTGTTATTGTGAATTGTGAGAATTGGCAGTGGCCAAATGTTCAGGCTTATACTATCCAGTCAGGGTGTTGACAAAGAAGCCATGGGGGTGGATCGTCTGTGAATCCAGAGCGTCGGAGGACATCAACGACGGCAAGCACATGTTGCAGCGAGCATCCGCTGCCATCGAAGGCCTTGCTGAGGGTAGTCCCCAACAGTGAAATACCTCGTGCAGACCAAGGGCCAAGCGGGATGGGTGGATCAGGGATTGCCCATGGCAGGACAACAAGAGTGCCCAAAGCCGTAGATTGTGAAGACTTCGGGGCATCTAACATCGCAGCTGCAGCAAGTAATGCTGTGTCAGAGCTGCGTTTCATGCCTGGGTTGCCCAGGCATTGTTGGGAAGGCTCCGTATTTCTTCGTGGACAACTTCTTGACGCCAGAATGAAATGAACAGCCAAGGGCTCCTGCCAGAGGTTGAATGATTGCAATTTAATTTTTCAATGTGTGCCGTTTGCAGATGGACCTTTCTGCGGATTTCTTCGCTTATGCCTGTGAGTAGGCCTGCGGTTCGATTTTCGCCAACTGCAGGTGCAAACAAGTTCCGCACCACTGTAAACACACTTCGCACATGTCGTGGCAACATGGGGCCAACTGTCATGTTCACAGCTCAAAGCTGAACCCAAAGAGCTTCATGCACTACAGACTGGCCTAACCAGAGACCATGTGGTAAGAGAGTCAAACGGACCCCTAAACCCTAAACCCTAAACCCTGAACCCTAAACCCTACACCCCCCAAACCCTACACCCTGGAAATCCATGCATCTTCGGAGTTTGGGAGCCACCCCACAAGCTACCTCCCGAGGAACCAAAGCTCCGGCCGGCTGCGCCACGGCAGTGGACTGCTCGTCCTGCGCAAGCTGTGAGCTAGGGGAAAAAGGAAGCACTGCCGGGTGTTCAGGGGTTGTGTGGGGTGTCTGCATCCAAACCCAAAGCCCCAAACTCTAAACCCCTAAACAGGCCCTAAACCCTATGCGCTGTGACATGATGTGATATGCGCCTCGACGTACGTGGAGGTCGAAGAAGGGTTACGCTACAGAGTAGCATGCAGAGCACGCGCGGAGTTCGGTCGCAAGGTTTAGGGTTGATTGGGGGGAGGGTCTTGGGGTGGCTTTGCGCCCTAATTCATGCTTTGAGCCTTGAGCGTGTCCATCTTCTGCTGGACCAAGGCAGCGAGAGCCAGCCTCTTACGGCGGAGAAGCAGCAGACAGGCATCGGCTTCTGCAAGTTCCAGGGACATGCAGGTTCTATTTTTTGTGTGCACATGCGCACGTACTTGTGGTGCAGATGTTTAGAGTGACAGGCTTCGGAGTCAGAACAGAGCACCTTGTTGCATTACTGATATTGCTACGAGGTACGATGACAATGTCTCTTGATCTGTCTATGCCGTTGCATCGCGGTATCTGCTCGCCACACGTGTGGTTGACCCTGCAAATCGAACGATGGCCCAAGGTAAAAGGCTTAGAACTTGCTCGCAGGATCACTCAACGACATGATGCGATTGTCTTCCAACTAAGTCACCTTGACCAGCGGTGTGACCATGCGTTAGCTTCAAACTCGGACCGACTTCATTTGGCAGGAAGTCAGAACACATAGCCGTTTACACCCGCTAACGGGGCAAATCGTGGGCGCAGTTGCGCTAGCTATCTTCAGCTATCGCTTTCACAGGCACTGGCGCTGCAGCCCCGGACAAGTGGGAGGAACGCACCGACCCTTGCAGTCGCATCATGTCATTCCGACATCGCTGTTGTGCGTCCAAGACACGACTTATCCACCATATATATATATATATATCTATATATATATATATATACGCGCAGCAGGCCATGGCTCAAGAACTCAGCTGCCTTGACGATGATGAACCGATGCTGCACCAGCCTGAGCTCCATTCGTCGCTTAGGGTCGGGGAGCCTTTTGGTCTATGTAGTCCGAGTATCCCTAAACCCAAAACCCAAAACCCAAACCCCAAACCCTAAACCCTAAACCCTAAACCCTCTGTAAGGGCTTTCTTATGGCGAGTTTGGGCCTCCGTTCCGACTTTCCCGAGGCCGCGGGGCCCCTTCGCGCAGCCACAGGGCGCCCGCGGCCTCCCAAATCGAAGGCCTTCGCGATGCTTTGCGTTTGAGGTGTTGGGGTTTGGGGTTTAGGGTTTAGGGTGTCGGGTTTCGGGTTTTGGGTTTGTGGTTTGGGGTTCTACAGTGAGTGCTTGGTAACCAGGTTTAATTCGTGCCAGAGCCAGCCAGTAAGTCATCCGATTTTTCGAGTTTGCGGAATGGTGCCCCGTGAACTACGTAAGCCGCAGACCGCAGACCCTAAACCCTTAACCCTGAACCCTAGACCCTAAACTTTAAACTTCCCTAAACGGTGTTTCGTTCGGAGCCGCAGTGAGAGCATGGGCCGTGCAGGAAGTCAAAAACCCCTAAACCCTAAACCCTAAACTCTAACCCCGTCTTGACGACCTGTACTTCAACCGCCAATTCCCTGCAGAGTGTCCGAGAGGTCAGCTAAGCGGGTGGCAAAAAAAACCGTGTTTCGTGAATGTTTCTGTCTTCCGGGCAGAGGAGTCGCGTGGAGGGCCGCGCCCGGAGCCAGAGCCGAGGTCGCAGCCTCAAGTGTTTAGGGTTTAGGGTTTAGGGTTTAGGATTTAGGCTTTAGGGTTTAAGATTTAGGGTTTAGGGCTTAGGGTTTACGAAGCCGGCCTTCGCTTTCTCAAGTGTTTGGACTGAGGCCACCTGAGCAGCTCGGATAGCCGGCCCCTGAACGGGCGGAGGGGATTGGAGGGGTTTTCGGAAGTTCCGAGGATGCGTCCTGGGAAGCCTTTGACCTTCTTGTGTGTTGAGGGTCTTCTGCCCTGGTATACTAGGTGGGACGCCCTTGCATTGAACAGCCTGCGTGTGGAAGCAGTCGGGGCATGCTCAGGTTGAAGTCCTCATCCATGGCCATGACTTGTCCGCTGTATGTTGAGCCGCCAGCGAGCCGCAATGCCGTATGCCGGGTTTGGCATGACAACCTACCTTCGGAACGCACGCCTGCTGTTTCGTAAGAAGCCCAGAGAAGGGGGTTTTTACAGTTTATGACAATATACACACGCACACACACATATATATATATGCAACACCGCTACGAAAAAAACAAGAAGGTCGTTTTAGGGTTCAAGAAGGACAAAGCGGGCAAACCCCCCAACTGCCCCAACTGCCCCAACTGCCCCAACTGCCTCCCGTGTCCCAGGCCGAGGGAGCGGCCGGAGCGTGCAAAGCGCACCCAGCGAGTCACCAACGTGGCGCGCGAAGAGCGCGAAGAGCTCTGCCTCCGGAATGGTCAGCAGAGTGTAGCTTTCCGGTGAACCTGCGCGCTGCTGTGCAACTCCTTGGTCGGACCATGGGCCGTTACATGTGTTCTTGTCGGGCACCGCGCATCACAAAGTCCCAAAAGTTGCCGAATTTGCATGTCAACAAGATTCTAAGATCACGCCCAGAACTCTGCAGCGTTCCGCTGGCCACGCCTGTGCTCCGAAGTCGAGCCAGGCACAAGCACGTGCAGCACGCGCAGCATGTAGCTGTAGAGCCTTTGGCAGATGGCGTTAAAAAGCTCTTGAGGAGTGTGACCTGCTGCCCCTGATTTGTTGCTCAATCTCTTGCAATTGTAAATGAGTTTATATATATATATATATATTCCATCTTTCCCATGCAGATGCATTCGTATGAACTTACAAAATCGTGGTCTGGAGACGTTCGCCTTTGGAGTTGCTGCGGGGTCTGCGTGCCAGCATCTTCCGGTGTGTCCGCGATGCCCATGTCCATCTGGCAAATTTCACATTGCTTTCTCCCACTCCCGCCACCCGGGCAATGGCGGCTCAAGCCTCAGCAGTTCATTCTACATTGGCCACACAGCGGAGCAGTCCAGAGCATCAGAACAGCATCTAAATTTCAGCAGAGCCAGACGAGGCCTTGAATATGCTGCATCATCTGTTACTCACATCATGTGTTGAAGAAGTTGATTAGAGGCTAGTAGAGAGCAGAGTGCATGGCCCTACATGGCACTTCCTGGTGCTGTTAATGTGGAAGACGGCTTGGACGCTATTGGTCATGCCTTCCATCGTGACAATGAAGTCGTCAAAACGTACAGTGCCTCAATGCCAGTTCAGGCAATAAGAGGGTTGCCGGACTCTGAGCATGAGGCTGCCTTTGCGGCGGCATCGGTCGAGGTTGGAGGCAACCGCAGGTGGCGGCAGAGGAAACCCAGTATTTGTAGCAAGGAGTTGGCTCTACACTCCCTGGGCGGGGCTTCCCAACGCACCTCAAGCAAGGAGGTCATGGCAAAAACTAGCACCCGTGCAGACATACTGATCAAGACTGGCTGCGTGGAGTCAGATTCGGAAGGGGAAGACTCACCCACAAGCCAGCCAAAAGAGCCTCCCGGCAATTGCAAAGCCAAGTGGGACTACATCATTGGAGTCTTGCAGAAGTACTCTGTGCCCCTAGTCCTGGGTGTGCTTCTTGCTTTGCTGTGGTGCAATGTGGATGAGCAGAGCTACAAGCAGATGATCCACTGGATGCCGATATCAGGCTTCACCATAAACGGCTACAACGTGGACCTGCACTTCGTAGTGAATGATGTCTTCATGTGCTTCTTCTTTGGCTTGGCAATTAAGGAGGTGACTGAAGCCTTGCTGCCTGGAGGGTCGCTATCGCCAATCTCACGTGCGTTGAACCCTCTTCTGGCTACGTTTGGTGGTGTTGTGGGCCCAGCCCTTTTCTACCTCCTCTTCGCAACGACTTTCCACGCGGCAGGTGTTCTGGACGACCCTATGTGCCTGCCAGACGATTACCATGAGAACCACGAACATGGTGAACACAGGAGGCTAGCTGGAGATGGCGGCAGCCCGCCGGCAAGTGCATACACAGCCAAGTGTAGCCTTGAAGCTGTCTTCAAGGGCTGGGGCATTCCGACTGCGACGGACATTTCGCTGGCCTGGATGTTCGCCCTCCTGATCTTTGGCCCAGGGCATGCCGCAATCAATTTTTTGCTGCTGCTTGCCATACTGGATGATGCGCTGGGGATGATTATCATTGCAGCCTTCTACCCCGACCCGGATGCGCCGGTGGAGCCCATTTGGCTCCTTCTGGTGCTGGGCGCCATGCTGGTGGCCTTCGTGCTGCGCAAGGCCATGGTAAGCCGCTGGCAGTTCTATATCGTCCTGGCTGCACCCCTCTCATGGATCGGGCTGTTCAAAGCTCATGTGCACCCAGCCTTGTCGCTAGTCTTCGTGGTGCCCTTCATGCCGGCAACGCATGCCATTGAAGCTCGAGGGCCCCATGAGCTAGGTCGCGTCTCGCACTCGCCAACCGAACAGGACGATGACTCTGTCCGAAAGCGTTCATCCATGGCATCCGTGGCATCTATGCGATCATCTGTGTCCCTTTCGCTGCGAGACGCGTATGTTGTAGCATCGAAAAGCTTGAAGAACATTTTCGGCAGAGAGGAGATGGCGCCGTTGCATGTTTTCGAACACACGCTGAAGATTCCGGTCGATTTCGGCATGTTCTTCTTTGGCCTTGCCAATGCTGGCGTCAAGTTGGACTCAATTGGAGGTGTTACAGCCTGCGTTGGGCTGGCACTTCTTGTTGGAAAGACTGTGGGCATTGTAAGCATGAGCGTGCTTGGGTCATGCATAGGTGCACCTTTGCCGAAGGGTTTGGGTATGGCGGACCTTGTCGCCACTGCAGCGCTGGGAGGGGTTGGTCTCACAGTCGCCCTCTTTGTCGCCAACGAGGCATTTGTCCAGCCGGAGATGCAGGGGCAGGCAAAGATGGGTGCAGTCTTGTCCACTGGCTGTGGAGCTATCGCGTGGCTCACCAAGGTGGTCTTTACGGGTCGGAGCGTGTCCACGCCAGAGCATGACGAAGGTGTGACAGAAGACTCCTCAAAGATCGATAGGGATGTCGAGGTTTTATTCTGCAAGAGTGCCGAACTTCGGCGGATGAGCACGGACAACTCCCAAAGCAGCAATGTGCCTGAGACAAGCTGCAACGAAACCGATGTGTGCCTGGCATCAGCTACTAGCTCACGTTCGCTACCCGACATGCTCGATGAGCTCCCGACTTGCCAGGTTTCGGGACAAGGCGAAGGAATGCTGGCCTGATGTAAAGCCGAAAACCGTCCAAGCCAACAGGTGCAGCTGGAATGCGGGCACATGCATCTGTGAATGGGCCCTGCTGAGTGCTAGTAAGGCTTAAACCGACAGCAACACTTAATTGGACATAATTGTCATGATGAGCCCTGGCAGTTGAATCGAAGTGCCTACACGGTCCGCAAACAAGTGTTGCCGGAAGTTAGGTTGCGCATGCTAATTCGTGGTTTCAGTTTCACACATGCCTTGGCTTGCAGCCAAGTAATCACATAGACTCGTGAAGTAAGTAACAGGCTCTTTTCAGGTGCAAACCTTGGCATGTGCGTCCAGATGATAGGGTCCGCTCTCCTTTTTGGCCCTTCAAATTCAAGGACTCAGTGCCTGTCGGAGGGCGATGTGCAGCAATTTCCGAGTCTTTGCTTCTTTCAAGTGCTGCAGCAGCAAGCTTCACAAGACTCAAGATTCACTGTGGATGGCCTGAAACGAAAGCGGTGCTGCTCAGCAAGCGCCTGCTGGACATAGCAGATATGGGAGACATTGCGCATATCGTCCTGAATTCAGTGTCTCCTGCTTGCAAGGAGACGGGTCTTTCTTAGCTATTCTTAGCTTATGGTGAGAAGCCAATCTGGAGTATAGATCCCAATAAACAAACAAAGCACTGCGGAAGCAGCGTGTCGGAATCTCGATAGGTTGCCCAATACACATGACGAAGCAGTGTAGCGATTACAACCAGGCCGACAGAGCAGCCGCAGTGTGCAAAGTGCATCCAGCAAGTGAACACTGCGACGAGCGAAGAGCCGCTGGAATGGTAAGCAGAGTTTCGGATTTAGGTGTCTGGGGTTGGGGGGCCCATGTTTGTGAGCTGCCTTGGACCTACTTAGCCCGTTGTATTGGCCGTGTCAGGCACCAAGCCTCAGAAAGCTCCCCAAAAGTTGCCGAATGTTGCATGTCAACCAGATCACGCCCAGAACTCTGCGGCATTCCGCTGGCCTCTACTGTGCTCCGAAGTCGAGCCAGGCACAAGCACGTGCAGCACGCACAGCACGTAGCTGTAGAGCCTTTGGCAGATGCGGTGGCTTTCACAAGCTCTTGAAGGAGCGTGACCTGCTGCAATCATGCCAGCACGTGTTTCCCCTGGAGATGCAAAGGCGCAGCGAATTTCATAAGAACTCACAAAGCCGCCGTGCTTGTTCGCCATCGGGGTCTGCAGTGGAGTCTGCTGACGAACTTTTGGACTTGAACCGTTGTGCCGGCCAGTGTCAGTCGCATCGGATGTGTAGGGGGTCTAGTAAAAGTTGGAAGATAGCCCATGTCCATCTTGTTCGATGTGATCTCACAATATGCATATGTTTGGATAAATTGAGAGCTGACCGCCCAAGGCCATTGCTAGCTTGCGTCATATGGTGATCGTGACATAGGACAGTGTCTGAGGTAAGTTGCGCACGCCCACCTTCGCCTAAAATCGATCTGCAACCCGAAGCAGCGACATTTCGGGCTTTCGGCTCAGCATTTTTGCCTTCGTAGGCACAACATGGCCGAAGTGCCAGAGTGAGAAGCCTCAAGCCCGGCAATGCAGCACTAGCCTATGAATGGCTACGTCGGAATGTATGCATGTAGGTATGCAGGTATTTCTGCACGCCTGCACCACATCCTTACGTTCTGCCCAGGTGCTGTTGCTTATCCCTATATGCAGCCCCTCTACAAGATCAAGCACCCCAACCCCCAGAGCTCATTGAGCCACGGAGCCATACAGAACTGTACGGAGCTTCTTGTAGAGCCATGGCGCAACTTTGGGAAGTCGTCGGTGGTGTCGACAAAGGCCCGTTGAGGGTTTAGGGTTTGTTTAGGGTTCAGGGTTTACGGCAGACCGGGGTTCGGGTTTCAACTACTTTCTTTTTTTGAGGGTGCTTCTTCGCCGCGTCAGGCTTCGGGATTTTAACCACCAAGTCTTGGCGTGTCTACGCTGAGGTGTCCAATGCAGAATTTCGCGTCCTGAAGGGCATGGATAGCAAAGCCTCACAGTTCGAGGGCAACTTTCGAATTAGCCACTCGCCAAGTTCTTGTACCACATGTAACAGCCTAATGGGAAAACGGAAAAAACGAGCACCGAATCCAGTGCTCAAGTCTGCCCCCCAGGATCATGTTGAGCATGACGACTTCGCATGTTTTGCCACATGCTGCGTCGTCGATACAGTGCGGAAGCTAAACGACTTCAAAGACACCTTAACCTTGGTTGTCAGCCCAGCTGCCGTCTGCGTTGTAGCTTCAGGCGGCATCCTCGTGCGTGCTGGCAAGGAACTAACGTCCCGGGAAGAGGACGTATGGACGGTGGTTATTGGTGCTAGGCTTGTACATCAATCAAGTCCGCCAGCGAATTTCGGTCCCAACTTGGAGTTCAGAATTGCTTGGGCAGAATGTCCACACACGCCTGCTTAGACGAGTTTCCTGGGCAAGTGAGAGCAGAATTTGACGCTGAAGACAGTCTCCGCAATAAAGGGGCGGGCCGTTGGGGCTGTGAGCTTAGGCGCTCTCTTTGCTTGACCCTCTGCGCAGGATGGCCGTTTGTCGACAGGCGCCCTTGTTCGCCAAGAGGACCTCTTAAGCACTCTGAAGTAGAGCACTTGGTTGGGTTTGCATTAGACCGCACGGTCTAGGCATGGCTGCCCATCTTCCACCCAAGCCTAACCATACAGTACAGGACCTTAAAATCTCTTTCTTGAGGCCCTACACCCGAAACCCTGTTCAAGGTTAAAGCCTGCCTGCAGGAGCTCATTGGCGAGCGCTTGCGGTATACCCGGCTGACGGGGTCCGGACCCAGCAGTGGCTGGGTAAGCCTCAAAGTCAAGGACCCAGCAGAAGGGGGTTTAGGCGATTTGGGGTTTCAGCGCATGACCGCCACAAGTCTGAAAGAGCCTCGTTTTCCCATGTCAGGACAAGCCCATGCTCATGAAGAGCGACCGCAAGGAGCCCCTGGAACCTCCCAAGGCAGCGGCGAAGGCGTGGTGTGTTTGGGGGGTTTGTCGGAATGAAATGACTTGTGGTAGGGTTGCGTGAAGCCCTTGTGTTCTGGGGAATGTGCGTTCGAGGCTTGAGCTCGTTCAGCCATGCTTGTGCCCTTGGCAGTGGTATCCCATCTGCACAGAAACTGGAAAAGATGGCTCGCCGTGCTTCCAGGCAGAGTCCGAAACAGCGGCCCCTTCACCCACCGCTGATCCTGATGATGGGGTTGGCGATGAGCTGACGGCTGAGCGGCTTCGGGCTTGTCGGGCTTAGCTCTGCAATTTCCCTCATGTGGTGGGAAAGTTCCTGTGTGAGTGCTTATGCTGTCATGGCATGCATTGTATGGATAGAGGGCGCCTTTAATGAAACTCTCCACGGGCTCAAGGGTCTATTCTATCGCTCTCTCCATGTGTCGTGGGATGACGCTCCCCGGTCTGCAGATTTCGGGCGCCGCACCGGCATCGACGCAGACATACAGACTTCAGAAACGCATTTCCCATGGCCCAGCACGCTTGCGGCTTTGGCTTTGGCAATTTTTTAGAGCTGTCCGGCTAGCATGATTTTTTTGTTTCAGCAACATGTGGGATCATTGGGCTCTGTATCTCTGTGTATCGGTCTTTGCATGTGTCCCTTCCCAACCAAGACACCCTGCCGCCAAGGCCCGCAGCTGCACCAGTGGTAGAGGAGGACACACGCACTGCAGCCAGCAATGTGCCCCGCCCAGTACATCCGTGTGCCTATCATGATCTCTTGGGCTCACTGCTGGCTCTCAGACACGAGCCTACGATCGCCCACAAGCTGAGAAGCCCCAAACCACCAATGTAGTCACAGTGCGCACTCGATGTAGCTGTAGCTGAGTGCGAAGGCATTCGTGCAGGCTGCACCTAACCAAGGTCTCTCTTGCGGGACCCCCAAGTCTACCCATGCCCAGGCACCTGTTGGTGACGTCAACTTCGAAGATGACGAAGAGCAGGCGCGACTGCAATTCATGGCACGGAAGTGAAGCCATGTCCGACTCTCAGACTCCTGGACCCGGACCCACACCAGAAGAAGCAGCATTTGGCAGTCAATCCTAGAACCTCTGCAAACACAGAGTTGTGCAGAGATTCGTCAGAGATGATGGTCGATGGTGCGTCGCGACTCGACACTACGCCGAATGGACCCTCAGCCCTTCGGGAAGACCTGGCTTCTGAGAACGAACTGTAGCTTTCGGTACGTTTTGAACCCTTCCGCTCACAATTTAGGCCCCAGGATCTTTGCTTTCAGATTTCATCTATATTCCCCTTGGGAATCATTTGTTATTTTTGCTTATATAAAACCCAAGAGGATATGAAAAACACAATTTTATTTAGGTTCTAAGGGGAGAAAAGTCATGTGTGTGTGTGTGTGTGTGCGTGCCTTCGCTACACTCCTCGTATCTGGGGTCTTTCTAGATGCTGCCTGAGCTCTGGCAGGACTCCAGCCCCACAAAGGAGCCGCCCGCGCCAGCAGAGCCCGTGGACTGCTCAGATTCGGGTGTAGGGTTATGGGGTTATTGGGTTATACGGTTGTACGGTTATAGGGTTTAGGGTTTATGGGGTTATAGGGTTATGAAGTTATACCGTTATACGGTTATAGGGTTTAGGGTTATGGGGTTATGGGTTATAGGGTTGTAGGGTTTAGGGTTTAGGGTTTAGGGTTTAGGTTTTCTTGTATTTAGGGCTTAGGGCTCGGCTTCGAGTCTTTCTGATCTGAGGTTGTCTGGTGCGCCCCTAAGTGTGGGGATTGTTTTGTTTTGATGCCCATTGCTGCTCAACGGTTCCACTCCCCCTTATACTAGCAGTCCTTAATCGGGATTCTAGTAAAACCTATAATAATCTTTCTTAAGGACTGTTAGTGTCCGGGGCAACATCCCAAGTAGCGATTCTTCAGCTGGCTTCTGCCATCCCGAACATAAGACGTCAGACAACAAAATGAGACACGTGTCATGGCTTCCAGGCCATGTGTGTCTGATTTGTCGAGACGAGGTTGGATGGTTTGGGGATAGGTTGGGAATGTGCCCATCTCAGCGACTATACTTCCACAGGGCAGGGTGACCACAGCTTTCAAAAAGGGTTTAGGATGGTTTGGGGATGTCTTCGGGATGGCAACCAAATTGCGAGACCTTTCCAAAGAAGCCCAGGGTCGTCACAGAGCACTGCTCTGAACTCCCACACCCTAAACTCCAAACACCCTGTAACCCCTGTAACCCCTGTAACCACTGCAATCCCTGCAACGCCTATAACCCCTGCAACCCCTATAACCCCTGTAACCCTAACCCCTAAACCCCCGTAATCTTAAGCCCTATAACCCCAAAACCCTAAACCCCCCTGCAACCCTTGTTTGTGAGGCTCCAGCCCCGGCACCCAGCGAAGCAGCGCCTGCCGCGAACGGCGAGATCGGCGTGGGCAGCCAGGCGGTTTGGTCGAAGCTTTGGGGTTGAAAAGACTCGTGGTTTGTTGGGCTCACGGGCCGAGAGCTCAATGTAGCAGCGCTTAGCTGAAACGACGCAGGATTATGTGCGCATCTGTTTGAGCGTCGTGCTGTCTTGGCAACGCACGGAAGCGCCTGAGAAGCTTGAATGAAGTGAGCGGCCCTGCTGCTGCTGCTGCAAGTCATGTCTCTTCACCACAAGCTCAGGTCCCTAAGTCTCTATCCTGACACCTCAGAGGTCGAGATCAAGGGCTTGAAGAGCAAACCTGAACTCAACGGCCGCCGCGCGACGGTGCGCTCCCCAGACGATCGTTTGTTGCCGCGGCCCTTGGGGCCCTTCGTGCTCCGTGGCAGCTAGGAGTTCAAGTTCCGGCTCTGAAGCTCTGCTCTTGAGCAACGTGAGAAAAAAGTGGCAAGTGTTGAGCAAAACCCCCTTCTTCGCCCCCATCCCCGTGCGCAATCCGCGTTAGCTTGATAAGACCCTCAGCTTTCCCAGCAGTTGGGTAAAGCTCTGCAGAGACATATCTCTACGCCCTAGACAAAAATTTGGGAGAGATTGGGAGGCCAAGGGCATGTTGAGGTTCAGGCCATCTGATTTGGGCGCAGGTGATTCACGAATTGATTGAAAACTTTGGATTGGCAAAGTGGATTCACAATGTGCCTAGGCACGGCTAGCCTTTGAGTTACGAGGTGTCTAAAAAGAGGAGTACTAGTGGTTCCTGCTGGGTCATTCTGTGCCGAATACCACTTTGGTCTAAAGCCTCTTGCGGGGGGGCTCTGTTGACGCAATCTGCGAAGACGTTGAAGTTGTTGGCGATCCTATAAGGCATGGTGTGTCCATGAATGAGCCCGAGGGGAAAGGTGTGCAAGTATGGGCTTACCCCTCGCGCCTATTCTCCAAGAACCTTAACCAATATTACTTCCTTCTAATCGGCTGATGGTTCTTTTTTCGTGTTTTTTTCTGGTTTTTTCTCGTGATGTTTTTTTTTTTTTATGGTTTCAGGTGAACCCTAAACCCTAAACCCTAAAAACCCTAAAACCCCTAAAAACCCTAAAAACCCTTAAAACCCTTAAAACCCTTAAAACCCTTAAAACCCTTAAAACCCTTAAAACCCTTCAAACCCTAAAAACCCTAAAAACCCTAAAAACCCTGAAAATACGGAAAAAAATCAGAAAAAAGACGAAAAAAAAAAACCTGGACCCTTCTAATCCCTGTACAGTCCCAGGTCATGTCTAAAGATGAGGCTGCTGGCCGCTTTGAGGCAGGCGTCGGGCAGGTGTTTGGTGCTGGGTCGTCTTCCCACTGTACCCCTCAATCCTGAACTCCCCATCGCTTCGGGATTCCATTTTGAGTCTCGGCGCAAAGTCCGTATATGGATATTGGTGTCAAAGCCGTCTCGGATCCTTGGGGTAGTCTTCGCAAGAGCCGTGCATCATTAAAAAACGAACAGTATCTCAACATGCTTTCTACGGCAGTCAAGATATCGGTGCCATGCAGTGGCTTGATTGCTGATAAGAGGTGAAGTTGGATGGCCCAGCCGATGACCGTGCAGCTTGGTTTGAACGAGCGCATCTGACCAGTAATTAGTAGTTGCCCGTTCCGGGAACTCGCGCCAAGGAAGCGTGCAGTAAGGAAATGTAAGAAACAACAAATAAGGAGGTGCAGGATACGCTGTTTATGTGAGCACAGTGTGATAAAAGGCCAGAAGACTCGTTTATGGTGCCCGGCGTTTGTTAAATCGTCTTCGCAGAATTCAAGACTCGACGAGACTTGAAGAACAGAAGCATTGATGGAAGTCCCTGAACCTCCCTTTAAAACCAAGAATCAAATGCCCTGACAATCCCTGAACCCTAACCATGCATTGGAAAGGAAGCCAGCAGCCCTTTTCGGCAGTGGAAACAGAATTTGAAGCACGAAATGAACTTGTGTGAGGCACCTTCGGCCCCCCGCGTGCAGCCCCAAAGCCAGCAAACCTGCTGAAGAGCTGCAGGTGCGCTGCAAGCCGGAGAACCTGCAGGTGGTTCTGGCAAAGACCAGCCGCGAGCACGGCGACGTGTGGGATGTGCAGATGAGGGCTTGCTGTTAACAGGAGCTTCAGGACGTCTGAGGTTTGGAAAGCATCCACAAGCAAGCCCCTTTGCTCGTGGATTGCCGGCCCAGGCCCAAAGAAGGCGCAAGGCGACGCAAACTTCAAGGAGCGCGTCCCCAGGTTTCGGTACATGGCACGAACATGGCTCTGAGTCTCCTCTCGTAGCAAGCTGTGTCTCCAAGTCAGGTAAAAGGAGGCTGTTTGGGATGGCCTGTCCTGTCTACAGCTCCGCGAGTGTGAGCTGCACTCTACGTGTTCTCACTGAAAAGTTCCAAGTCTGATCGTGGTGTCTCTGAGGGGTTCCTGTCCATGAAGTCCTACCCGAAAGCCAGGAACTCCTCTCAAGCTCAAGCACTGTTGTCAAAGCGCATCACAAGCAGGGTTGTGTGCGCTCACCTCCGCTCGCTGGCTGTTCCTGCCCCCATTTCAGGCAGGGACAGTGGCTCACACTATCTTATCTTTTAATTTTCCATCGTCTGAATCGTCTTACTCAGGTGCACTTGCTTATCCATCTTTCTTGCGGGGACTGCAATTTGAGGAGGGTCGCTACGACCAAGCCGTCAGCTGCTACCGCGAGGCATTGCAGGCCCCACCCTCAGCCCGCAAAACGCAGGGCTTGTGGTCATAGGGTTTATAGGGTTTAGGGTTTAGGGATGGGGCCAGCAGGGAGTTCTGCGAGGAGTGGCTTCTCATGTTTGGTTCTTGGGGGTGCGGCTCGTGTCCGTGTGTCTTCGCTTACTCTCTGCACCCAGTTTGGGATTTGCAGCCTTGCCCCACAACTGGCCGACAATGTCAGGGCCAAGGTGGACAAGTAGTGAGGTAGGGCTCATAGCCCCTTGCCAACGGTTCGTGCGCTTGCATTTGTTGCCTTAGCTGCACTCACCCTCCTGCCCACAAAGGCTAGGCTTGTCCCGCATGACGTGATGGAGAGCAAATCAAGCCAGCTTCGACCCAGCCGAAGCCAGGAAGCGAAAGACGACACCGAATTCGCAGCCACGTGTCTGGGCACCGTTTAGCCACAGTGGGTGAGAAACAACTGAGAACCCATCAATACAGGGCATGAGCAATGCGAAATATTGAGAGCAAAAAAACCCTGAGGTTCAGGAGGTCCCATGGCTCATGGAGAGAAAAAATGAGCTCAGCTGGGGATCCCCAAACCAGAAAAAGTGAACCGTCTCTCCTGCGGAAATGCCAGGATCCAGTCCAACATTGCTGCGGCCTTCGCGACGAAAGGGGACGGTTTGGGACAGAAACGTCACATGTCTCAGCATGTCCTGAGCCCTGCCCGAGTTGACCCTTGCGGCCATATGACTCCCTGGGATGTTGGCCTCAAACTGCTAAGTTCAAACGACGGAAAACCGTCGGCGGCAGCGCCCAGCAAACACGCGTCTCTTTCGACAGCTCAGTGAAGCGCTTCTCGAACATTGAGGCCCACGCCTGCTACCCCTACCACGTCCCTACCCCTCCTCCTCCCACCACCACCACCAGACCAGAATCCTTAACACGAGATGCCAGCACAGCAGGACCACAAGAAAGCCCTGGAGGCCGCCAACGAGGTGCGTCTTGTTCATTGGGACATGCTTGGAGTGCGGTGTTCGGTCAGGGCCCTTTCTGGCGTTTTGAGACAACCAATCAAATCTAAACGGCTTGGGCGCTGGGTTTCGGGTTGAATTTATCTCTGGGTTTGGAATCCAACTAAAATGAAATGTCAAGCTGTGCTGTGAGCAGATGGAGGCCCTGAGGCCGAGCATACATTGAGCATACATTGAGAAATAGAACAACCCTGTCTGCAACGAGACGGAGGAAGTTATGACCATCGCTGCGGCTTGGCTTCGTGCCAGAAAAAGTCGGCTGAAGGAACTCGTGCCACATTCTCGTCCTTTGATGCGCAAAACACACACCCATCCATTCCCCAGACCCGGCCTCCTAAACCCTATCTCGGACACATCGGCTTGTGACCAGTGAGTTGTTCCCTGGCAGTGCACATTCGAAGGCCATCCGCTTGCGCCCAGACTGGGCCAAAGCCCATTCCCGGAAGGGCTTCAGCTTGCGAAGGGCCAAGCTGCCGTTTAGGGTTTTAGGGTTTAGGGTATAGGGTTACGGAGGGATGTGCTCATGGTCTCCATGCTGACCATTGTTCTTGTTTCGGGAATGATTTCTTCGGTCTCCTTGAATGGGTTCCCCATGACTTCCCATTGGCGATGTTTGTGTTGGGCCCTCACGTGCTGTAGGGATACTGGAATCCGAACTCACCGTTGCGACTGGCAATGTTGCCGCTACCCGATACCCTACAAGCCCTAATTCAACCTCCCCAAAAACAACCTAAACCCTAAACCCTAAACCTCCTTGTCTTCATGAAGAGATCGTCAAGCGCAAGATCTCTCGCCTGCTCCAAAGCTGGCTCGGCTGGGCTCGGTAGCTGTCGCCCGATTTTGGCCGAGTCCACCCCGAGTTAACGTATTAGCTGCTTGGCTCAGGTAGGGGGGATGGGCTGTTCTGTAGAAGAAGGGGTTGAGAAGATGCGAATAGTACGTGGCCCAAGCTCGGAAGGTTGGATTGGATTCAGTTTTGCCAATGGTTTTGGTGCCTTCACTCGCGTCGAAATATACCTTAGATCGGCAGTCGAGCGAGCCTTCAAGAAGAACCGCTGAGACGATGTGACATCGGAAGCAATCCCTTGTAATCATTAGAATACTATTATAGTCGTATTCTAGTATCATTATAGCATATTGCCTTTCAGAGCCTTGCAAACCCAGGAATGCCAGTGTCCTGCGGGGGTCAGAGCGGCACTTGCGGCGCAGGCCGCCGTTGGCTTTCCTGAGGTGTTGCTTGATTCTTTGTCGTTTCAAGTTCTGATGTGTGATGAAGGTGCAACATACTTGTAGCCCAAAGACGGAGTAGCCTGGGGAGTCGGGCTCAGGGGCCCAAACTGCCACGCCACCCTCACTCATCCAGGCTTGTTCTCGCTGGTGGAATCCTTGCTCCAGAGCCTTGGCCCCCTTCAGTGGTCCCGGCTGGAGCGTGCGAAGCCCGTTAAGCCGTTCAAAGGGTCGGTCCGAAGCCCCCAACCTACCCCTGCTACCCTTGAGAAAGGGATTCCAGATGCTGGAAACCGTATGTAGACGCATCAGCCTAGAAATATCTGGGAACGCCACACAATTTATAGGACATTCTGGAGAGAGTGGTGCTGATGGCGGCTCCGTTTTCAATCTGGGCAGCTGGCCCTGCCGAGGAACAATAAGCGCGACCGAGAGGAGCTACCGGCGTTGTGCAGGCACTTTCAGGGCAGGTCAGGTCGGATCACCAGGTGCTGAGTTTGAAGTCCGTCCTGTTTCACGTCCCTCAAGCCCCTTGCCTGCCCAGACCACGTGGGATCTTCCTATTTCAGCCGAGCTTCCCGAAAGGCTCTCGTCGCTCATCCTGCCCGACGATGCTGGAAGGACATTGTGCCCCGCGCGACTTGGTGCTGGTAGCGCTGCTAATCATGTCAGGACCGTCCGTAGGCGCAACTTTACACATTCCCAAGCTCTGAGCAGCAGATGGAGCCCCGAGGCTTGCAGAGCGAAAGCCGTATGCCGTGGAGAAGCCAGTGCATCTGTGCCGAGCAGAGAAGCTGACGTTGTAGGGCACGAGGGTGCATCACATCATTACAGCTCGAGGCGTCCAGGGTTGGGGACCCGTCTGGGTGTGGGGATTGCGGCTGCAGTTCTCTGCTGCAGCTGATGTTTCGCGGTTGGTGCAGCGTACACGTACGCAATCCAGGGGTGTTGTCCCGCATCCCCCCTCTCATTTGTCTCATGGTCGTAGGTGGAGTAGCGTGCCAGCAGGGTGGGTGGCCATGATAGGAGGCGTGGGCGCGTCAGCCGAACTTTGGCTCGCGTCCAAGTCGGCTGTCTTCCACACTCCGCTTGAGTCGGTTCAGGTCTAATGTTAAGCAAAAGGCGGTGAAGAAGTCAGCAGTCTGAGTCTCAGGTTTCTGGTTCTTAGATCGGAAACGATCGTTCTTGCAGCCGAGGCAGGGGGATCTCGTGATCCTGGGCTTTGGCTTCGGCGTCCACCCGGAGTACCAGACCCTCGCCCGAACTGGCAGCCGCATGCACCTTCTTGCAAAACCGGAAGTGAACCCTCAGCTCGACATGGTTGGTTAGCCGAACTCTTATGCACACCTTGTGAGCGGCCTGTGCTTCCACACCATGTCTACAACCAGGAGTTGTTCGGCAGTGATCACGTGCGTGGATGAGAAGCTCGGTGTGCACATTATTGTGCTGACTGCTAGAACCAAGGAATCGGAGGGCTAAATCGGCGCAGGGCTCGGGGGTGTGAGGTTCGGCCTGGGTGCCGCTTTCGGAGTGTAGCCCAGGGCATCGAGGTTCCGCTTAGAACCACACTCCGAGGGCCCACCCTTATCTGCAGAAGGTTTCTGCAACAGAGGGCGAAGAGGAACTTAAGCTGAAAGATCACAAGAGACCTGCCCCGGAAATCCCCAAGCTCGTCAAAGTAGATTCTGCAAAGAACAAATTGGTAGCGAGATATGTGACAAGCTTAGTCAAAGCGAGATCAAATCCTCCTGAAGCTTAGCCCATTCTTACGTCGCCCCAAACCCTCCAAGACCACTGAAAACCCTAAACCCTAAACCCTAAACCCTACACCCTAAACCCTATAGACGTGTGGCAAAAAAACCCTATAGAGCCCCTATGCAGAGCCACAGGCAGCACTGCATGGTCGCGGTGTTGGACCCGTCTCGGGGATTCCGCACTGGAGAGTGCCAAGTGGCTTTCGACGATCTCCGGCCCGTCCCGGGCTTGATTGTTCAAGGTTTAGGGTTTAGGGTTTAGGGTTTAGGGTTTAGGGTTCGTCGTCGGGCTCTTTATGCAAAGCAGGGAAGCGCACCTTAATGAGGATTAAACATACAGTTCCCCTACTATCTTAAACAGAAAAGGAATCTTCGGCATCCGGTGCTTCAGCTTATCTCTTGCACCGCGTTCGTTATAGATTGCACATATCAGGTCCAACACCATGACATATTGTGCAAGACTACCGGGCTCTGAAGTGCCCCTTGAAAACCTGTTTTCTTTTTTCTAAGTTTTGAAGGCCTGTGCATCTTGTCACCAAGGTGCACCAGGAATGGCGGGCAGGCGCGAGGTTAGTCATCGGCGGCCTGCAGAGTAGCGGCTCGGCTCGAAAATGCTCATCTCAGCCATGGTTTCGGGTTTAGGGTTTAGGCTTTGTGGCTTGGGGTTTAGGGTTTAGGGCTTCGAATTCCAGACCTTGTGAGCGTGGGGTCTCGAAATAGACACACGGGTGGTATCTTGGGTGGCCGGGGGCTCAAGTAGCACTCGGATTGTTCAGCTTGGAAATATGTGGTTCAAGTATGTGGCCACCGGGGTTTCACGACCTCCATACCACTAAGGGCCCCCACATCAAAACAGACCGTTGCTGCAGCTTGTGTAGAGTCGCTGACTCAGAACACGCTGAGCGACGCCTCATCTGCAGTGCAAGAAGAGGTGTTTGTTTCACCCGGCTCGCGTGTGGGTAGGACTAATCAGAGTTGGACTCCGGAGAGCGAGGGTTTAGGGTTTAGGGTTTAGGGTTTAGGGTTTAGGGTTTAGGGTGTAAGACCGATGCTGTACATTGCACACTCCCTCCCCGACCAAACCATTGCGCCATCCAGCGTCCGGTTTGCTGCGATGATTAAAGGGTAGTGGGGGGGGGGGGGGGGGTGCAGGATAGGACCATAGAAATTGTACGATGGCCTATGGTGGCCCCTTAGACCCACAAAAGCTTGTCGACTCATGACCGCTTGTAACTACCGCAATGATCTAAGATACATCCGAAACCTGTACTTGGAGGTTCATGGGTACTTATAATCCCAATTCTAAGTCTACTTATAACCTACTTAGGGGACTTAGAAGTACAGTTATACTTGGGGTTATAAGTACCCCTGAACCTCCAAGTAAGTCTAAATCGAGGGTGAGATTCAACTCCCGAAGCTTCTGCCCACCACCGCTCGGAGTCCAAGGCAAGATGAGGCGATGGGCATATGGATGTGCGGCTGAACACTGTTATTGTTGCTTGCGCATGTCTGGGTTTATGGCGTAGGAATTTTGGGGTTAGGGTTCTTTTTTTGAGTTGACCTGTTGGGAGATGTGGTCTTGGGAAAGGAGTGCTTCGGAGGGAGGCATGCTCGGAGTGAGGCATGTTCCAGAAGCAGGACTTCAAGACGGCTTGCGTTTCGAGCACTGCAGAGCAGGAATCGCATTGTCGTGAGTCCCGGCGGGTGGAATATTCGAAGATTGGACCGTTGCCCAGCCATGGACGCACCCTGCGTGATGGGTGCTTGTCATGATGGCCCTGCTTCCGGTTCGCTATGGCGCGCCGTGCTTGGGGTCTCGCGTCAGGGGTGGTGGACGGCTGCCAGTAGGCAGCGAGATGGTCGTGTTCTCGCCCAGCGATGCAGGGAAGAGCTGAACATGGTGTAGCCGGTAACTAGACTGGTGTCTTGTCGCCCGTGGTATGGCGCCAGTCCCGTGTTGCCCTTGAAGCTCAGATGTTGAACTTGGGGTTCACCTGGACCCTTGTAAACACGCAGTCACGCAGTGGCCTAGTCGCTGCTGTAGCAACAAACCAGCGAGAGTCAGTATCTTCGTTCGCTCATGTTGGTGTGAGAGTCGAAAGGCCTCAGCCCGATTTTTGCCATTCATTCAACAGCTGCGTGCAGGCATTTGAACGGCCGCACCGTGCACGTTTGCGAGCACCGACGTTACGGCGGGGACCTCGGAGTAAGTGAAGTGGGTTAGGGTTTTTGTTATGGGTGTTGGGTGAAGTCTTTCTTGGGCGTACTTGAAATTAAGTAGGGGTGGCAGCACATGGTAGTAGAATGCGTCACTGTAGTGCTGCTTCTCAGCAAGATGGTGCCAGGGCCAAACGTTTGCCAACGCTCCCTTACGATTGCCATCTGCAGCCACTGTGGCTGCTTCTATAATCGACAGCTCTCTCTCTCTCTCTATTTCTATCTATCTTTCTCTATTTCTATCTATCTTTCGTTCTCTCCTCTTTCTTTCTTTCGTTCTTTCATTCCCTCTAAAGAAATGTGTAAAAATACATATGTACATAAGTAAGAATCTGGAATGATAATTAACTACTATGATTATGTACATGTACGCTCATCCTTGGACACACTCAATACATACATGCATACATACGGAGACACACACAAATACATTCACATATGTCATCATCCTCATGTACATATGTACATATATACATATATTTATTCATTATACACATGTGATTGATGTATGCAATGTCTTTCATGTCGGCCATGCCACTGATCAGATACTTGAGCTACGGTACCTTCTGCCAGCTTTTCAACGTTCGTTCGTTCTTTAGAGGCCAGTCCTGGATGTTTGCCTTCAACACGAGGCACCGAGGAGGAACCATCAATGGGAAGCCCCTCCCATTTAGGGGCATGTGCTGTACGAGCATTCTCTAACTATGCGACATTCGGGCTCCTCTATGAGGGCTTCTCACTTTCTCCTTTAGTAGAACTTCTGCCGTTGCTACTTCTTTCGTGCTGTCGTGCCATAAATACACCATATTGTGTAAACAAATCTGGTAGGGCCAGCTGCCGAAGTCGCACTTGGCATTGTCGGCTGATGAGGGCGGCAGCTGCAATGGAAAATAGATCTTGACAGTGGCAGACAGAGGCCTGAGTGTTTGATGGTGAGACGGCATAGCCGCCCTTCAGCGAAAACATCTCCCACGTACCATGTGGTGACCGATCCTTTGCTGGCACAAAGGCCACCCTTGCTTCGTGCAGCCATCGGCTTCGCAGGTGACTAAGAAGGCGGGCATTCTTGGCATTCTTGGGTGGTTAAGGCGAGAGCCGTCAAGCCTGGGATTCCTGCCAGGACAAGCTGACCTTGTGCGTTCGGCTCGAGGATCCCATCCCTGACGCTGGGCAAACTGTTGGGCTGCTTCAAGGCTTTGTTAAGGTTTGCCTTTGGCCCAGTCGGGCGACTCTGCTGGTACTCCTTTTCAGATTCCCAGCCCGAGATCAAGAATCGCAAGCAGCCTAGGACCACGCATCTGCATTGCTGCTGGAGCCCAGCAAGCCGGAAAGCATTTTGGAGGGCCCGAGAGTCAGGGTACCAGACATTTCTTTGCATTGCTCGTTGGTTGCTGCACACTGTCTCACAAATCCTTGGGTTGCTGAACTGAATCATAGACAAAAAAGATGGTAGCGATCACAGGCGCTCGCCGCCCGTTCCCTGAAACCCTGAATTGAATGTGAAAAATACTTACTTATGAAGTGTGGTGTGAAGCTGCAAGGGAGGTGGCAGAAGAAACGCGCCGGAGCCATGTGACCCGTGGTGAGATGCTAAGGATTCCTTTCGCCGTACATTCCAAAGCAAGAACGGGCACCAACGGTGCCCAAGCTCTGCCTCCCTTCGCAGAAGGCGTTGCGCGTGACTTCGGGGTTTCGAAGAGTCATGTACTGAGGGACGCCGAAGGAGACTACTCCAAGACTTCACACGGTCATGCCGAAATCTAGGCGTGTCAGTACACGAATGAGGGGCATGCGTGTGGCTGTTAGAATCGCAATGCCATAGGATTTGGTGTTGACGAACTGCACTTGCAATGCTAACTGACTTGCAATGCGAATTTCGAAAGGCCATCGTGGCTTGCGTTTCCACTGCTGTTGCACGTGCCTGGCCCTGGTTGGACAGGAGTCGACCGGCACTTTGCTGAGCTCTGGCCGTAGCAGAGGCCGGTGTTTTCCAGGAACCATCCTGAGCCGCAAGCCCCAAAATTGTGCAGTGCGCAGCTGTACATGCCCGTGTGAAAAAAAAAAGCCTGCAAGCCCGCCAGGTGAGATGGATGCCAAAGTCAAAACTTTTCCTGACTCGCGGGTTTGGGGCGAGGAGACTCGGGTGACTCGGGTGCTCTTGAGACTCTTGGGTGTCTGGTGTGTCTGGTTTTCTAGATTCTAGGCTGTCGAACTGGAGGATTCAACACGCATGTGGGGCTTCGTTGCTGTAGGGGCTCAGGTTGGGGCTTACTGAGAAACGGGACTCTCCACTTCTGTCACTCGACTGCGAAGCTTTGAAGGACCCATCACTATAACCAAAGTCGGATTTCCAGTTTCTCAGAAGGGAAGCGCACGCCCCAACCGTCCACACTTAACAGACTCTAACCCCCAAACCCAGCAGAGAGTGCTTGCAGAAAACCCTAAACCCCAAACCCTAAGCCAATGTATCGAGTTTCGTCTTTCAGACCTGGACTCATACCATCAATCAACCTGCCTGCGGTTCGGCCAGCTCTTCGGGCGCGAAAAAAACCCTAAACCTGAAACAGTCCAGGGGTTCGGCTGCCCTGAAACCCCCAGATATCGGACTTGAGGTCCGTAAAGAAAGGTCAAAGCCAAGCGCATCAGGGGCATCACCAGTTTTCAACAAACCCTAAGCCCCAAACCCGCAAAGAAAGTTGTGGGTGCCAACAAACAGGTCCTTCAAGAAATTCAGGTTCAAGAAATGGAGCTTCTTATGAGGGTTTAGAGTTTATGTAGGGATGGGAGGCCGCAGCCGCACCTTTCTTAGGGGCCAACAATCCACGTAAGCAGAAGGATCCTACGATTTGTGGTACAAGGGCCCCTATAAGGGGGATTCTGGGAAACCTTCTTTGTAGAACTCCTACTCTCAACCCTAATCCCTAAACCATTATCGTACCAGAATCCTGGAGTGGTTCGTCCAGCTGTGCGGGCGCCAAAAGCAGCCCTACACCTAAACCCGAAACCCGAAGGCCTAAGCCCTAAACCCTAAACCCTAAACTTATGTTTATGTGGGTTTTTGGGCCTGTTACCTTGAGGTATCCAGGGCGAGAGCCACCGAGCCGCCCTCCTCCTGCTCTGGCGGGTTTCTGGGAGTGCTGTCCTGGCCACTCGGACTGAAAAGGGTTTGGGGTTTAGGGTTTGGGGTTTAGGGTTTGGGGTTCAGGGTTTGGTCAACTCAACCGGCGCTGCTCTTCCCAACCTCACTGGTTTCTCCTCACAACACCGACCCTGTCCTGCAAGTCAGCCCCTAAGCAGGAAGGCGCACAGGCCTTTCTCTTAGGGTGACGATTTCGCACCCCCTGTACGACAAAGCTTGAAGCAGAGTAGCCAGGCTGGTCGAGGCGCAGAAGTCCCCCGAGGAGGAGCATCCCACTGCCACGGGCCCGCATGGGAGGGACCTACGAGGACCTATACTGTTCCAGACATGAGGCTTCAAGGTTTGTAGGGCCTTTAGGGTTAAGGTTCGTGTTCACCGGTTTCAGCATTTACTTTCCCGGGGGCGAGACTGCGCCTACGCAAGCCTGCAGCAACAAAAAGAGAGAGTAAGACTTTAGGGTTTAGGGCCTGGAAGGGGTTAACATGCTGAATGCGACACTTCTTTGCTTCCGACGTTGTAGAAACGAAAGATGGCCTGCTTCAGCTTGAAGCCTGCATCCTCAACTCCCCCTGGTTCTTAGGAGGGAAGGAGGGATGAAATGGGGCACTTCATTCCCTCATGCCCTCAGGTGTGCAAGTCCTCAACCCTGAGCCCTAATAGCCTAAACCTTAAACCCTAAACCCTAAACCCGAAACCCTAAACCCTAAACCCTAAACCCCCTCAACTCAGGTGTGCAAGTCCACGTCCATCATCAATGTTGAAGAGGAGTCGCCCAAGCACAGCCATCGGGGCGGGTTGCTTCCCATTCCCGCAGCTCGGCAGCCCTAGATTTGCCCAGGGTTTCTGAATGCAGGAGCCTGAATATACGTATCTTCCCCTAGACAGTATTGAAATGTGAATGTTAATGGACACAAGCCAAAATCCTCACTCTACCTGACCCGCCTGGACCCAAAAACCGTTTCTTGCTCAGAGCAGATACATCAGACACCATACCTCAGTGCACACAGTGCAACGCCTTCAGCTTCTTCAAGTGTCTAAACAGCAGCACATTGTTGCTTCCATCTGGAGCAACGATGAAACTGCTTCTGCTGCCAAGAAACTTGAGCCTAGACATCTCGCGAGAAATTGTCGGTCTCCTTCAGACATGTCTGTCTCGGTTCTTGATGGTTGATGAGCATACGAAAACTGAGCAAATTGTTGGCGACAGCGAGGCACCATGGCAAAGGCCATGACAAACTGCAACCATTTCACGGAGTGCAATGAGTACTCACTTTTGTTTCGCTGTGGACGCGCCAGACTTATGTCCAACGCAAAATTGTCAATCAAATTAAAGAATTAGGCACCTAGAGTAGGCACCCAGGCTGTTGATTGGTGTTAGGCACTTTGAGACGTTGCCAGAACGTCTAAAGAAGTACGTGAAAAAACACAAAAACATGTTAGTGGCTTACGTTCTCTTAGTTTTATCATAAGCTGCTCGTAGAGAAGGTAGAAATGAGGGTACATATAAACCTAGAGCAAAATAGAGCAGTGCACCCAAACACCGTGGAGGGACGACCTTTCTGAGTCTTGTGCCCAACCCTATATAAACCCTAAACCCTAAACCCAAAACCCAAATCCTCGTCCTTACTTTGTTCCAGGAGATGACTCCCGGGGATGAGGGGCGGATGGGCGAAGACCTCTGCGGCGGCCAGACGCCTGAGCAGCTGGCCTTTTTGGTTGAGGGCTCTTGGGAGTTGTGCAGTGTTGGGGTTGCATGAGCCAGTCTGTAAGGGGCTCCAGCCCGATGCTCTGGGCCTCAAACCCTAAACCCTCAACCCTGAATTTGTGCCTCAACCCTAAACCCTCAAACCTGAACCCTAGACCCTCAACCCTGAATTTTGAGCAGCCAAGCTGTGGGCCCAGGCAGGGCGATCTGGTCATTTTGGGCCGTGGCGTCAGCCAACAGTATCAGCTTTGCTCTGCGGTGGTCAAGGCCAGTGTGTGTGTGTGTGGGGGAAGAGCTGAGAGCAGCACCTCTCTCTGGCAACATCGGGTCCGGTTTCGTAAGATGCTCGGGAAGTCTGTCGAGTGACTACCGGGTTTCAAGGAGAATCGGAGGGTTTGGGGTTCATGAGGTCTCTGGTTTAGGGTCGCGGACCCTGGCCCTAGCCCCACAAGCCATTCCCAGCCCGAAGGAAGTCCATGCCGATTTCTGCAGCGACACTTGGCAGCAATGTGCTCAGGTCGGAGCGTCTTCTGTTGTTTAAGTCGGTGTAAGTCTGTTGATCACGATGTGAGGATGAAGATGAGGAGGATCATGACCCATCTTCATATTAAGGGTCGTACAATATGCTTGGCAGGATACGTATTCAAGGCCCCGCAATACTATCCTGTGCTAGTCTGGGTAGCTTCCGGAATCGGAGATGCACCATGACAGACAAGCACAGTCAAGCATGCCTCTTTCGAGGGGATTACACGCGAAATTTGGGTGGTGCGTGGACAACCTAATCATGCCGGAGGCTTGCTTAGGGTTTAGGGTTTAGGGTCTAGGGTCTAGGGTCTAGGGTCTAGCGTTTAGGGTGTAGGGTTTAGGGTTTAGGGTTTAGGGCTTGGGGTGAAGCCCAGGTGGCTGTGCTGGACGACTCGCGTAGCTACTCCGTGGGCGAGTGTATCGCCAAGTTCCGCGAGGTCATCCCAGCCACTCGCCGGCAGTTAAAGCGCAGCCTTGAACTAAGAGGCACAGGGTGGATGGCAGCAGTGCCTCCGCCGACATCCATCGACAAGCCTCAACCGCAAACCGGACTTTGCTTGAGTTTGAGTACCCAGGTGCATCAGGACTGGCGCGTCGGAACCCGACTTGTTGTGGGTGGACTGCAAAGCAGCCACATGAGGCCATGGCTGTCGGAATGAATTGGTCAGAGAAGTCGCAAGCTCTACCTGGCGATTCGGACACTACATGGAAGCTTAGCCCCAAGATGCATTTTGAAGGAGGGCTCATGCTTGGGGGTTGGCATGCCCAAGCATATTCCGAGCATGTTCCAACAGCTTTTGGACAGCGCCGTGCACAGACAATCCTTGCTAGTATGTGCGCAGGCACTTGAACGGGCTTTATGCCCGCGTTTGCCCTCACAAGCGATTTGGCCACTTGGCAGAACTTCGAAACCGGCCTCTTCATGCAAAGAGCCTGAGCCCATAGCCCCGATAGCCATCCAGCCATCCTCAGCCATGCGGCTACGAGCGGCTATGAGAGTCATGGGCTATCAATCGGGGTAAGAGTCAAAGACCTGCGCGAACTAAAGCTTGTGATGGTGTGAGCTTAGGCCACCCCTGCTTGATTCAGAAGCCCTCCGCCGCCAACGGTTCCCTCTGGCTGACGCTGTGCCTTCGCTTTGAGGCAGCACGCGCAGCAGAGCCTTCTATGAAATGATTTAGGTACAAATAGATTAGAATCAAGATCAAAGACACTGGTGAATATACTTCTGGTAGGATTATCTGAAGCATACCAGCCCCAAGAAGCCCTCAACCCCCCGGCCAAACCCGAAAAGTCTTTACAGATCTCTACTTGCCCTAGGTCATCTGGCCTTCGGCCGAGTGACTGCATGGTTTAGGATTTGGTAGTTGCTGCTTGGGGTGGGCCCGCGGGTGGTCGGAGAAGGCCCCGAACCCTAAACCCTAAACCCTAAACAGTTTTTGATGTGGTTGTAAACTCCCCAACAAGGCCAAGTTCTCGAACGTTAGAACAACAGGCTTCTTCCGACCGGCAAACGTCTAGGGTTTAGGGTTTAGGGCTTAGGGAGCAGAACCACACAACACCACACATGCACATTGACATTCTCGTATTAATATTGCTGACGGTAGGTAGAAAAGTCGGGAGATTTGCGTTGTAAGGGTTGCCGAGATCTTAGTGTACTTTCGGGGTGGACTTTCATTCAAAGGGCCCGGCAGGAATGATCTACTAGAGTTCGGGTTTGTGAAGCAAGAGTTTGAGTTCATTAGTGCATGTGATTTCGTTCAGAGGGTCAAGACATAGGAGTTTACTGTCCAGTCAGAGTTTAAACTGGATGTTCGGACATTTAAAGCAGTCTACGGACTGCTCTATGAGTTTGACCGAGCTGGGGCGGCGGGAGCCTTCCATATGTCCAAGTCCAGTGAAAGACAAAAGAAGACGACGGCAACAGCTCCGACTCCATGCTTATCGCCTGAGCCTTCACAACCCGAATGCGAAATGGGGTAGGTTTGAACATAATTTGGAATTTAAGGCCCTTAATCCCCTATATGGTCCTTATAAAGCCATAAGAATTTAGTTTTCTATAGGGCCCCCAAACCTACCCCAGGAAGCTGAAGCCACAAAGTTCAGCTGCCTGCAGGACGCCTCCAAGTCGAGCATCCATGGTGCACCTCGGGCTTAAAAGAGCGGTGGGTTTAGGGTTTAGGGTTTAGGGGTTAGGGTTTAGGGTTTAGGGTTTAGGGTGATTCAGCTTCTTTGGCTCGTGCCCGTGATGGGACTCTTCTCTGCCTCGGCCCGTTCAGGTTGCACCCTTGGGTATCCTTAATGCAGTATAAGGGCCACAGTAGGAGTATATTAAGGGACAAGATCCTTGAGGCAGTATAGTATAAGGGCCACAGTCGGAGTAAATTGAGGGGAAGCTTTAGGGGTACAACCTACTTAGGGGTACGAGTCTTCATCCCGAAGCCCGGGGCTTCCGAAACTGCTGCATATCTCGTTTCTTGGAGGTTCATGGTACTTATGAACCAATTATAACTGTACTTATAACCCACTTATAAGCCCCTTAAGTGCCCTACTATGGTGATGGTTAGTAAGTACCATGAACCTCCAAGTAGCTCCAGGGAAGGGCTCAGGGGTTCACAAGGCTTCGAGAGGTCCGCAAGCAACATGGCCATGGACTCCCTAAACCCTATTCCAAATCCAAAAGCCCTAGCCCCTATCCCCTAAACCCTGGGTTGTGAGGCAGGTGGCACAAAACTCCAAACCCTAAACCCCAAACCCTGAGCGACGAAACCCCAAACCCTAAAACGCCCGGCCTGGCGTGTCCGAGTGTGAGCGATTAAACCCTAAACCCTTTAGGATGCGTGGTGGGCATTGGCCCGTCCCTCCCTGATTTTGCAGCTTCGGGGTGTGGTTTACAGGGCTCTGCACTACTATCTGCTTAGGTACCCTTCATAGAATACAAGGCAAGAATCCCCTTCTGAAGCAACTAGTAACAGGGTTCGTAGAGCATGAGTTCATGCCACCGTAGTAGTACCCAGCGGCCAGACTGCCCCAATACATGCCAGATCGCAGCTCTTGCAGAACTTGAAGAAGAAGAAGAAGCAGAAGAAGAATAAAAAGAAGAAGACGAAGAAGAAGAAGAAGAAGCAGAAGAAGAAGAAGAAGAAGAAGAAGAAGAAGAAGCAACGAACCTCTAAACCCCACAGGCGTTGCAAATCACATCCCGTCGTTGGTTCTCTTACACCTTTTGGCTCAAGGGCTCTTTGGCGACTCTGCGGTCGGTTAAGCAGTCTTCGATGGGAACCTTTTGGGATGTTCCCCCTTATACTGCCTAACAGTCCTTAATCGGCATTATAGCACCCCCTAAATTCTCGTCCCCTAAACCCTAAACTGCCCTAAACCCAAAACCCTAAACCCTAAACCCCTAAACCCTAAACCCTAAAACATCCCAAGGCCCTCTTGGAGCCGCGCTTCTTGACGCCCTGCTCTGGCACAGCCTTGGCTCGGTGGTCGCCGATGAGTGGGGACCGTCCCGGCCTCTTGGCGCACATTTTGGCATGCCTTGGGATGTTCCCCCTTATACTAACAGTCCTTCATCGTGATTATAGTAAAGGATTCCATAATCCCTATGGAGGACTGTTAGCATAAGGGGGAACATCCCAAGAAATACCAGTATTTTTGCACCCCTCCCAAGACTTAGGATTGGTTCAAGCCTATCTTTGCCGGTTTGTTTCCGGAGGCAGTACTCCTCTGCAGCAGCGTCACCACATGAAAGACATAGTAGCAACAGTCTGGAATTATGATGATTATTATTATTTTGATTTTGATTATGATGATTATTATTACTATTACTATCATTATTACTATAATGACTTTTATTATTTATAGTGTTATTCCTAACATCAGCAAAAGTAGCAGCAGACACGCCGACATCGCCAGGACAGCCCTTCCCGCGCGCCGCCTCAGCTGTGTCCGAGTCCACGCTGTCGAGCAGCAGCGGCTACCAGAAGCTCGGGGTTCAATTGGGTTTAGGGTTTAGGGTTTAGGCTGTAACCGAGCTGCTGGCGCACGAGGCTCGCTGCAAAAGGGTTTAGGGTTTAGGGTTTAGGATTTAGGGTTCACTTTGGGATGTTCCCCCTTATACTAACAGTCCTTGATTCTAGTAACCCCCCCCCCATCATAATCCCTCTTGAGGACTGCGAATATAAGGGGGAATTAGGACCATTTACAGGGATGGACCTGCCTCAAAAACTCCTAAAACATTAAGGCTACTTCTATGTGGGGGTTTCCGAAAATCGGGGACGGAAACCCCCATGTAACCCCCATGTACTGCAGGAGGCTCTCGAATGATTTGTTGAGGATTGCAACACTTGTCCAGCTACAGGCCGGTCATTTGGACACTGTGCGTCGGAAGCCCAAAGTCCAAAACATCTTGTCTCTCGGAAGTTTTCAACAAGACGTTTAAGGGTACAAGCAGCTTCTTTGCGAAGCGGACCTTGGCAGAGAGGCACGAGCGAAAGTTCAAGTGGTGAACCGACATGTAGCATGAAGCTGAGAAGCTCTTCCCCATACCCCCCTTGGGAATTATAGGATGTTAAGAATATTATTTTTGCAAACATAGTAGTAGAGTAGGTAACCTTTAACCTTTTTGGGGTAGTACAATCCCCTTATAATCCCAAAGGTTAACCTTTTTTTCCCCCAGGTGACTGGACAACTAGGCAAAGGTTCTAAAGGGGAGTATAGTTCCAAGGAAGAGCCTCTCCATGCCGGGCACGCCCGTCAGCAGCTTGTCGTCGCTCACGCGGAGCACCTCACGAAGCCTCTTGGGCAAACTTTCGTAGCCAAAGCCCTATATTAGGGTTTAGGGTTTAGGGTTTGGAGTTATAAGTAGGGATGTTCCCCCCCTATACTAACAGTCCTTAAGAGGGTGTGTGTAGTACTGCCTGATTCTGATGATCCTAAGTGGGGATGTTCCCCCTTAGACCAGCAGTCTTTAATCGGGCTTATATTGCGGTCCCTATTAAGGACTGTTAGTACCTGGGGGAACATCCCAACCAAGCCCGAAACGAGAACCACGGCGAGGTGGCAAAATGCACAAACTAAAACCTTTAGGGTTTCGGGGGGGGGGGGGGGTTAGGGTTTATAGGGTTTATAGGGTTTATAGGGTTTATAGGGTTTATAGGGTTTATAGGGTTTATAGGGTTTATAGGGTTTATAGGGTTTATCGGGTTTATCGGGTTTATAGGGTTTATAGGGTTTATAGGGTTTATAGGGTTTAGGGTTTTGGGCTCGGGACTGCAGCGAGGAGGTTGCCTGCTCGTGGCTCTGGAGTTTTCTTTGGCTGAGAGTTCGGAGAAGCATCTTTTGCCCATGGAAGAACTTGATAGGGTTAAGGTAGTCTATGGAAATAAAACAGGCATAGGGTATGTGTGTATGGAGTATTTGATCCCACTGTCAGGGTTCGTGCAGCACAGGAACGCCTGGACGGGAAACATGACCCTTTAATCAGAAGCTCCGAGTCCCGGGATGAACCTTGCGCACGGATTGAGGATTTGGGCGCTCGGAAATCCCGAAGCACCGTCTAAAGGAGTAATGCTAAACCCTAAACCCTAAACGAGTGGGGAAGCCCATAGCCTTCCAGCAGCTATTTAGGGTTTAGGGTTCAGGGTTGTTTTGCTGGCCAAGTGACGGTAACCCCCCTGCGACGGCATCCTGAACCGAACGAATCCCATGAGCAGAAAAAGATGCTTAGCAAGGAGCCAAGCCCCAGAATCCCGCAAGTTCCACTTCGGGGCCCAGGCGACTCGGATCGATCGGAGCCCCGGGCTACCAAGCAATCAGCATCGGCACCTTGGCATCGAGTCCTGTTTGGCATGCGGACGTTGACAACTCCCGAGTAGATTCATGCACCATGATACCGAAATATACCGAGCAGGAAACGTGCTTTGCGACTGTTAGACGTGCATTCCCCTTTTTTGTTTTATTCTCTCTCCCTCTCTCTCCCTCTCCCTGTTGCATGCACACTTGCTCTTACCCTTGATGTGCTTGCTGTGCATACTGTGCTTTGGGTGCACTACGCTAACTCCTGCTCGCCTTCAGTCCTGTTGCAAGAAAGAACGGCCGACACCTGACACAGTGCCAGAAATGTCGGACGCAAGCAGTTTCGCGCTGTGGCATCCAAAGCTGCGAGAGTAGCATCGCAAGAGCCGAAGCGATCCGAGGGCTTGACTCAAAGCAGTCTGTTATTATTATTATTGTTATTATTATTGTTATGATTATTGTTATTATTATTATCACTATTCTTATTATTTCTATTATTATTACTCCCAAAAGTATGTGGCAAGGGCAGCCGCAGCCCGAATCTATCCGAGGCTCCACGGCCAAAGCCTCTGAAACCTTGCCGCGCCCTCCCAGGGAAGCCTTTGGGATGTTCACCCTTATACTAGCAGTCCTTAATAGGGGTTTTAGTACCCCTTAATTATTATGACTATTATCATCATCATCATCATCATTATTATTATTATTGTTTCTACTAGTATAAGGGGGGAGCATTCCCAAAGAAGCCTTCTTGTCCCTGTCACCCTAAACCCTAAACCCGAAACCCTAAACCACTCAGACGGGCGCCATGCGCGGAACTTTGGGCGTCAGCTTCCAGAAGCCACAGCTGCCAGTAGCCTCCCGGCTTCGGGCCCTTTCGAATTGGCTGTGTAGGGTTTTAGGGTTTTGGGGTTACTTAGGGTTGAAGCTTATCTAGAAGTTTAGGGTTATGTTGGGTTTTGGGAAAAATTAGGGTTGAGGCTTATCTAGGGCTTTTAGGGTTCTGTAGGGTTGAGGATTATTTAGACTTATAGGGTTACTTTGGGTTTGGCTTCTTTTCGAGCGTTCAGAGAGAGACTGCGCTTGCAGCCCGGTCCGAAACCCGAAACCCTAAACATGATGCATGGCAGTGATTAAAGTCGGCCTCTCGGCCTCGTGCCTCCGCACACTGCCAAATCCAAGGGTACCCATGAAGACCGAGAGGAGAAGTGGGTTTAGGGTTTAGGGTTAGGGTTTAGGGTTTAGGGTTTCGGGTTTCGGGTTTAGGGTTTAGGGTTTAGGGTTTAGGTCGGCTGCCCTGCCACGTTTCTTGGGTTGAGAAGTGGTTCTGTACGCGAGTTAGCCGGGGTGGGGCTTTGGGGGTGTTGCCTCTTCGTACAGCACATCCCGCACAGCCTGCTCCGGGGTAGAGCCGAAAGACCTACACTGCTCCTCTTCGATGCCAAAAAAAAACTGCTTGATCCCAAGCCGAAAGAAGTCCGTCCACACAAACGAAACCCAAAGCCGCTGGCTTTTGTTTCGCCGCGGCAGGTCCGAACCCAGACTCTATCTACACCCTTAACCACCCCCCCAACCCCCCTCCGCCCCTCCGGAACTGGAACTGAAACCCTAAACCCTAAACCCTGCAGGAGGGAAAACAAAACCCTCTACCCTAAATCCTAGATCCTACGCACCCAAAGCTCCGGCAGGAGGGAAATCCGCAGGATCCCGAAGCCCAGCGTTACCAGCGCCTTGGTTGCGACTTCGGCGCTCCAGGGCCCAAGGCCTCAGCCTTTTTTATACCCGTTGCCACACATTCCCATTCGGATTATCATAATCTATACGGTACGTAGTATAATGTATCGTATGTACTATTTGCTGCCTTTGTGTTGGTGCACGATAGACTTGAATCGCCAATATGTGGGCAGTTTGAGCGTGCGTTCTTACATCTGAATTCTTGGCGCTTGGTGTGCGCCCAGGAACCCTAAACCCTGAACCCTAAACCCTGCTACATTTTGGCTCAAGGTACATGCACCCTTAGCGAATCCCGTGGAGCCTTTAGGTTTGTGATTAGTTTTTAAATGTTGTTGCAAAGTACCAGCTTGATATTAACTCAAATACAGCTAATAAATCTGGAAAAATTCCTTATACTATTGTTGACTATCTTTTTGATCTGAGGACTGATGGTAATGATCATGTTGGGATATTGATCGAGTTTCGCTATCCTCAATTAGCCGAAACAAAAACAAAGTTTATAAATATCTATGATGATCTCGAACAGGAACTTATCCTTATTCTACTAAAAATAACAACTCAGCCGCTACAATTCATCTTTGCCTTGAGCGCTATAACGTTGCTCTTTCAAGCTTCCTCCATACGATGCCGAAGCCTCCGCGAATCGAGCTGAAGAAGGAAAACCTTGAAGCCCTAGGCTCGGCGCCTGAGCTCCAAGATCGCCGAGCAGCCCCTTCAGAGCACAGTGTTATGACATTGGGGACAACGATGTCAGAGATCGTCAACCAATTTGGGCTTGCACCCGGCGCCCCAGACGTAGAGGCGGAGTGGCTCGCGCGGGGTGACGAGGAGTTGAAGGTGTTAGAGGCTAGGGAATGCGCGACCTTGATTGCCGACCGCGTGTCTCGAGCGCACCCTGCCTGCTTGTGCACGCCAACGATGTGCTGCTGGCCAGTATGCGACATCTGCAAGGGCTGCCGGAGCAGGCCTTCCGCACTTCCATCGAGTCCATCGGCTTGCTCGAGGCTACGCCGATCCCTGAAGACCTCCAGGCCCCGGCAAAAGCCGCGTGTGGAGGAGCAGGAGCCAGCCGCAGTGGCTGGAGAGGAGGGTTCAGGCGAGCCGCCAGCTGAGAACCCGAGCAGACTTGAGGGGGCCGGCTGCACCACAAATTCGCTACTTCGCTAAGTCAATGCATTCGACCACACCTGAATTCGGCCCTAATTCGTTCACCCTAATTCGAAACAGTTGCTTCCCCCAGCCATAAGTCGTGAGGGAGGGAGCGTGCAGAGTTTGGTGCAGTTCCATGGTTGGGATCGATGTTGGGTGGCTTGTTGCCTCGTTTGGGTAGTCACAGAGGACGCTCCCCGCACCGCGTGCACACAAACACCCACCGCAAGATCAGTCCTGCGCCTTCACCGACCCCAGCCATAATTCGTGAGGGAGGGAGCGTCCCGAGTTTGGCACGTTTTCATTGTTAGGAACGCAGAGGACGATCCCCGGCGCAGCACATACGCACACGTGCGCCGATCCCCGTTTTCACTCGACGAAGCTTGGAGTGCAGTCGTTCAGGAGGTATGGTACATTGTTCATGTTACAATGTTCGGATCTATGTAGGGTGTTTTGAGTGAAGTGTTTCCTTGGGTGCAAGCCTGAGCGGTTAGACAACCCTGCCCGCGCCCCGGATCGCCTAGCTGCTTAGCTGGTTGGTTACTGGGTGATTGTCGCATGGTTCTCCGGGATACTGAGCAGATCAGCTAACGACACAGACCTTCTACGGAGGGGGGCCAATCGGCCCACCATGCGCCAATGCTTGCGCGTTTTCCTCCGGTAACCTCGACTCGACCCTGCGGATGCGGGCGCTTGGATGTGCGTGCAGCGCGGGTGGCGAAACCCTAAACCCTAGTTAAACCCTGAACCCTGAACCCTGAACCCTGAACCATCCCGCAGAGCAACCCGGGAGTGCCCCTTCGCCAGCACGGGCCCCGGGGTGTTGCTGAGCTTTTGGGGCTTGGGATGTTCGAAGTCACGATTTGGGGGTTTACGAAAAGAGTGGACCCCAAATGTAGACCCCCCAATAGTATAGATCCCCTTATCATAAGGACCCCAATAATTCAGGCATCCCCACTATCGTAAGCCCCATTTTGGATGTGGAGGGTTGTTGTTGATGCGTGCCCTGGGCTTGCAAGGGTTGCAAGGCTTGTGACTTACACTCGCATAAAATGACTGCCACGCTCATGTTTCAAGGAGCCAGGGCATTATACAGCACGGACCGGATGCTGGGGGCATGTTTCTACGTAGTCGCAAAATTCCCCCCCCCCCCCCCTCCACCCTAAACGACCCTAAACCCTAAACCCTATACCCTAAGCCCTAAACCCTTAACCCTTAACATTTAAACCCTATACCCGAAACCCCAAACCCATGCAGTGGGGAACGTTGCCAAGGAAGCAGACCTCGGTCGGCTCCACGTCCTCGGGGAACAGCTACCAGAAGTCCTCATCTCTCCCTTCGACAGCCAGCGGGCGATCGGGAGGAGGCAGGGCCAGGGAAGTTGAGTCTTGGTTAGGGTTTAGGGTTTCGGGTTTAGGGTTTAGGGTTTAGGGTTGCCGGAAAGTTTGGGCGCCAGATTTGGGTTGGGTTGTAGCAGCTCCCATCGGCAACTCGAAGCAAGAGTGGCAAACCAGCTCCGGCAAAGGCATCCCCCTCGCGCGAATGGAGCAGGAGGTAAAGGACCCCGTTCCGGATGCTGCGCATCAGACTGGGGGCAGAGCCGAAGCCCACCAGTACTGCACCAGTACTCCCATTTGTTGGATCGGCAACCATGACATCAGGCAGAAGGTTCCCTCACTGTTCCCCCACGAAGGTCAGGCTTCTTGGCATTCTTCTAGTGCTTTGCAGACTCGAACGAAGCCCTGTAGACTTGCTAGGTGGGGAACATACGTCGCACCTGCTCGAAAAAAATCGACAGACTATAACTGATCCGCTGCATTGTGGGCGCAGTCATGTTTCCTTGCCAAGTGGGCCTGAGCCCTTGATATGCTCGACACCTATGGCTTCAGACATGCATATCTCTGCAGGTGTGTGGACTAACGTCTGTCATTTAAGTTAAGAAGCTGTGGCTGCCTTTCGGGGCGTTTTCAGTCTTTCTTGGTGTCTCTGCTCGCTGCGAGGACTTGCGGGCAATGCTCAAGGTTCTCGCCAACAAGTCCCAGGCGACGAGCAGGGTGAATTTGCGGTATTCTCGCAGATCCTAGCAGGTTGCGGTGAAAAGAAGCCGCGCAACAACCAAAAGACTAGCCGGTTCTGGATCGTGGCGGCAGGGTTTGTATTCAGCGTGGAGTTTTTGGACTTGAAAAGCGAATTCTGTCATGCTCCCCAGACCCGAGATCCAAGAAACAATTGTCGCTGCTTGGGTCTCTCCTGTAAGAACTTCGAGGCAGTTGCCGCTTGTTTCGTGCGGGCTCATGGTCGAATCTCGAAACCGTTCGACACCCCACCACATCTGCTGTAAGGGTACGGACCAGGGAGTGTGGCGGAGTGCAACAGTGGCCGCTTTCGACTTCAGGAGCCGACCGGCACGCGCGTCTGATGGCCGGTGGAGGCCAGATGTTACACTGAGCCGCAGTGGATGCCAGCGATGGCTGCACCCACATGTCTGCACGTTCTGTCAGAACTCCATGGCCCGAAACCTACTTGGTTTGTGGTTTTCATAGTGTGGACTTACTTCTTCCTATGCACCAGTGTCGAGTATCAGCACCCTCAAGTCGTGAAACCAACCTCTCAGACCCTATTTTACGGACAAAGTTCATTTGCTGTGGCTGCTGTAAGGGCCATGTGAAGCGCAGAAGCTCAGCTTTACACTGCGGCAGTCGGTTTGGCTGCGCGGGTAAATCTGTACAACTGCAAGCTTGGCTATGCCTGAAGCGCATCAGCCTTTGACAATTTGAGGTCGAGCAGTGCTTCGGGGTAGCGGAGACTACTGGGGGGGGGGGGGGGGGGGGGGGGTGCGTCATAGTGCGAATATGTACAAATAGACACACATATATAAACACAAATATATGCACATTTTTTATGTATAAATTTATTCATATGCGTCAGCATGGTTTACATACCAGAATAGATGTAAAAGCTCATAGTTAACATCTGGTTCTTGCACCTGCTTGGGGTGGGTGCAGCGTCTTTCTTCTTTGAAAGTGTAAACCCTTCGGAAGCCCTCATCAGTCTACGAACGTCCCGAGCGACCCAAGACTGTACCACCTTGCCAACACAATCCAAACCCGACTCAAATGCCCAGGCACGCGCAAACATAATTGCAAACATCAAGGCACGAGGTCCAGGAAGTTGTTACCCAGATGGAAAAACACAATAGGTTGGAATCCACTCCGGTTCCTTTCTTTCTGGTGTTGCTGGCATGTGGGGTTTTCAAAAATAGGTACCCTTTGCAGGGGTTCATATAGTAGAACTCTATTTGGGGGTATATTAGGGGGACCGCTATTTCGGGGAAACACCCCTGTATACGTACTTGAAAGAACGGGGCCTGTCCTGGGGTTTGGGAGCCAATAGAGGAGCAGGTGGGAGGCAGTGAACAGGTAGCAGCTATTTGCTGGTCCAAGACCCAGACTGTGCGAAAGGCTGGAGTGCGAAGCCTAAGCCCTCAACCCTCAACCCTATACCTTAAACCATGAGACCCCACAGTGCTGTCGCTAGCCGGGTGCACAAAAAAAAAAACCCTAAACCCTAAACCAGGGTTTGGTGGTTGTAGCCATCTTGACCGGGATCTCTGAGCACTGTTTGCTTACAGCTCCGATGCTGGAGTTGACGGGTCCTCTTGGCCATGCGGCGTTCTCGGGACCGCAACAAGTGTCTGGTAGAGAATGTCATCATCAGCGCACTCCGGGTTTATTTCCCCCAAAAAGGTGTCCCCGAACATACCCACCCAAACACTCCCATCCTCATCGTGGTTGCTCCCAGCTCGGGTACCCCGCTTGTCGGAGACAAGAGCTTTGGATCAACCATCGAACTTTTGTGGGTTGCCATGGCATTTTGAGAGGGTTTGAGCTTCTCGGCGAGGAGCTTTACCGGAAGTGGAAAGAATCCTGGGCCCAGAACATTCCCCGGCAAAAACATGTGAGGGTGTCCGCGAGCTACGTCGGCTACTGCTTGTCAAGCTTACGGGATCGCACATTTTTAAGACTAACCTGGCACTGTTAATGAAACGCTTCACGGCTTTGGGGGACCTGTGAATGGCAATGGAGACAGGGGCAAGAGCAAAAGACCCCAGCAGGGCGACTTTCTTTTCCCGCATGCGCAGAGCGCGCGACCCAGTTGCAGGGGGTCTTAGCAAAGCTGAGCGCCACATTTCTTGAAGCATCATGAAGCATTGCCCAAGCTGAGAATAAGTGAGGGGTGCTACATGCACCAGTCTTTGTCTGGCTGAGCACTGCATCATTCACCGCGGTAGGTTGAACCTTGGGCATGCTGTTCTCCTTTAGTCCCTCCGGAAGCGCGGAAAATCATGGAAACTTCCTTAAGCTAGCTAAAGCAAGCTGGGAACATGTAGCTAGCCGTGCTGCTCTTGATCCAGCGAGTCACTGACACGTGCAGAATCCGGGTATAGAAAGGCTCTCGGGTTTGACTTCGGGGCTTCCACTATGGATCAAGCTTACATGCCAACTTCGTAGTGGCCATTTTGCATGACTTTCGGCCTCTGCAGCGAAGTTTACATCCAAAGTTCGTAAGTGCCCAGACATTGTGGAAAAGCTCTTGGCGCTCGACTTCTCGCTGCATCCGATTTCCGACGTTCCCCTTGACTGCTCCGAAGCCGGCAACTGATCTGGCAGAACTATAGCTGAGCTCCGGCGCAAGTCTCCACATAGCTGCCCCAAAGCATCGTGCGAAGAGGTTCGTTCACCAGCTCCGCTTAACTTCCCATCCGGGATGCGTAGAGGTGGAGATACTTCTGTCCTCTCACCGGGCCCTTCCCCGCAACATGCCACCATGCCCAGAGCCACCCAGAAAAGCGAAGGAAGCTCTTGGAGAGTTGATGGCCAGAGCTCAGATCACAGCGAAAAGTGGGGTTCTGTCAGCTCTGGAGCCGCGGGTCCGTCATGACTTTGTGTGACTCAACCCCCCAAAATTCAAGACACCAGGCCTTCTTCTATAGGACCCCAGGAAGCGTAAAAGTGAGCATAAGAACCCTCAGCCCCCCAACTCTGCAGACTAAGAAGCCGATCTAGGCGTAATCCGAGCAGCTGCAAGAAGCCGGGAGGCTCACAATGTGCCGCCCCGGGGCTGAGCCAAGCTACCGCTCCCACCCCCGCAACGTTTTATAGGGTTTAGGGTTTAGGGTTTAGGGACGAGCAGCATCTCCTAAGTTGTCAGCTATTGCTGCTGCTTTCTACTGCATGGCTCGCTTGAGACGCTTGCGCCTTGCTCTGACTTGCATGAATTCGAGGACCGGCTTGTTTGGGATGAGCGCTGTAGCTTGCATATTCGACTTGTTTCATTTGGGGTGCTTACGTAGGGTTCGGGGCTCTGTGGGCCTTTCAGTACATGCACATTCACCTTGCCGCCTTTAAAGCCAAACCCTTTCAAGTGTGCTTATCCGGTCCGCCGGTAGGGTGCGTTGGCTGCCCCTGCGGCACCACATGCAATTTCGGGAGGGCCTCTCCGAGGGACTCAATATAGCCTGTCAGCTTCCTATGCACCCCAGCTCTACGCAGTGCGGAAGCATTTTTTCCGAAGGGGCTTAGGGTGGCGAAAGCCTTCCATTGGGCATGTTCTTGATATGGATTCTGGACATCGAGGCGGTGTTATGGCATCTGGCAGGGGACAGGGGACCTTCGGGGGGGGACGTGCCGATGCGGCCTTGCTGCTTCCAGGGTCTTACAGACGCACAGCCGCCCTTCACGCCCAAGCCCCAAAACCAGTCTCCGGGTCAATGCCCCATAAGGCCTTTGTTGCATCGGGGCTATGCCTATAAACCGCTAAACCTCGACCCTCTGGGAGGTAGAGTGACGCTTCATCTTGGTTCGCCTCTTCGTGAGGGCGGGAAAGGCAAAAGCATACCCCTGGGTCTTATAAAGTCAGTAGTGAGTTTCCTCGGCCTTCGGGACACCTCAAAAGCATATGTAAGGGGAGTAGTAAGGTACCGGTGAGAGTTTCCTTACTAGGAAGTGGACTTGCACCCGATGTTCGCACAAGGCGCAGAAGGCACCAAACTATGTCCACTCTGGCACACGTCCGAGATTTAGTCGGCAGGCTGTCGCAAACCTCTGTCAAAGGCAGAACTTCATGTGGCTGCATCCCTCAGAAGAAAGGCCCTCCATGCTTGACAACCGAGAGCTTTGGTCGTTAAGAGGCCTTCAAGCTGAGAAGCCGCCACTTTGTGCTTATTCCCACCTTGGGGAGACTGCCGCGAATCGAGATTCCTGGGCAGCGGAGTGTGATCTAGCCGCTCCTACCCATTGCTCGAATAATAGTCATGGTGATGGACATGCTCAGCGGCCATTTGAGGGGCGGAGCGGGTCTCAGTCCACTGCTGCGTGGGCGCCCCAAGTTCTTTATACCTGGCAGCCTACCCCCCCAGAGAAGGCAGAAAGCAGGAGATGCGGGCCGCGTGCCAAGGGTGAGGGACCCCGAGGTTGACGCCCAAGGTGCAGGGTTTAGGGGGGGGTCTACTTGGGTGGCTGTCAAAATATTTTGGTCCCTTTTTGGCTTAACATATGGCGCCTAATCGTTAGGGTACCCCAAAGGGGATCATAATTTTGACAACCACCCATTCAGTGTCTTGGGTTATAGGGTTTAGGGTTTGGGGCGGTTGATGTTTATGAGGTTTGCTGTGGGGCTGGAGGTGTTCAGCCCTAGACCGCTTGAGCCCTGCAGATCCATCAGGAACCTCAGCCCGAGCCCTAACCCCCCGAACAAAACATAACAAAAAAGAATAGTCAACACCAATAAAAGAAAACGAGCTACCCTCACCCACACACACGCACATACAAACATGCTTGGGGCCCACCGCCTTGCTCATGCTCAGGCTTGGTTTGGGACAGCCCGCCGAAGCACAGCGGTGGCCTTGAGTGGGGGGGGCGGGGGGGGGGGGGGGGGGGGGGGGGGGGGGGGGGGGGGGGGGGTTTGGGGTGGGGGAAACTCCTCAGTGGGTTGCTTGAACTGGGGATTGCCGAGGGCGAGCTACATCCAAGCCGTCAGGAACGACCCCGTCACCGAAAGCTACCTGGTGCCTGGTTTAGGGCTTGGTTGCAGCTGCTCGGTCGGTCTTACTCGGGAAGTGCTAGATCGAAACATAGGCATTGCACATGGTCCTCATGAAGCCCTTCTGGCTCGACGATGGCTTTTCCAGACCCGGACCTCAAACAATCCCAAGCCTTCGGTCGGTAAGATAGACTAAACCTGGGCATGGAACCTGTTTCAGAAAAAGTCGCGTGGAATGAGGGCGGTTGCCCTACCTCATCTCGCCGTCAGAGCTTGCCACACTAATATGCCATGAGCCTTTAAAAGAGCCTTGCTGCGCTCAGCAGGCCGGCCTCAGCAAAGCCACAGAGTCGCTGATGCAAGGAGAGAGGGCGTTTTTTTTTTTTTTTGTGAGGGTTTTGGTGCGCCTCTTCGGGTGGTTTTCAGTGGTTTCTGGTTCTGACTTTTTGGTACCCGGCCCGCAGTGTGGCTTGTTGCTGGGAACACCTCTCGCAATGCGCGTGCGCCTTCGGAGATTTTTGAAGATTCGGCGAGGTTTTTCGGTGATCACCCCTATCCTGTTTGGCTCCTTGCCTACCCGTTTTGGCTCGTTGGATACCTGAACTTTGGCCGGTTGAGTGAAGCTGTGGACAGGGGGAGGCCGCCCCAGTTTCAAGTGCTGAGATGATAGACCACGACTGTTCCCTGCGGAGTGGTTCCATGAAGGAGTCAGCTAGGCGGGTGGCAAAAGCTCCCTAAGCCCTAGACACTATACCCCTGCAAAATCTTCTGACGCAGTGCTTTCTTGGAGGAAAGTCGCCATCCGACCGCCAAAGTGAGGCGGACCTCAAAAAGTCGAAAGGCCACCCCTCCACCACCTCCGCCCCCCCGCAATCCCCAACTCGTGCTGACGCTTTGGAGTTTAAAGGGCTTAAAGGGCACATAGGGCACGCTCCACCATCACGTGACAAACGTTCCTTGCGGGCTTCACTCATTGCGCTGGTTCCAGAAAGTGTGCTCGAAGAGACAAGAACGTGTTTTTTAAGTCTACCAGAGGTTCAACTCGTGAGGTTCTCGGGGTGAGAACTATTCTAGGTTGGTTCTTGGGACATTGTTATTTTCCTTATTTGGGTTCATAAGGGGCCCCATATATAAATAGTTTTTCAGAGAGTTTAAAGGCCAACCCAGTATTCATAAGAAGTTGAGGGCCCCAAGCAGGGTCGAAACGCATGAGTCGGGTAGGGCGCGCTGTCGGATAATCATCCGCCGCCTGTCGTCCGCATCCTGGCCCATGAGGCTTCGTTGAATATGTATATACATATACATATATACAATACAAAATAATATAATATAGTGGAATATAATATAATGTAATATCATATAATACTAATATAATACAAAGCAATAATGGAATAGAATAGAATATGGCATAACATAACATAAAGGGACATAGTATTATATAATTTAGTATAGGATAGAATAATATGATATTCAATAATATAACATAACAAAGCAGAATATAACATAGTTTAATACCATATAGTATAGAATAAGATAATATGATATTCTATAATATATTATCATCTGTATATGTTTGTTTGTTTATATAATGAAATAGAATGCATGCGTGATCGTTTCTAACTGCACGCGTATATCTTTGCGTGCCTACATGTTTGTGTATCTGCATTCGTTTCTGTTGGATTGAAGCCTCACACATCCTGCTATAGCTCCCCCCGAAACAACCCTCCGTTTGCTCTTCACCCCCAGAAACCCAGCGTTCAGGCAGTGTAACGTACCCATCGAAGGTAGAAGAGCTGAGAGCCTTATGAGACGGGTTTCGACACGGGGCATTGCAGTGCTCATCTTTCCTGAAGCTTGCGGCTTTCAGCTTCCCGATTGATCGTATCATGGCTGGTCCCATTCGTTCCACCACGCTTGTATGGAAGATGCCGCAAGAACAGCAGCATAAAGCAAGCCGCCAAGCCGAGTCTACCGGATCTCCAGCACATGCTACTTCAAGAGTCTGAATCAGTCCTTCTGCAAAGTAGACAAAGCAGGCATCAACACCCCGTATGCTGTGAGCACCCCATGCTGTCATAATAGTCTCCATGCCCATTAGGAAAGGATGAGGCTGAAACTGGTTTCGCTTTGTTGGCTGCTCTGGCAAGATGTCGAGGCTCAGCGTCGGGGTGCACCCTGTCAGCATTGCCTGCACCGGAAACCGTCGGAAACTCAAACCCTTCAAACACCTCCCCGCCTAACCATCCACGGGAAAGGGTCGAAAGCACAGCTGACATCGGGTTCTGTTGTTTGGCATCGCCCATGTCTCAGAGAATTTGGGCAGCTTGAAGCTGACATAGTTTCTGGTATGGCTGCCACGCTTCTGTCGTGGTGCATGTCTACACATGCATGCGTGCATGTCGTGAGTGTAGGTGCCGTTTCTACGCTGTACAATGTCATGCCATGCTGTGCAACGGCGGTGCACTCATGCTGTCGTAATGTTATGTGTTGATGGTTGTGGTGTGCTGCCGGTCCTGGTATGCGTGCCATGCCATGCCACTTGATGTTCGAATGTGCCGGAGTCCGTCTTGCGATGTTAAGCTTTTCCATGTCTTGTTACGATATGCCGCCGGTACACCACGCTTTATTTCTTCTACTGACTCCTCCAGCTAAACCTAATGTTACTCACGAGCCTTTGGAAAGCGATTCTCTTGCCATGCCTGACTCCGCGTTCATTCCGGACTTGAACACTTGGATATTGGCAGGGCGATTGGGATAGGACATGAGTCGACTGGTGCCCCAAAACCCTCCCACCCCTTACCGAAACCCTAGATCCACCCGAAACCCTAAGTTCCTGAATCCGACAGCCCAGGCTCCCGAATGCCCTTGCATAGACAACAGCTCCGCAGTCTACGAGCAGCTTCGGAACGAAGTGGAGGCAACTAACCGACCTGTTCAGAGGGTCCTTTTGGCCTTTCTTATGGTGTAGCTGGGCTTGGGCTGCGATTGATATAGGAACTGCTGAGCTGGGACCCAGAGCACGGAAACCCATTTTTACCAGCAGTGGTACCCTGTGTATTCTTGGGCTACCCTGTGGGGATAGTCAGGTTTCGGATGGAAAGTCCCAGGATTCCAAGCCTGCAGGGGTCGCATGCTAGTTGGTGTCCTACCAGAAGCAATTGACATGAAGAATCTCTGGACTGAAGCCTGTAGCGTACATCCTCCTAAGTCCTGAATCACTCATGAACCGACGCGCGGCCGTACTAAGATTCAGGCACGAGGGCTGCCGGCAGACTATGGCACGCAGGGGTGCAAGGCCTACGATGCAGCCAGCTGTGGGGACAATGCGCGGGATTGTGCGAGCCAATGGTGAGCCTTGCCTGGAACTGGGGTAGGAAGTAGCAGTGTACTATAGTTACTATAACCCCCATAGGCAATACTTTCTGTTTTCGCATAATGAAGAATATCAACAGTAGTCTTTACTTCCGCTAGTCTTCTTCGGACTGTTACGGTCATTGTTGCCACTGCTACTGCGACTACGCGTCTGCTGCTGCTCCTCCACTACTTCCAGACTCCCCCTATTGCTACTACTGCTACTACCACCACCACGAAGGGAAGCTTGCGGGTATCAGCTGCTCCAACGGGATTCGCCCCATTTGGCCCGGAAACACGTGCATTGAGAACGGGGGAAGGGTCTTGAATTTGCTTAGCTCAAGCTACGGGGCATGGAGATGCAGCAGCCAAGGCTATGTGGACATGACCTTGCGCCTGAGCTTTATTTTTCGGCTTGACAGCCTTCATGTGCACGCGTAACCCATCGGCCCTCGCGGACCAAGTGAAATAGAGATGGTGTCTAGCTCCACTACCCTAAACCCCGCCTAAACCCTAAACCCTAAACCCTAAACCCTATAAACCCTAAACCCTAAACCAGTGAAGGTGCCCACTCAACGCGGACCTCTGTGAAGCAGAAGGGGGGCTGCGTGGAAGCGACTCCTCTCCACACTGCCGCAGTCGGCCGCACGACATCACCGCACTGCTGAACTTGTCGGTGTACTTTAGCTTCGAAGCTCGGTGCACCCTTATCCCGCTGGTTCTTAGTAGGGAATGAGGGAATGAGGGTCTATATATACCCTTGAATATGAACCAGCCAGTTATGCTCAAAGGGCTTGGCCTCGGATTCTCTCCAGTACTCTCCAATATTTCGGGGACCGAGGAAAGTGTTGAAAATGCTCCACGTCTTGTTCTGTTGGGTCACTCTACTATAGCCTGGAACATCTTGGGATCTGTAGAAGCGTATGCCCCTCGAGAAAGGAGACGTGTGGCTTTGTGAACCTCTACGACGTGAAGCGGCACTCGGCCTCTGCAGGCGGATATCAGCTCAGGGCCGTGGTCGATCCGTTTCCACCCTGGGTGCTCGAGCGCAACTCGACCCTAGGCACCCTGCCAGCATATGAAGCAGGGTTTATATTACTGTTATTAGCGAGTGTATATAAGGTTCCTTTTAATATTGGTGAGTGTATACCTTGGGTGTCCTTTTGGGGGTACAAGAAATATGTACCCTACCTCATATCTGCACAGGCAAGTCTACGACGTTGAACTAAAGGGTGCATATAGCCAGACCCAGACTAGCTAAATGAAGTCATATGTATAGGTGCAGCTCAGCTCGTGCTAGTTCTCTTTTTGTTTGTGAGTGTAGTTTTATTGGTGCTGGGATCAAGAGCAGGTGTCTTGGAGTATTATGGAACGAGCTTTGACTTCTTCCAAGAGGCCCTGAACTTGTTCGAGCCACCGGCAGCGCTCCAGCTGCTGCCTGGCTGGGCAACGCAGAAATCCCGCCAACTGTTCAGAAGCCCCCTGGTTCAGCAGTGGCATCCCTGTGCTACTTTATGTCTTGGCAGGCGTTCTTGAAGCAGAGCCCTAAACCCTAAACCCCAAACCCTAAACCCTAAACCCTAAACCGCAGGCAGCTACACCGCATGCGTGCATGACGTGGCAGTCGGCAGCTTCGACGTTTGCATCGCGGATCTTTGGCTCACGCCCGCGCGCCATCGCTTGGCCTCCTTTATGCCGCCCATCCGGCAACTTCTCCAAACCGAATCCTGCAGCCGTGGGCTCCAGGTTTAGAGGGTTCTTGGGGTTCAGAGGGTTTGTGGGGTGTAGAGGAATTAGAGGGGAAAAGGGTTTGCAGGGTTTAGTGGGTTTATAGGGTTCATAGGGGTGTAGTAAGGAATCTTCATGTACATGCATACCTCTTATATGGCTCTCGTTGGCTGAAACGAGCACGTGGGTGCCCAGGTCGGACGACCAGGTTCCAAAGCCTTGAACTTCCGAGCTCCAAGGTCTCTAAAGAGCCCCGAATTAACTACAAATTTGTAGGGTTTAGGGTTTAGGGTTTAGGGTTTAGGGCCCTCCTTTCCCTGAAAGCTCTGGAGACGTTTTGGCCTTTAGCACTCTTCGGGGGAGTCCTTGCGCAATTGGGGCTGTGGGGAATACTTGGCCGGATAAGGCAAGACTTGTTCTACCTGGTCGTGCCGAGGAAGTTCGAGGAGGTGACCTTGATGTCCTACTTGCAGAGGCCGTTCCTGCCCTTCACCATCGATGCCTGGATGGGCGTGTTTGCCTTTCTTTGTGGCATGTCTGTGGTGCTGTGGGTCGTGAAGATCTGGGAGACGCCCTCCAGTGATCGAGGAGGGTGCAAATGGAGCTTGGAGGACCAAAACGTTGCTAAAAACACGAGCGCAGGACTTCAATCAAGTTGCGCTTGCCATTCTCACCGTCCCTCCAGCAGATGAACCTCTTTCCTGGGGACTTGTTGGCTGTGATATGCGAAATCATGAACTCGCTTCTTCACAGTGCAAGCCTACGTGCAATGACATGTACTGTGCGGAAGTAATTTGGGGGTCGGAATGATTACTAACAGTATTCAGTATTCCCTTATGGTCCCTATACAAATACACGAAATTGCCCCCCAAAAACCCTGTTCTAATTATTAGGGCCCCTATAGTACGTACCTGGGTTGCGGATTATCTCACCTCTGAGTACCCACTGCCAAGGCCCACATTAATCACTCAGATTCGCTGCTCTTGAGCCGGCCATGCAGCCCTCTCGAGGTTTAGGGTTTAGTGTTTAGGGATGTTTAGGGTTTAGTTTAGGGTTTAGGGTTTAGGATTTAGGGTTTAGGGTTTAGGGTTTAGGGTTATTTAGGGTTTAGGGTTTAGGGTCTTTTCATCTCCATGGAGGAATTCGGCGTGTTTCTCTTCGGCATCTGGCATGATTTCCTCCTTGGCCAGAGCAGCCATGATGTCGAGCGAGGCCCGGGGTGAGCATCGGAGTTCTCACCTGACTTGTTCGAGACTTGAAACAGGTGGCCCTAAACCCTAAACCCTAAACCCTAAACCCTAAATGCAAATTCCCTGCAATGTGGACGTACAGTTCAGCTAAGCGGGCGGCAAGAAAAACTTTGAAAAAACCCCTGAAAACCCCTGGAGGCCCCACCCACAAGCTCTTCAGTCTCGGGTTTTCATTCTTCATCCTTGTCACCTTGGCGAGCTGCTTGGGCAACAGAACTTTTCAGGGTTTAGGGTTTAGGGTTTAGGGAGGAACTGAAAGCCCGAGGGGTTTAGGGTTTAGGATTCAGGATTCAGGGTTTAGGGTTGAGGGTTCATGGTAGGTGCTTTGGTTGGGGTTTCATTGAGGGTTTAGGGTTGAGGGTTTAGGGTTCAGGGGTTGAGGGTTAAGGGTTTGAGTGGTGTCGTGTCTTTTCCTGGCAGTTCCTCGCAGTCCAGCTGCAAAAAGGGTTTAGCTGTATCTTTACAGAAGCAAAACTTGACATAGCATTCCCTTACAATCCCTGTATAAATAGACTATAAGAACCCTAGGAACCCTATTCTAATTATTGAGGCCCTTATATTGCTCAGGCTACACTGCCAGCCTTGCCTCCATGCTGGTCGTTCAGCGTGAGGCCTCAGGCGAGATCAACAGTCTCTCCTCAAGATTTTAGACAGGCGGTCAAGGGTGTAAGAGAGGTTTCACACCACAGTTACGCCACAACCTACTGTATCCTAGAACATACTACATATTACTGCATGTTCCTTTCCGTCTCCGAAGAAAGCAGGCTAAAGCGTATGATGTAATAATACACAAAGCTGCCCCCGATTGGCGCACACACGACGTCACGGTGCCCTTAGACTGCCAAGGTATGGCGGATGCTGAAAAAGCAGGCATTGCCGTCTGTGCACCAGCGGTATTGTCAGAAACCTTCAGCAGCTTGTACACGCAGGCTACTTTTCAAGACTGCGAAGGAATCGAAGACTGCCCCCGCCTGCTTCATGCAGGGAGATGTGGAGCCATGATCGCATCGCTGGATGTCATTGACAGTATGCATGCCGGCAAGATCAAGCAACAGGACTGCGACGCTGTGAACAGCGGTGCAATCTCTGAGGAGGTCGGCCGATGCAGCACCAATCACCTCGGCCAGCCTCGTGACGATTGTGATCTCCTGCGCGTGGGTGACTTGATTTGGAGCGTGCCGCTGTCCTTTCCGATCAGTGATCGGCTGGCTCACAGCATGTCTTGGGCCGTTACCCGTGCCCTGAGCGATGGGATGTTCGAGGCTGCGAAGGAGTCAGGGCCCAATAAGGCTGCTTTTCCTGTGACGCAGTGTACGCACACGGAAGACCGAAGTGAAACGGATGGCCACTTGGCTGGTTTTCTGTGTCTGCTTGCTAGATGTACTGCAGCGAGTGCTTCGTCTCAACCGCACCAGCCAAGCCTGAGAGCTCGTCTTTGAGCTGTGAGCCTTCCAGGATGGGCTATTAGGCCTTCTAATCCCCATAATGAACCCTATAAAGGCCCTTTTAATGGATTATAGGGTATAATAGCCCATCCTGGTTGAAGGGGATGGTGAAAAGGCCCAAAAATCTTGTCAGTCAAGCTTCCTGTATGAACTCCCCAAGCCAGTGCCAGGTCGCAGTTGCAAACGAAACGATTACTAGTCTCAATACCAGAAGCACTATCTTGCATCCTGGTCCCATGACACCGACTTCTGTGAAGCAGAAAGCAGACAGGGGTAGGGCTGTGAACTTTTTTTTTCTGAACCGAGGCCTTAACCTCGCAGATCTCACGGGCACAATCTTCATCTCCGTGTTCTTCGTGTCCTTCGGATTGGTCTGCTTTGTGATCGAGGCCACCTCAACCCACAAGCCTTGTCCCCATCATCCTCAAGCCCCCCCAAGTCCGCATTCCTGGAACAACCCGTTTTTGAGAGCCCTTACCCCTCTCCCCTGCCTTCCCCCTCCTTCCCCCTCCCCCCCAATCCCCCCACCTCCCCTCCCCCCCCCCCCCCCCCCCTAAAAAAAAAACCACCTTGAAGGTGATGCGGCGGGATGGCCGCCGGGGGATCGAGCTGGTGCGCCGCAGCACGCAGTCCCTTATAGGGCACGAGCCAGAAGCCGTCGAGACTTGGTCTGATGCGGGGTTTAGCACAACAGGTCCCAGGGTTGGAACACTTGCAGTGCGTTGGTGTGGAGGGATGAAGTAGCAATCAGTCTGATTAAAAAAAGGAGCCGAGTCTCCATGGACAGAGTCCCCAAACCTTCCCCCAGGGCCCAACCCAAGAAGCCGAGACCCAACGCAGTACAGAACTCGCCGTTCCTGAGGCCATCGGCTGCGATGCAGAGGAGCTATTTTTAATTTTAGTTTAGGGTCTAGGGTTTAGAGTTTAGGGCGTCATGCGTTTTCTAGCTCAGTCACAAGGCATCGTTGTGCTCGGACCAGCTCAGATGGGATCTACAGCCGTACTACAGCCCCCTTAGGAATGATGTGTATCTCTATTTCTATTGAAACCCAAGAACATATTATGAATCTCATTTTTATATTAAGGTTCTAAGGGGAGTATAGGGATGTGCTGGGGCTTCTTCTCTGGATGACAGACAGTAGGAGGAGACGCAGTTGGCTCCAGAGCCCGGGCCAGACCCCGCACCCATTGTGGAACCTCGTGAGAGCACGTCGCAGGCATCTCCGTTTGTTGAGGTGGCAGACACTCGCGTAGGGATCTAGAGAGTCTAGGGCCGGGCACATCCAGTTTATTCCGGGTGGCTGCAGTTTGCAATTGCTTTCAGTGCATGCGCATGCTCCCTCCTGGCACTTTCCCGCCGGGGTTCCCGCATGGCAAGCGAAAGCACATAATGTTGGGCCCACTTTCGGTGCCAGCCAATCTGGCCAACGTGTGTCTTCTTGTGCTTACATGAGAAGTTTGCTCTGTTGCTCTGGTACGGGGGTGGGCAACGTGCCACAGCCCGCGATCTTGCCGGCGCGTGCTGCTCGCAGCTTCTAGTGGCAAGATGTTTGCGCCGGTGGCGTCAAGGCGACTCCCAGCCGCGATGGTGATGCAGTGTGGTAGTGGTAGCACTGCGCCAGGCGCTGTAAGGCAGAGGCAGTCAAGGTTGTCGTCGAATGCGGGGAGTGCCGTCAAGCCTAGGGCGGGCTTTTCACCTTCAAATTCAGCCAAATTTACTGCATGTTCGGCGAATTGTGCCGTGACCGAAGTTCAGGCTGCCGCCACCATAAAGGGTGCGGTCAGCATGGGAATGCAAAGGTTTCTCTGTCACGCCCGGTTTGCGTGAAAAGGTGAAGTCGCCAACTTGGTTGTCTGGAGTTCTCCGAAGCTCAATCGGATGAACTCGGGGTCATCCTCCCCGACAATTCGATGGTTTGTTTTGCTCTGAAGATCAGCCTACAGACATGCAACAGCTGATGTGACACTGATGCTTTGGGGCCATGAATTGCAAAGCACAGTGGCTTTTACAACTCCGGTTATGCTTTCAAACTGAACCAATGGCTTCGTGGTGCTCTGGGGCGACTGCGTTGTCTTTGTCTGTCACTTCTTTTCTTTGTGCAAACCGAATAACCTGAGCTGCAACCCCATCGGATTCCGACAATTCTACCAACACTGTTGTGTTCCAGACTGCTGGACGAAGCCCGAATTCAGAACCCTTGCTCCCACACGGCTGGAGCCCTAAACCCTAAACCCTAAACCCTAAACCCTAAACCCTAAACCCTAAACCCTAAACCCTAAACCCTAAACCCTAAACCCTAAACCCTAAACGCCAGGCAATGAGGCACTGAAAGCCGGGCAACTCCCGCTTGCCATCGCGTGCTACACAATGGCCATTTCAGTCCACGGCTTGGTTTAAGGAGAGGTTATTCCATTACAATTATTCTTATTGAGATTATTATTGCTAGTAGGGTTTAGGGTTTAGAGGTTTAGGGTTTGGGGTTTAGCGGTTTGGGTGTTTGGTGGTTGGTTGGGGCTTTGGGGCTTCGTGCGCATGAGAGAGCGGGGCTTCGAAGTCTAGGTGAGTCAAGGGGCAAAAGGCTGGAAACCCCAAGCCGCCCAAGCCCTAGCCCCTACTAAACCCTGAGCCCTTTACAAGATGGACTCTTTGGGCCCTAAACCCTCAACCCTAAACCCTAAAACCTAAGCCCTAAACCCTAAACCCTAAACCCTAAACCCTAAACCCTAAACCCTAAACCCTAAACCCTAAACCCTAAACCCTAAACCCTAAACCCTAAACCCTGACAGCAGCTGTTTTGTTGGAGAAGTGAAGTGACAGGTGGAACCCCGCTCGGCCCCTGCTGCAATCATGTCTGCCCAAGATGTTGAGCTCTGTGGCTTCACCATCTTGGTGTGTTGTATCCATGCTCAGATGAGGTTTAGGGTTTAGGGTTTAGGGTTTGGGGTTTAGGATTTAGGGTTTAGGGTTTGGGGTTTAGGGTTTGGGGTTTAGGATTTAGGGTTTAGGGTGTAGGGTTTGGGGTTTGGGGTTCGCGGTTTGGGGGCTGCATGCACAGAGCGCAGTTTGTGAAGTAAGTGCCCGCAGCTGCCGAGGCAATTCGGCCGCTTGCAGAGACAGCGGCCAACTTCAAGCAGAATGCGTGAAGCTCAGTGTTACCACGTTGGAGCCGGAAGAGTTGCCAATATTCCCCCCTTTTCCCTGTTGTACCAGAAGTACAATCTCCCAACCCAGAACAACCATTCCAAGAAGCTCGGTGCTTACATTCCGGCCTAACAAAACCCAAAAGGGCATTTGGCTTTCAGATTGCATGCCGTCCCTACCACAGCCACAAACACCACTATCCGACCCCAGGTCGGTGACGCAACCTCTGAAAACCTACTGCCGCGCTCAGAAAACGGGAGACGAAGAGATCCTTCAGCGACGCCCCCCATGAACCCCAAAGCCATCCTGAACCCTGCAGGGACATGCAGGGACTGTCTCTACAATGAAGGCCCCTCCAACAAGAACCCACAATGTAGATTCCCCCTCTCGTAAACCCGTAAACCCGTAAACCCGTAAACCCGTAAACCCGTAAACCCGTAAACCCTAAACCCCAAACCCCGACCCCCCACCCCCCCAAAATCAAGACGCCAGGCTGCGGTGTACTCCTCGAACCGGTCAGCGGCCTTTGCCAAGCTGAAGCGTTGGCCTTGGGGCAGTTTGGGGACGCATGGTTTCGGGCTTTATTGGCTCGGGTTCAATAGTGTGTTTGGGTTTGTCCCTCATGTCTTGAAGGTTCGGAGGTTTTTTGTTTTTTTTGGGGGGAGGGCGGCGGAGGGTGCTCTGTTGGGGGTGACGGATGAGTCCGTTTGGAGCTGTAAGGCTGAGCACGGGAAATCAGGAGTTTTTGGGGCTGATGGCTCGGCTTGGGAGTCGTAGTTTTCATCCGATCTCTGCTTGTGGGGTAGGGCCCTCAACCATGGGGGAGTGCCAAGCGCAAACGTGGGAAGGGCCTTCTCTTCACCTCTTGAAAAAAACGTGCTGGGAGTCGCGTTCCCCAATGAAGTGCACGTATTTCGGGATTCTGTGGCAGTATTGCGTAACCCTGTCGGCAACTTCTTGTGTCTGCGTTTTTCAGGCAGTGGTACTTCTCGCTTGGTGACGCAGAGGAGTCTGCTCGACTCAGTGGCGCGCTCATGGCCTGTGCTTTGTTTAGGGTTTAGGGTTTGGGGTTTAGGGTGCTTTGTTGATTGCTTGCTGCTCCTTCTGAAGGGCTTGACTGTTTGGGACTCAAGGCTGTCAGGCTCTTCGTGTAGACTTGTGTGCCGAAATGCACCATTCGGCCGAGGCTCCGGGTGTTTTAATTGTGTGCAACTGTGCTCCATCGGCTTTTGTCAGCTTTGCAAAACAAGCTCCCGGCTTGACTGGATGTGGTGTGAGGGCCCAGCAACCCAACGAACCCGCGGCTCAGGCCCACAATGGTACAAGGCGCACCTGCGAATTGCTACTGCATACCTGGGCCAGGGGCATGTGGGAGGCCCAGTGCAATGACCGGTGCTCAAAAAGCGCTAGGCCGCGCTAGGTCGGAGGTCTTCCTACCGATTCCTGGGTAAGTCGAAGGTGGAGGCCACCTGACCCCTACTGCACGGTACATGCCCCTTTCAGGGCAGAGAGCCAGTCAAAACATCCCACGCAGAAAGCCCGCTCACATGCGAGGGGGCGAGGCATAGGACCAAGAAGACCTAGCACTGAACCTCAGGCTGAACATGCCTACAAGTGCGGGGCCCGGTAACACAGAAGTGTCCATGCACATCCATGCATTCTGACTTCCACTCTGAAGCCTTGAGTCGCATTCCTGGCTGGGTTTTGGCGGTGTTGGGCTGCAAGGGACTCAAGTTCTGTGAGTCCCGACGGGGTTCGGACAAAGAATGCCTGCAGAACGGCGGAATCGCAGTCCTTGATGTGTTCCTTGAAAAGCTTGTCCACACTGCTTGAGGACTTACCTCTTTGCCAGCGAGCTACCGCAGGGCTACGCAGAAGCCATGAGGGACCGACCCAACGTTGATCTGTAAACAGTTAACATGTCCCGAGCGCTTCGTGGTGGGAGCCAATGCAAAGCCGGATGCAACCTTCATGCTTCTCGCCAGCTGCCGCACTAGTCACTAATCTCACGAACATAGGGGTATTTCCCGCAATGGGTACCCCTTTTGGGAAACCCCAAATAGCATAGAATCCCCTTAAAGCGACCCCCAGAAAAGGGTACCCCAATTTTCGGAAACCCCCAAAGGAGTTTTCGCTGTTTCAGAGAAAGCTGAGGTTTGGGGATCCTTTTGCTGTAGCTTGTGGTCTTTGGGTCCTTGCTGTGTGCAAGAAGCGATTTGTGGGGAGCAGGTGCTTTCTGGGGGGGGGGGGAGTTTTCAGACCTCGCTCTCTTCCGAGTCGATCCGAAGCTCCTTACCAAGAGCCCTGAAGCAAACCCTACACCCTAAACCCGGAACCCACCCTGAGCGTTCGTTTCAACGAGGAGTGCTCCCATGCGCTGTGGCAGATTCCGTTGCTGGAGTCGCTGCCTCGTGTTTCTTCTGGGCTTCCCCCGGTCGGGCAGGTTGCAAAATTGGCTTCCGAGAGTTGTTTTGACTTTGGGGCGACTTGGGGTTTAGGGTTTAGGGTTTTTGTGTGACTTACTGATGGTCCGATGTTGTTGTGTGTTGACTTTCCGGAAGGTTCTTTCATTCTCGAGCCACCCCGAATCCTCTCCTTGTCCCTGCCCTCGTGGCTCTGAAAGTGCCCAATCGGCAAGCTCAGGACGGACGGGTAGCTCCTGTCATGTCGAAGCAGACTTAGGCAGAGTTCGAACTCCAACACTACGTTGCATCCACTGGATGCTTGTTACTCAACCCGCTGCTCAAGAAGCCTAGCTCATTTCCTGCTGCCAGCTTGGGCATGAAAGAGTTAGTTCATTGGGAAATTCCCATGCTAAGGTCGCCACTGGCCAAGCGACGGGTGAGCAGGTTTGACGAGGAGAAGCACTGGAGTTGTGACTGCTGCTCATCCAATTTGGACGGAAAAGAGACAGTAGGACACAATCGTCGCAAGGAACACTAGAAATGTGCCAAGTTGCGTGCCATCAACTTTACGGTCTGCTACTGCCGAATACTGTACACAGCCCCGTGTGTCTCTGTGGTGCACCCTGCTCCGCGCTTGTGCTCGGCGATGCCAAACTGTTACTTGCGGTTACTAGCGGATCTTCGAGCCCAGTCTGGCGCCTAACCAATTATCTGCTGTGAGTGCTCACGCCTCCTCTATGTGGCTTCTACTTGTAAAGTCGGACGAACAGCTAAGCTTCGAGTATCGTTGCTGATGCGACTGCTGCTGTGTTGAATCTGTACATTCGAATGTTGCCGATCAACGTATCCGGCTTGCTTTGTGTACATACTGACCGTAAACGGTTGTTTCCTTTGATGCTTCCATCTGCCCCGCAGGACGAACATTGCATAGGCCATTAAACAAAAATCCGCCAAAGCCAACAATACTGTGGAGGAGTTTCTGTGCACAAGATCCGGTAAGGGTTTGTCTAATGGACTTGCCACAGGACAAGAACAAGCCTCGCGGCTCTTGCAGGATCTTCGCCATCTCTGACGCGTGCGCCTCAGATGCGCATGTGCCTTAAGCTGAAGAGACATGCCTCATTCTGACTGTGCGCCTAGGACCCCATTGATTCCTTGATTAGGAGGTAACTATACTACTCGGCCCCCGAGTCGTTCGAATCCGCGAGAAGTTGGCTCAGGTGCACATTGACCATGGCGGCTCCGTCTTGAAGTGGGCTGAGGGCATCCACGATAAGGCCTGCCCATCGAATACCGAGTTGCTGGTGCTGTGGCTGTTTCTCTTCGGTGCTGTCGCTTGGATTTCAGACTCCGTCTTTGAAGGATCTCTACTAGGCCGAGGCGTGCAGTTGAGGATGTCTGGTCGCGCCCATAAGAAGTGTCTAATGGGTCCTCTATCAACAATTGCTCAATGTGTGATTTACAGCAATCAGCCGTAGGCATCTTTGGAGTGTGTCGGTGTGAGAGGAGTTTAAGAATGACATCCTTATCGTTGCCGGCGATCTCGGCGATACTTTCAACGCCATCAAGTGCTGGTCTCGGTGTCTTCTGCAAGCAGCTGTGTATCTACGGATGTACGGATGTCTACGGTAAATTAAAGACTTGGTCGCCGTGAGACTTTCGCCAAGGAAGCTAAGGCTGCTAAGGCTTAGGCGTGGTGGGGGGGGGGGAGCGGGATGCTGCACATCTTCAGGCACACCGAGTCTTGAGCCGATGCGCAGGGTAAGGCTCAAGCCACAGGCACGTCATGATGGAAGCAGCTTCAGAGGCGGCCGCCATGCTGAAATGGTCCCAACTCACAAGCGGGCTCCGGCACCACTCTTTGAGGCCTCTGACTTCTGAAGGTTCGGGGTTTAGGGTTTGGGGTTTAGGGTTTAGGGTTTAGGGTTAATTGCAGCGTCCGGGATGGAAGGTAGAAGGCAACTGGAAACTCAGGCTGTTTGTTGAGACCTTCAAAGCTGTGGTTGCTTGCAACTCAAGCCCGACTCAGCCCTACTGAGTGCGACCGCCCAAGGCCAAGCCTGCCCCAGAGCCCCAGACCTACACCCACCCCACCTAACACCACCATGGACTCTGCAAAGATCTGCATAGCAAAGACCAGCAGCCTGTTTCGCAGTAGGTATCCAAGCACCGAACCACAACGCCCGAAACCCCAAACCCCTCCAATCTTGAGCCCCATCCTTACCCTGAAGGGATGTTCGCAATGCTTTAGCGGCCCCCCGCGTGGCTTTGGGAATGTTTCAGCGTTAGGATCGTGTACTCCTTCTACGGGCTGCGAACTAGCAGACCATCTTAACCCGCTACAAGAAAGGGGTTGAGGGCAGGGTTTAGGGTTTAGGGTTTAGGGTTTGCGGTTTAGGGTTCATGTAGCCATACCTGCGACCATCGTTGCTACGTAGAGATAGGAGGCTGACGGCTGGGAAAAGCTATGGGCCCTGTTGGGGCTTTCCGTTACAGAAAAGTGAGACGCGGTCAAAATCACCGCTTCCTTATTTTAGTAGAGGGAGCAAGGCTTAAACAAGTGATTTTGACGCCGACTCAAGTAGATAGATACAGTAGGTCTACTTGTTGGGGCATTCCCCCCTCACATACATCTTGCGTTTTCGAGGAGGTTTGGGGTTTTGGTTCAACGGGCTACGGCTACGGCTAGGGGGGTTCCAGGTGATGGAGTGGATCTAGGGCTTGAGACAGACGTGACGTGGGATTCTACAATTCCCGGATTCTTGCCTGTATTTTCGGAAGGGCCAATTAGATCAACGACCTCTTCTACAAAGGTTCCGACCACAAGCCCCTAAAAACCCTAGGACCCCATGGGCTATGGGGGATGAAGGGAACTTGAAGTCGTTACGCTCCTATCTTGTCGTACAGTGAGGTTAGCTTACTGGAGCTTTAGGGAAGTAAGTAGGTGCAGGGCCGAGCAAGAGCCTGCGCAGAAATCTGCTTCCTTCTAGCGGCTGTCAAAGCACATCTCCAGAAAGCCTACACGGTAGTTTGCTAAGCGGCAGTTGAAAAGCCTCCCTACTTGATGTCCAGTGCAGGGCTCCCTACCCATACCCACCCCACTCCTCTAAGCCCCCACATGCCTTGCTCGAGAATAGCCAAGGGAGCGCTGGAGGCGACAGCAGCGCTTCGCCATGGCGACGGGACCTGCAGAGTGGGGGCTGGGAGATTTCATGAGCTTCAGGTTTGTTGCAACAAGGGTCAGTGGGGCGGGGGGGGGGAGGGGGGGGATGCATGGCGACGGGGACCCTTCCGAGATTTAACTGCTCAGGCCAGATTTCAGGCCTTTTGGGGTGTCTAGGGTTGTGCGCTTGTTGCCCTCCCTTGTGTCATTTCTGGAAGTTCTTGTCTTCTTGCCGAAGAATCGCCGCCGCCCTGTTGCCGTAGCCCGAAATTCCTTGTCTTGAGTCCCTAAATCCCTCTGCCCCTGACCAGCCCTGTGCCTGATGTTCAGTCTCTCCCTGCGCAGGATGCCACGCTCACATGAGGTGTACCAAGAGCCCAAAGCTTGTAGAAACTTCTTGCTCAAGAGTGCCTCTAGATTCCACTTGGATTTTTTCAGCCTCATGGCTGCTCTAGCTGTAGGCTCTCTTGAAGGCCCTCATGTCGGGGCAGAGGAAGATTCGCAGCGGCTTCTGAAAACAGACAGCCCAGAGAAGCAAAATGCACTCATGCTGCGGGTCCGTTCCTCCCAAGCCTGGTGCCTGGCCCTTATGGGGACGCTGGCCCTGGTGCTTGGCGCCGGTCTTACATACAAGTCCGGTGTTCTTGGCCCTCCTCGCTCAGATGTGTCCCCTGGGCCGATGGAGCCCTCGGAAGGCAGTGGCCTGATTTGGCTGGCCAAGCATGTCGGAAAGGAGCTGCCTGCAAATTTTGAGGACACCATGGTCTCTCGTGGGCCGACAGGGCTGGCGGCTCCCTCTGCGTCCAAGCGAAGTCTGCGAGACATCGTGCGGGCCATTCGCATCTACAGGTCGAGGAGGAAGGAGGAAAGCCAGAAGTTGAACACCGCGAATTGCGTGAACACCGTCTGGGACATGGCGAATTTCATGGGCTGGGCCGGCCTTTCAATCGATGCTCTCGCAATCAAGGGCCTTTGCCCCGACAAGGCGGATGACAAGAGCTGCGGGGCGACCTCCGTCAGCCTCGCTGTCAACCTCTTGTGGGTCTTGGCCAATGCTGTGCAGATTCCTTTGTGGTGCCTGCCTTCTGACGCCCCTTTGGAAAACAGCGCGCAAGTTGGCTGCGTTGGAACGATGGCCACTTTCTTTGCATCGATCTTGCAGATCACTTCAGATGGCTTGGCCATGAGAACCGCGTGCGATCTGGGACCCAAGCTCGAAGACTTTATCCCTGCAGTGGCGGACTTCAAAGCAAAAGTCCATGCGCGGATTCTTGATCTTAAGTCCCAGCCTTTTGAGCTTCCAAGCCAACCTCGCCACCAACAGTCTCGGAACGGCACAGCTCTCCTGCCACCGGAAAGGTGGCAAGACCTTCGGGCAAGGTTTCTCCAGGACATCGCCTTGCTCGGCCCAGACGAGACCCGAAAGAACGAGCTCGGCGCGTGCGCGATGATGACCATGCAAATCGTGAACGACTTCCCCTTCCTGGGCATCGACGTTTGGTCGGCAACAATGGATTGCAAGAAGGCCGCGACGGTTAACAAGCTTAACAAGGACTACGGCTTGTTTCAGGGTGACATGCCCGAGAGCACCGTGAAGGCGTGCACCTCCGACTCCCTGGGAATCATCGGCAGTTTTGTGAACCTGGCTACTGACATTGCTGTACTGATCTCGGTCTGCCCGGGCCCGAAGTCTCGCCCAAAGAAGCTCGGTAGGCCCTTGAAACATCATACGTTTTTCCCCTATTGGGTTCAAAGAGGATCATATTCAGGAAGACTCTTTTCAGAGGGTTTTCATTAAGGGCCATCCTAGGAAGACTCCATGCGTGGCAGCTTCCACCGACATCACCTCGCTGGCCTTCGGCCTCGGGGGCTGGGCGACCACGGTGGACGAGAGTTGCAACAGCGGCATGTACGAGCCCCCGAAGGAGAAGCCGCCCAAAGGGGAGAGGCTCCAACAAGTGAAGCAGAAGCTCAACCTGAGCTGACATTCCGAGATCGATGCGCTGTAGGTAGAGCAGGCAGTAGCAAGATTCTGCTCAGTTTCTTGGTGCTAGTCACGCTTTACTCTCTAGCCATTGACGAGAGTTCAGTGCGACCAATCTATCAGAGTCAAGGACGGTAGGCAAGTACTTGTGTCATCTCGTTTGATTGTCAGCGTGTCTCTTGCCATTTTAGGGGCCAGCAATGTGATGGATGATGTATGTGGCACCTATGTTTTGGGTAGTTTGCGCCGATGCATTTCACCAGAAGCTCATACCAAGAGCTTCGCCTGCCTGTGCCAGTGTGAGAGTCGGTACGCTTACGGGATGAGCGCAGACAGATGTGAAAAATAATCGTGGCTGCTTCCCCCATTAGCCTTACTGCAGTGCAATAGCTGAAGTATATGCGGGACCTTGAGCGAAATCCGACCTCAACCTTCAACTCCCTGCAAATGCCTCCAAGAGGCCAGCTAGGCAGGCGGCGAAGAAAAAGGACGAGTCAGTTTTGACCTGAGGTTGTAGGAAATAAGCGGACCATCAGACGACGAGCAACCTAGCATTGCAGTAGCGAACGGCTTGAATAGCCTCCCCTCTGAACCTTGCAGCACTTACCTGCCAAAGGCTTGCAAAGGAAACCATGAGGTTGAACCAGCCACGCGTCCCGTGCACCCTGCTGTCTCATACTAGTAGAGCCCAGACTTCCCAGAGGACGGCACATGTCGGTGCCAGCGTCGGGCGGGCGCCGAACTTCTCGCGCTACCCAGGCTTCAAAAATCGAGCTCGCAAGCTCTCAACCCTCAGGTTGCTGCAAACATGTTCGAGGAATGAGTGTAGCAGCTGCTTGCTGCATCCATTAAAAAAGGACTGGAAAGAGGGGTCCCTAAGGTTCCTTGACGTTCATACACGTCCTTCAAGCGGATGCCAAAGGTCCCTCTGTAGACTACTTGCAGAGTACTTGCAGGTTCATGGTGCTTTTTAACCAATGATTACTGTGTGTACAACTCTACTTGTAACCATACTGGGGCACTTGAGGGGCCTAGAAGTGGGTTATCAGTTCAGGTACTTGTTGGTTAACTTGTACCCCTAAACCCTAAACCTTAACCCTGTGCGAGTGTGAGAGTCGAAACCTTAACCCTTCACAAGTACCATGAACCTCCAAGTAACCTTGCCAGAGGTGGCGAGGAGGACGTCGCTGGCCTTGGTGCTGGCGACTCTGAGCTGCTTCTGCGGCTCAATGCTTGAGATCTCAAGGGCAACCGGTACCTTAAAAACCCAAGGCCTACTCTTTTGTGTAGGTTACCTAGGAATCCTATAAGGGGTTTTGTAGTAGTAGCCCGCAAAAAAAAGTAGGCTTTTGGGTTCTTAAGGCAGGGCAGGGGTGGGGCCGGTTGATCTGACAATGTCTTGTTTGGTTTCGGATGGGAGTTGGGGTCAAAAGATAGGTTGAAGGACTTCGAAACAGCGTGCTGACCCTGAGAACCTCGTTCCTGTCCGAATGTTGATGGAACAAACCGGCTCAGGTTGGCCAAGTTCCTAACAGAGGAGGAGGCGGATGGTGCCTTCAAGGCCCTCTGTCCGGGAGGTGAGATTGAGTACCAGCAGTGGTACCACATGCCAGACAAGAAGAAGCCTCCAGGCTCCAATTCGAGTTGCATCTTCGCTTGCTGGAGTATTGCTCTTGGGCTGGATGCAGACAGCTTGGTGAGGATTGAGTCAGCGATCCGACTTGCTATCTTCAGTTCCCAGCGCTCGTCGTGCCAGCTCAGGCCTTATGAGCCATTGAAGCGTTTGCAGCGGGTGAAGGTGGCTATGGCGGATCCCGAAGAACAAGGACTTCCCTGGTATCCTGGGCTGCATCTAGAAGTCCATGCAGTGTCCAGTACGTGAGGCCCTGGAAGAAGCTCACGAATCTAAGAATTTAGAGCGGTAAGGTCGGCCTTGTACTTTCTGCCTGCTATTGTTCCGAAGCAGCTGTTGTACAGCTGCTGCTCAGAGTCGCTACGACGTTGTCCTGTTTGCCAGGTATCGCTTTCCCGTCAACGACCAGCAGCGGTACGGGATCCTCCCCATGTCACCGACTGTGCGCATGCTCTGCGATCGCGTGAACAAGCGGCTTCTGTGCGCTGCAGAATATCTCACTGTCTTCATGAGGGAGTCTTTGAGTCTTAACCATGGGAGTAGCACACACAGGGGGTTTGAGGGCCCTAGATACGATCGGTAGAACTGAAGACGTGACAACCTGAACACGAATCTCCCTAAGGCTCGACGCATCCTTCAACCATGCGGTTGTCCTCTACTACGCTGACGGAAATGAGTGCATTGGGTACCACAAGGACCCGGAGAAAGATAAGCCGAAAGCACCCGAATTCGCACAGCCGTCCTTCGACAGAACAGCAGTTAGAGGTTCATCAAGTTGACTCCAAAGCGGGCTCTTGTAGTTCTTGTGTAGAACTTCGGTTTCCCAGGCTTTCTTTAAGTGCCGAGCAGGACAAGACGTTGGATTTGGATGAGAACTCTTCCATCGTCAGCATCTCACTGGGGCGCCCGGGGCGGCCATACGTCTTGCGAGATGATATCTTCAACCCCACGACTGAAATGGAGGTGGGGGTTTAGGTTTAGGGTTTAGTGTTTAAGGTTAGGGTTTAGGGTTTATGGGTGAATAGGAGATTTAGCGTCAGATTGCGTGATGTGACGTCTGAGAAGTTGCATGTTTGCCGACAGCCTCAAAGTCCGTTGCCCACAAAAGGGGGCACATGCTGGGACTGTTCAATTGACGAAGCCAAAAGTGCGAATGGCACAATGGTGAGAGTGTGCTGAGTGCTCACGACCAGGTGTTGCTTCCCCATGGCGGCCTGTTTAAGCTCGGGCCGCAGACCAACAAGACATTCTACCATGCTGTGCGGCAAACTCCCGCTGCGGAGAACGCCGGAGCACGGGTGTCGGTCACGTTCCGCCACGTGACCTCGTACGAGAAGTCCGGCGCGCTGACGCTCAGCTTTTGAAAGGTGGCGACTATCAGAGCAAGCCTATACCAAGTTGTACATGTTTTATAAACTTGTAAAACATTAGCATGTTTCATAAAACCTGTACCGAGTTGTATGTAAGTAAGAGAAGCCTCTTGTCTCGATCTTTGGTAGCCCAGGACTGGTAAAGGCTCGGATTTCCCGACACTGAACTGGCCTGCGCAGCTGAGCCTTGGATGTTTGACTTGTAAGTGTCCGGGCCGTCTGCTTTTCTTCGTCGGCTCGCGGAAAATGCCAGTCTGAAAGGCCATGTGTAGTTCGCGTCTCAGGTCGGCGGTGCTTCTCTCTAACGAGCTTCACACTTCCAAAATGTGCGGATTCGGTGGGATTGCAACTGGGGGGCCAACGTTGTCTTCTTGAAGATTGCCTTTGTCTGTTAGGAATGGTCAGCACCGCCTTGACGAAGATCTGGACCAGGCTCGGCCGCTGACAAAGTCCCAGGGTTTCAGACCCATCATGCGGTATGGCGAGGGAAGCACCGCTGGGCCACTTGCTCGTGACATCGACAGAGCATGGAGCATGTCGTGCGCGTCTCTTTTTGTTCAATCGCAAGCGTTCCGCCCCTCATCTGAGCACCACTTCAATGCATCCTCGGGCTGAACGCCCTCACGGACATGCAGTGCATGAGTCCCTGAAGCAAGTCTCTGATCGCTTCACGAAGTAAGCACAAAAGTGCGTTCACGGGCGGACGTGCTTCCTTACAGTCGACTTGTGTCGCTGCAACCCATGGGCCTGTTCCTTCGGAAGCAGTTTGGGGCTTCACACATGCGCCTCTCAGGGGTCCACGGTGAACACCCTGGCCAGAGCCTGGCAATGAGACTGAGACATCGGGCACCTAGTCGACGCTGTCCCCGTAAACCCTAGAACCTAAACCCTAAACCCGGTCCCTGACTCTTCGGTCAGCTCTCCGGAAGGCCTTGAGGCCGGAGCTGCACCCTGTGCATCATCAGGAAGGAACAGGATCCGCGGAACTCCAAGGCTCAAAAGTCCAACTCCTTTTACGGTCTGAGGATGTCTCTGGTGCTGGCCCAAACCTTCTGAGAATGTTTGGAGGAGGAGCGCTGAACACCCCTACGTTTGCCCAGCCAAAATGCAAGCGATGCCGAAAGAACGCCGGATCGCATGCAAGACAGCATCCCAAGCATCCCAAGCACTTCAAGCACTTCAAGCACTTCAACACTTCAGGCGCGCCTGAATCACGCCGGCAGGCAGTACCAACAAAGCTTGAAGAGCCCTTCCTTCCAATAACTGACCAAAGCAATGTCCTCAACTCCTGTTCCGGAAATTCGCCAGGAACTCGAGCGTCCCGAGACGACGACGACACCGAAAGCATCAACTGCTACAAAGAAGGCTGAGCCTTGCAGGGAGTGGGAGCAGGTGGTTCATGGGTTGTGACATGCGGGTGGCCAAGCAATGCGTTTAGGGTTTTGCTTCGCTTAGACTCAAAGTCCTAAACCCTAAACCCTCTAAACCCTAGGACCCAGGCAGGAACTTGGCAACAGCCCCAATTCTAGCTGCAGGCAAGTCATTTTCCCATCTTACGGTAACACTTCGTCTATGGCTGGTTCTTAGTAGGGAATGAGGGAATGGGGGAACCCTACATCCCCCTATATATACCCTTTGAGGGATTATGTAGGGTACCTCATTCCCCCATTCCCTACTATGAACCAGGTGGACTTTGCCAGCCGAAGAGTTGGCCCAGAAACGGCTGGGGGTTTACGAAAATAAGGGGCCCTCAATGTAAACCCCCAAAGAGTAGGACTCCCTTATGAGGGACCCCTAATAAGTAGTACGTCGTAGTAGTAGCAGTAGTAGTAGTAGTCGTCGTCGTAGTAGTAGTATATTCTAGCAGAGTAGGAGCCCCCAGAGTGAAAGTGAGGCCACGGGGCCGCAGCTCTCGTCGGCGGATGTCGAGCTCCTCCGGGAGTGCCTGGAGTCGATAGAGACAGGGTTTTAGGGTTTATACGGTTTTAGAGTTTGCGGTGTAGGGTTTTAGGGTTTAGGGTTTGGGGTTTAGGGTTTGAGGGTTTAGGGTTTGGGGGTTTAGGGTTTTAGGGTTTAGGGTTTCGAAGCACCTGTGTGTCAGCATACTTACCCGGCAGACTTCGGAGGCCTGGATGTAAAAGGGTTTAGGGTTTAGGGTTGAGGAAGGCAGCATTCCACCAGGGGGTGTACTTTCAGTTCAAGCAGTAGGGAGTCGGCGATCTTCTCTGGATGTTTCTGAGCCTCGAGCTCTTGCTTTTCAGACCGAGTGTCGAAGGTGCCTTGCCGAGGCGTCGCTGGAGGACTTTCTTGCTTGTCTTCGCTTCGCGTAAGTGAGGTGCGCCTGGCGAAATCGTAGACGGGTCTCCTAGGCACTCCATGGTCAGTTCCCTATGCAAGAAATCAGTCTTTGGTACCGAGGCCCCCCCCCCCCCAAAGAAGCACTCCTAGCCCTGAAATTCAGAAAGCCTGTTGATGTTTGGTACCTGATAGAGATTATTTAGCATGCATTATAAGCGTTCATTAGTGAAACCTATGCCATGAATATCATCTACATTGTCTTGGTACTTGTAGCAGGACTTTTTCGAGGCAAACGACCTCAAGGGTGCGGGACTGGCAGCGCGCGCGTTGCTGCTTGAAAAGGCCTCCGGTCCTTGACACCAAGTCATCAACATCTGAAGCCCTAAACCAGAAACCCTAAAACCTAAACCGGGGGAGGTGTCTGAGGGTTGCGATTCCTACGCAAGCTCCTTCCGATTTGTGTGCACAAGGGCATGCCGGCTAATTTCATTGCAGTCTTGGCAAATTCTCGTCCTGTATCGACAGGGAATGACCGTAAAAGCCCTCAAAGCCATGTGGGGTTTAGGGCTGGAGGGTCTGAGACGGTCTGAGCATGTCCGGCCAGGACATCATAGCCCGGATGCAAAAAGGCTAGAGTCTGTACACTGTGGGAACTGACGGGTGAACCCCAACACATCCTAGCGCCGCTGGGGCCCTAATTTGGAACCACCCCCACCGCCTTAAACCCTAAACTCCCCTGGCCCCAGTTGAATCGCCACATGCGGGAGGTTGGAGAGACCCGCAGCGCTGCGCTCTCTAAGGCGTTCGGCGGATTACTCGGGCTTTGGGGGAGGCGTTCGGGATTCGGAGGTTGCTGGAGGATTTTTAGGAGGGTTTAGGGTTTTAGGGTCTTTTTAGGAGGTAACATAGAAGAGGATCAGAGTGCGGGCAGGGTCCGGTTGCACACTGCAGTTGGGACTGGGTCAGAATTGTGGAGGCGCTGGGCGGCCGCATTGGCGAGGCCTACCATACCTGGAAGAAGGCTGGGCGGCTTTGGAGCAAGCGAGGTGTTTAGCGGGCACACTGTATTTGTGCACGTCGTGGATCGCGCGGACATGCACGGACGAATGCAGACGCAAGGGGGCCACATGGAGGGCCACATGGAGTGCATGGTCACGGGACGCTTTTGCTATAACATGATTGCCGTTATGTCGAGGGGCTCCCACGGAAATGATTGCAAAGGGGAAGGGTAATATTTCAGAGTGGGCCATGATTTCAAGACGCCACTGCCCCTTCCCCCCCCCCCCCCCCTGCGGCTGTTGTTAGAGGATGTGTGTGTGTGTGTGTGTGTGTGCGTCAAGACACCTGGTTTTGCCCTTCTGGCGCGAACTGGCAAAACGAAACCCGCTTTGAGTACAGCAAGTTTCTTGGCCCGTATATAGCTGCTTCACACATTTAGGAAGCCTACCATATGTGGGCCCGTTGATGTTCTCTAAGTACTATATATACATACATATGTATATATGTATATGTGTATGTATGTATGTATGTGTATATATATATATATATGTATATATCTAGAATAGAACATAAAGTATACTGATGCAATATATATATATATATACAGATTGTATCTATCCATTTATGGAGTATAAGCATATGAACAAAAGAGACAAAGACAAAACCACATAAATGAATAAATAAATAAATACACGAATATATGAAGATACATATTTGTACCTGCAGGCGAAGCAGGCCCAAAAGGAGCCTCCAGCTGCCAAGCCCGTAGCTCCGCAGGATCCTGCATGGAAACCTTGGGAGGTCTTCGGGGGTCGAGTTTAGGGCCTCTAGGGAGGGTTTAGGGTTTAGGGTTTAGGGTTTAGGGTTTAGGGTTTCAGGAGCCCTGAAGCAAAAAAGGGTTTAGGGTTTAGGGTTTAGGGTCTATGCAGTCTGTCGGGTTGGGCGAGTTGGGTTTACAGTTTCTTGTTGTTTCTTTTCGAAAGGTTTATGGGGCTGACAAAGTTTATAGGCCTTCTACATGGTTTCTAGGGCTTCTCGGGTTCAGAGTTATGGTGATTCTGGGGTCGCAAGACTCAGCCTTGCCGGCGTGGGCCTTGAGGGTCTTGCAATCTGAGAGGAGGTTCAGGATCACTTGGAGCTGCCAATGAGGGTCACACAAGATTCAGAAGCCCTCCACTTCACCTCTGCAAGAAGCTCTTTTCATCGCGGTTACAAGGCCACCTAGCTGTGGACCCCAAACCCTAAACCCCTAAACCCCTAAACCCTAAAGCCTAAACCCTAAACCCCAAACCCCTAAACCCCTAAACCCTGGAGGAGCCCGGGCCAACAACCCCCGCACCAGCTCAGCCGGTCTCAGCAGCCCCGGCATCGGCACCCCGCTGGTCGCTGGGCGCGCTGATGTCGCGCCACCTGGCCAACCAGCATGCGCTCTCAGGCCTTGTAATTATAAATTTTAAGGGGCCTTTTCAGGCCTTGGAATTCTAAATTTCAAGGGGCCTTTTCAAGAGGTTATAGGGTATACTGGCCCATGCAGGAGAGTACCTGCGACTCACGGAGTCTCTGCAAAACAGCCGTACCGAACCAAAAGTTCGCGGCCCATGCCTTGAAAACCCTACGGGTGTTCTTTGCTGCTCCGGCTTGTTGCGCTAATCCGGCCGGGTCGACTTGTGGTTTCAGCCAGGTCGACCAGCGCTGCGCTAGTTCTGCATGGGTATATTCGCGCCTGCCAGTCTGCTTTCATGTCGCCGTGAGATAGTGGGCCCGTGTGCATGTACGTGCGCATCAACTTTGACCCCAGCTGATGTGGGTATTTTCAAAAATAGAGTACCCTGAACACACCCCAAAATAGTCAATAAGTCTACAGTCTAATCCTTTTTCTAGAAACCCGCAAAAGGGCAAAAGGGTACCCCTTTTTTCGGAAGCCCTCATGTACTCCGTACGCTTTGAGAGGTTGGCTCTGGGGCGAGCCAGACCCTACTCCGGAGGACCTGCGGCTGGACATGACAGGTAAACATGATTTGCCTTGACAAAAACCTAACACCCTGCAAGAGTTCTACATTCCTGTAAGGCTCCTCAAGCCTACATTAAGCCAAAACCCAAAAGCTTTACACCCTAAACCCCGTGGACCCAGAGGGCCCTGAAACGCCAGAGGAGTTGCTTTCCTTCTGGTTCGGGGACGAGCCCTACAAGTTTCGGGGGGGCCTCTGGTGGCGAGGCCCCTTGATGCCCCAAAACTGTCAGCTGTCCATTTTCTAAACATGTTCCCAACAGCACACCCACTTTGCACGCGCCTGGACACGGCTTCAGCAAATCAAGATCGTGGCACGGCCATCAGTAGGACACGACTTAGCTGACTTAGAGCTGTGTTTTGTCATAATTGCAAACTTAAGCGGGCTTAAAAAGGCAACGGTTGCACAGAGCCGCGCAGAGTTGCTTGGAGTCGGCGGGCTGGCCACGACTAGCTCTTGAGATCCACAGGCATTGACGACAGCCCCTACAGGCCAATTCGGCATCAACTGGTTCCGCTACCCTAAACCCGAAGCCGTAAACCCGAAACCCTAAAATAGCTACTTCCCGGCAGAGTGTCCGAGAGGTCAGCTAAGCGGGTGGCAAAAAACCTAAAACCTAAAAGCAAGTTGAACTCCTTGACAAGCCCTCACAAAGCGATCGACTACTTCCCGCGGAGGTGAGTACAGTTATAAGTACAGTTATAATTTGTTAGTAAGTACCATGAACCTCCAAGTAGAAGCAGTCAGCTTCGCAGATCAACACCACCTGTCAAGCAGTACTGTTCCAGTGGTTGTCGGAGCGCGCAGGATAAGGCCGCCCAAGACTCCCTTTAGGGTTTAGGGTTTTCGGGTTTAGGGTTTGGGGTTTAGGGCTGAATCGGTTCTCCATCTTTGCATCGGCCATTGCGGAGAGAGCATTCCGCCAGGGCTTAATCAACGGCTGGAACTGATGTTTGCTCCTAGAAGAAGAATTCTCCTTGGTTCTTGCTGTCGATCTTGTGGGGGATGTCGGACCTAGTTGTTATTCGACACAACGAGCGAATAACCCGGTAGTTCTCATAGAGTAAGCCCATGAAATGTATGAACAAAGCCTTGGGTCTCTATAGCCAGCAAGAGAAGGAAGAGGTCAGCTTCACCTTGAGCTGCAGGGGCTCAGATCTGAGAACCGAACCGTTGTGAGCATTTAGGGTTTAAGGTTTAGGGCTTAGGGTTTAGGGTTTAGGGTTTAGGGTTTAGGCACATAGGGAGCCATCGCCTATCTTGCCGCCAGGAATCGATCCGGCCAGCCCACACGATGGCCAGGATGGTACCGCCATCGCATGTCTTTCAAGGGATGAAGACTCGTACCCCTAAGGAGATAGCCCCAAAGGTTCCCCTTAATATACTCCTAAGATGGCCCTTATATTCTCTTAAAGATCCTTAAAAGGGACCCCGAAACTCAAGGAGGTAGAACCCCTAGAGTTTTATCATGTCTCGATTATACCTTATACTCTGCTTATACTCTAGTTCTCTGTCAGAACCTGAAAATGTTGGTGGCTATGTTGCAATCTCCTTTTTTGAACGCCAGCTTTGTCAGCAAGAGCCTCTGAGCCTTCTCAGGCACTTCGGCTGTAGATGGGAAAATTCCAGACGAAAAGCAGCTTTGGGCAACCTTTCAAGACCCCAAACCCATTGGTTTCCTCCACAAAGCAACACACGCGCGGACACTGCAATCGGGAGGAGGGCACCGACAAGCGCATCTTTGACAAGTACAGCGCGCTGATTCGCAGCTGCCAGAAGGGTCTCGCCTCCTCCAAGGCTACAGGGCGGCGCTTGGGGGACCTTCGGGGCACATGCAGAAGGATTTTGAGCGGGTGCTCTTCGAGATGCCTGCGGTTGGGGTCAAGGTTAGGGTCAATTCCAGGTCAACACATTGGAGAGCGCGCATCCACAAGCTCGGACGTTACAGGCCCTGACGCAATGTGACTGGGAGGTGCGGTTGTGGCGTGCTGTCGGAACTAAACCCTAAACCCTAAACCACCTAGGTTGCTTCGTGGACTGGCACTACGGCTGGCACTGCCGCTCTGGTGGTATTGCTTCTTGGCTGATTTGGGCGTTTCCGAAAATTGGGATACCCTTCTTTTGTGTTCCTATCATGAAGATGAAACTATTTCGTGGTATATTCAGGGCACCCCTATTTGGGTAACTTGCCATTTAGGAGGAGATGGGGGGAACAGTTGCTGATGATCGGATGACCGAATGTTTGGGCTGTCTGAGAGCAGCACATCTTTGACGAAGTCTTGCAGCAAGTCAGTGTTGAGACGCTGTGAATGTTTGCGATTTCTGCAGCAACCGCGGTTTTTTAGCTTGTACGGTCCTACGCGACGTTAACTTTGGCTTTGCTTGACTGCACTTTACCCATGCGTTCATATACACCCTCACATGTATAAAGGAGAGAGAGATATGTGTATATATACAGACCCATATATATATATATATACATGTATATGTTTATACGTATTATACATATATATATATATATATGTATACAGTACATATACCCGCATCGTCTTATTTGCCAGCCCAGGCTTGACCAGATGCCCCGAAACGCTTTCCGTGGGACTGCAGAAATGTTTGCCTACGATGTCCTGGCGCAGGCTTGCGGGTTTATAGATCTGTGGCTCAGGGGCATCGGAGGTTTAGGGGCTCTGTGAATGTGACATCAGGGCCTTTGTTTCTTGCGCCCTCGTCAGAATGGACATAGCTGAGGGCTTCTTCATTGTCGTGCGCCATTGAGTTAATGTAGCCCCGAGCTCGTGTTTTTACTCTCATCATGCCTGTGCCTTGGGCAGGGTCCGGGGATGAGAAGGGGATGAGGAAAAAGGGGGGCTTGGGCAGGCAAAAAAGCATAAGAACCCGAAACCCTCCACAGAACCCTGCAAGCTTTGGATGCCGCGCTTCAAGCACCTTTGGGCTTTGCAGCTTTGCAGGGGTCGAAGGAACCGAAGATCCATCTTTCATGGGAACCCACAATCCTGGAACGAACATGCCACCAGGACATCGCCAAGGAGTTGCTGAAATGCGCCCCTGGGCTGGCAAAATGGGTGCTCCGGCCTGAGGGCTTCGGTGAAGTTTCCCATGTTCCCCAAGCCTCGACATCCAAGCTGCCAATATTGTGTGCTGTAAAGAGGGAGCATTTTCCCTTTATGTTGGGGTAATCGGCCATGATTATTGGTACTTGGGAGACTTCAACCTGTTTGGGCATTGGGAATAGAGGCGTAGGGCTTTGGTGTACACGGTCCAGGGTTTAGGATTTGTGGTTCATGGGCCTGCAAAGCATCCAAGTCTGCTGAGCTTTGCCGGCTGGAATCTTTACCGGGAAGGTTCACAGCCGAACCCAGAAACCTCCTCCCCAAAGCAAACTACTATCAAGCAGCCTCGTAGAAAAGCCAAATACCCCAAAGCGAAAAACAAAACCCGAATTCGCCCCCAGGAGTCCCTACCCTGGCCTCACGCGACCTTCGCCCACGTGGCGCTGATGCACTCCGAGGATGTTGCGACGGTGGAGGCATGGTCGGTGTAAACGAAGTCTGCCGCCTTGTGGATGGTTTTGTTTGTGATGCTGCTGTTTCGCTACAGTCCCCTGAGGAAGTGTGCCCCTTTTTTGGCTTCTGTAAACCCAAGAAGCTATCAAACGTAGGTTCTCAGGGGGGCATAGTCAGGACCTTAGGATTGAAGGCCGAGTTTTCACGTTCCCGGCAGCGCCTCTTAGCGAAGTTTCGGAGGGACTGCTGCAGAGCTCCCAGTCAGATGCCGTAGCTTTTTCACGGGGTGAGGTTGTTGCATTGGGATGTCTACGGCTTGGAGCTTTTCCTTGGGCTTTGTGTTTACAATGTTTACCACCGTTGCTGCAAGAACGTTCTTGATACTGCCTCATAGCTGCAGCAGTTCGCAAGAAAGCTAGGATCTACTTTAGAGTGGCTTGGCTCGTGATCCACTAGGCTGCACAGGCTTTAGATTCGAAACCCCAGGAGGCAGCTTTGGGTCTTCTGCGCCTGGCCAGCGAAGTGGAGCCGCACATCGCGAATCGCTTGAAGCGCCTGGGTCTAACTGACACCACTGCTTCCCATCCAGAACTCTTACTTGGGTGCTTGACGTTGGGGTACTGGATGGAGTGGCTGAAGCAGGACCGCCCTGCACAGTCATTTTCTTCATACCTAAACCCCTAAACCCTAAACCCTAAACCCTAAACCCTAAACCCTAAACCCTAACCCCTAAACCCCTAAACCCCTAAACCCCTAAACCCCTAAACCCTAAACCCCAATGAGCCTCTCCTTCCTGCCAAGATGGAGATGCTCGCAGCGCCAGGTCTATGCACAACGAGGCCAAGACGCACAGCTCAGTGCTGCGCAGCTTCGGCCGCTCCTTGGCTTAGGGTTCAGGGTTCAGGGTTCAGGGTTCAGGGTTCAGGGTTCAGGGTTCAGGGTTCAGGGTTTAGGGTTTAGGGTTTAGGGTTTAGGGTTCAGGGTTCAGGGTTTAGGGTTTAGGGTTTAGGGTTTAGGTTTTAGGGTTTAGGGTTTAGGGTTTAGCCTGGAAGCTTGAGTGCTTGGCCCACTCGGGACTTGGGGGTTTCGATGAGAAGGCCTTGGTCTGACTTCTTGGTTTTTCCTTTGTGCCCGAAACTGAAGGAATGTACTTTCTATAGAGACCTGGGAAGGGCCTGAAATTTGGAGCTGGTTTCGTTTAGTGGCCGGGGGCGCAGGGCGGTGGTTGCAGATCCGGTAGCTGTCATGCTTTTAATGCTGAAGCTGATGCTGTGTCTCAAGCCTCTTGCGTGGAATCCCGATCCCGGAACACGCTCACCCTATTTGTATGATTATGATGATTATATTCATATACTTATTGTTATTATAGTATTGCTATCATTATACTATGATGTTAATTATGTTTTCCTATGATTGCAGACATATTTTTAGTATTATTCTTCAATCATTAAAGTTATATATTCTCGGCCCGAGGCAGCTCTGCACCCTTTAAATTCTGCACCCGAAGGAAATCGATCTTACCTATAGGCTGCAAGTGGAGAGTTGCCGCAGGTTATCCCCACCGCAACGAACTCCTCGGTCGCCAAAGCTCAGATGCGGAGCTCGCTTGGCTCCGCCCCAAGCAACTCGCAGCAACCCGGGTTCAGGGAAATTTCCTCCAGGCATATGAACCTATAGGGGCAGCAGTCAGAGGATTCTCCTGCTTCTTTCCAGGATTGCACTGTGTGAAATTACAGGCGCGTGAACAGCTGCAGGAACCTTCCTTCATGGGCCCAGTCCGTTCGCCCAAAGTATCAGCAGAAGCTGGAGCCCAGCACCAAGGAGACGTGACGTGCTTGGGCAGTTTCGTGGCTTACAGACTCTAGCACTGTAGCGTCCCCTTGCGGTGCGCCAGTTTCGGCATTCATAGGGTTCAAGTGGGCATTTAGTCTGCACATACTGTAAGTCGACCAGGGCGATCCTGCGGTTCCGGTGTAAGGGCCCAAGTTTCGTTTACTATGCGAGCCATTTTGACAACTAGGCACCCCAAACGAGGAGCTACAACTCGGTTCCGAAGTTACCCCCCAAATGGTGGCACCTAATTTAGAGACCTATTTCCCAAATATGGGTTTAAACATAGTGTTTCCAACATGTCGTAGATGCTCAGTCAGGAGGCGGAGATGGTTCCGGCTGTTGAGAGCGGCCCGAAGCTCCGCATTCTCGTGCTCCACAGCAGCCTCGGTCGCACAGTAGCAGACGCTGCTGCTGCCAGTCTGGGCTTTGAGGGCTTCCAAACTGTCGTTTTTCCCTATGGCTTAACTCATCGCCTATGGCCTAACCTATGGCCTAATGTATTTTCCCTATGGCCTAACTCAGTCTGCATGAAAAGGAGAGAACCTTCTTCTTTTTTTGTGCCAGAATAATACATTAGGCCATAGGTTAGGCCATAGGTGATGCGTCAGGCCATAGGGAAAAACGACACTTCGCAAGCTTTCGAAGCCTGTGGAGGCCGTTGAAAGCCCACAGGTGCCTAGATGAACCCCCTGAGAAAGTGCGTGGCTAGCCGTGCGGCAAGAATCATGGAACAGGTCTAGGATTTTGTTCAGTTTTGGGTGAATTGAGCCGACGTGGTATTCTGCGGGTGTTGCATCGTAGATGCCAGCCCGCGCCAGAGGCAATCGCCAGAATGCAGCCGACTTCAAGCGCAAAACTCGCTCGCCGCTGCAACCCCTGGAGGTGCTTTAACACATTTTTTGGGGCTACTGTCTCAAGAAATGACATAGTAATTGCGAAAGCTACATAGTAGTATGTAAATATAATAGTGATAGTCATAAGGCCATGAAAAAAACAGTATGTCTATAGTAGCAAGAATGATATGGATGCGTGCCGGCGGCAGTCAATCGTCCTGTTGTCAAACCAGATGTATGTGCAAGAGAAGTCGTTGTAAAATGTTAGTGCGGCAAACTTGCAGACTGCCGCGTCTGGGGGCAGAGTAAAGAGTACAGTTGACTTCACCGACCACCCACGGGTGCCTCTGCTGCTGGAAACACTTCTTGGGTTTAGGGTTTAGGGTTTAGGGTTTAGGGTTTAGGGTTTAGGGTTTAGGGTTTAGGGTTTAGGGCCGGCGGGACGCGTGCGCTAGCCCAGTGGCCCGGTGCCCTGAAATGCTTCATGTGCCGTGAGAAGCCTTTGTGCTTGTGTAGGCGGTTGCAGATCTCCACTTCCTGGACGGGCCACATGCCTACACGCCGATGGGGGAGGCGGACTGGTATGATGGACTCAAAATAGGTCCTCAGTTTCAGGCTGTAGCTTAAGGATGTTTGGGAATGAATTAGATCCTGCTTGAAACTGGGCTTCGTCACATCTGAGTTTCCTTGCTGGTTTGTTCTGAAGTCAGGGTAGCACAGACGCCCTAGACGCTGGCCGAAATCCTCCGTCTCCAAGTTGCGAGTTTTCTTGAGGGCTCCCTATAGTAGGAGCTACTGATGCAGACGAAGGGTTTTGGGTCTAGGGCGGGATCGTGCAAAGCACTGCCAGGCAAATGACTCCATTGGGAAGATGGGTGCCAATGCTCCGAAGAACCGATCCTGGTGGAATCTCGACCGAACTGTAGTAGTAGGCGGCTTCCCGGCAAAGCACACATTGTGTTGCTTCCTGCTCTGGACCGTTGATCACCGAGAGGGCCACTCCAGGTGATGCGAGCTGAAAGATGTAGGCAGGTTGTTGGCATTGCCACACACCTTTCTCCAGGTGAGAAAACGGACAAACTGATTTCTTCGCGACGCGGTATCTAAATTGGCTGGGACAGGTGGTTGCAACACCTTGGGCTGTCCCCCCCCCCTTATATTCACAGTCCTGAATAGGGATTATAATAGGGAGGTATGATCATCCCGATCAAGGACTGCTAGTCTAAGGGGGAACATCCCCAGCGACACCGCTAGCTGAGAAAGCTCCAAACCTTGAAAACCCAAAGCCTACTTTTTTTGTAGTTTGCCTAAGAATCCTATACGGGTTTTGTAGTAATATCTCTCACAAAGAGGCAGGTTTTGGGCTCTTAAGGTAAGGCTTTTCAGGGTTTGGAGTGTGGGCCAGTAGTCAAGTAGGTGGCTTTAGGTCATACGTACTCTCGGGAACTGGACAAGGAAGTAGTGGGCCGAGCTCATGACAGTGGTCTGAGGAATTCCACCGATGACCCAGCCACGATGCGCTATGTGGCCTCGACCCTTCATATGGTTTCTGAAATTATGCTCCTTGAGTCTCGGGTAGACCTACAGGGATCTGGGGTCCCCCAACACTGGCCAGGAGCCGCATGTTCTTTTGTATGCCGCCCCTGCGCTCTACAAGTCGTAATTACCCTTTTCGTCCTAGGACCAATCGAAACTTGCTTAGTATCCCTAAACCCTAAACCTAAACCCTAAACCCCATCTGCCTCCGAGGTGGGCATTGAAAAGACCCTCGAGCACGTTGAGAATGCTTTCCGCGAGCATGGGCCCTTCGACGGCATCATCGGCTTCTCGCAGGCAGGAGCCATCTTAGCATCTCAGGCCGGTTTCGGGTTTAGGGTTTAGGGTTATGGTTTAGGGTTTAGGTTTAGGGTTTAAGGGTTAGAGGTACGCCAGAGCATCTTAAATCCGAAATCTTCAAGTCCACGTCTTTCGACGGCTTGCAAGGGGGCAGAAGCTGTCACTCGAAGGGGTACCTGACTTCTGTGCCGCCTTTAATGGGATGTTTTGGGGGAGCATCTGGAGTCCGTCGTCTCAGCTGCATGTCAACTTAGGCCACTCGTGAGATGTGATGCAACGCGACATGCTGCGGTTCTTTCCTCCTGGAACAGGATTGGAGAGGTAGCACATGCATTCAGACAAGACAAAGAGTCGCCACAGCTTCTGTAGCATCAGCCTGTCGCAAGCACACCAAGAATAGAAAGAACAAAGGCAGGCAGATAGGTCTTGAGATATATGCAGCAGGAGATGTGACATAACCTACTGGGTGTGTACTGACCTGAAGAAGCTCCTTCATTGTCGGCGGTATGCAAGCCATGCAGATTCCGCCCGCGCCTGTTCCGGAAGAACCTTCTGGGGAGTCAGCGCACCTACGCAGCGTTGTGGACATCGTGGTCCGCATGGAGCCCGTTTCCGCTGACGTACTCCGCGCCACACGAGCAGGCGATGCACTGCAACCCTTGGCCCGAACTTTCTTCAGACCTGGCTACTTGCACCACCTGAGCCTATATCCCCCTTGGGAATTATTTTGTTTTGTTTTGTTTATATAAAACCCAAAAGAGGGTATCATGTAAACAGTATTTTTCTTAAGGCTCCAAAAGGGGGGAGCAGAGGAGCCATCAGACGAACGAGATCTCGACGTTCTGGAGCCACAGCTGGCAGGGCTCAGCTTGGAAGAAGCATTTGACCCTTCTGCTGCTTTACAACGCCACTTAGGGGTACTTGGAAACATGATTCACATTTTGGGGCACTATAATTCTTAAGAAACAGCAAAAAAATCTTGCTAGGGTTCCAGGTTCAGTATAGGCCAGCACTGCGGCTGCACTCTCCTGCTTGGGGGCTGCTGTCGCCTCAGGCCTCTTTTTTCTGGAGCTCCTCCCGGTGCTTCGGATGCCGGAAGATTCCGCTCATTGGCAGTCATTCTGGGCAGGGGCTGTAGGCATCATTCTCTATTCCATCGTGCTTGTGCTGTGGAGATCCAAGAGCCCGGTCTTTGTGGATGTGATCTGCGTAGATCAAGTAAATCCGCAAAGGAAAGGGCAAGGGATGCTAAGCATCGGCGGTTTTCTCAAGCACTCCAGCTCGATGCTCATTTTGTTTGACGCGACCTTCTGCCATAGACTGTGGTGCGTCTTCGAGATCGCAGCCTTCGTGAAGAGCAGGCCCAAGGGCCAGCGTCCAAAATTCATCATTCGGCCCACCACTCTTGGCCCATGCTATCTCTTGTTCACGATGACGGTCTGGGCATTGACGATTGTGGGTGACATTGTTCCAGACAGCGATCAGGAGTTGATGTGGGCGCTCCAGGCCCTGGCTGTGTTCATCGGCTTTTCCGGGAGCACCTTCGTTCTCAGACGCTTCTTCCACTCGGTCGACGCGTGCCGCGACATGTTGGGGGTCTTTACTGTTCGAGATGCCAGCTGCTGCTGTTGCAGCAGCAACCATGCAGACAACCATGGCCTGTGCGACCGGAAGATCATGATCGAGTGCATCACGGCATGGTTTGGCAGCGTCGAAAACTTTGAGGATGCTGTGAGAAGTGACCTCGCAGGAGTTGTGCTGGAACAATCCCAGCAGGCGATTTCCTATGGCCAAGTCGTGCTGGCTCTCGTTCCCCTGGTTTGGAACTACTTGGACAGAGCTTCGGCATACGCCAGATTCACATCATGGGATCCCAGAACTCAGGCGCTACGAGAGTTGATAAGAGGACTGGGCTGGTGGTTGGGGCTCGGCCCATTGGCCGCTCTCACGCAATTTTGGCTGACATACAAGTTGCGGTGGAGGTGCAGCACATGGTGGTGCGATGCGCTGTTGAACCTGCCCCCACTGCTCGGCATGGGGGTCGTGATTGCTGGGCTGCAGCAGTTTGAACACTGGTGCTTCGTGCTGGTGGCCTTCGAGCATGATGCAAAAGTTCCCGCCATGTTGGTCTTTTCAACAGCCACGATCACTGCGGCACTGGCGCTTTTTCGGTGTGCGCGGCATGCCCGGATTCACAGTTAGATGCATTGGCAGCGACGTGTGCTCCAGCTCAAAAACAGGACGATTCTGAGAACAGTGTCCACGTTGGTACGATTGGAATTCGCGATGTTTCACGCATGTTTATGATTGCTGGCTTCCTGGCTTCCCCGCACTGTGCATGCAGAATGCCCAGGTCGCAGCGCAAGTTTTTAAATCTGAGCTTTGTAGAGAAGACTGTTTTGACAATAGAGACGCAAAATGAGCGCATCGTTTAGCAGAGTTTTCACGGTACCAGATCAGAAGTTCGCTTAGCCCTAACCATGCACCCTAAACTCTAAACCCTAAACCCTAAACCCTAAACCCTAAACCCTAAACCCTAAACCCTAAACCCTAACCCTAAACCCTAAGCCCTAAGCCCTAAGCCCTAAGCCCTAAGCCCTAAGCCCTAAGCCCTACCTCTTTCTCGGACTCTGTGCATCCGCAGGGCGGATGCCTCGCGGGAGTGCTTGCAGCGATGCAGCCGCGACGCTTGGGCGCGTTTCATGCCCCCGGTGCTTGTTCTATATCCCCCTTGGGAATTATTTTTCATAATCTTTGTTTATATAAAACCCAAGAGGATATTGATAATATTGTGTTTAGTAAGGTTCTAAGGGGAGTATAGTGTTCAGGGTGGGCTGATAGCGCTCTGAAACTTATCGGTTTAAGTCTAAGGCTTTAGGGCTTGGTGGTGTGCAAGGGCTGAAGTTCTTGTGCCTTTGGGGCCGAGAGCAAGGTAATAAGGGCTGCCTACGGGAGAGCACGCAGGCGAGCGAGACAGAGAGAGAGAGGAGGAGGGCGAATGAAGGGGAGAATTCTGCGTGACTAGCAGTCGGAGGGCCCAGGATAGCGAGCCGTACGGTGTGTCTCACAGACAGAAGGCCTCTCGCAAGATGTTTATAGGTGGTGCATGTCGCATCCAGCGGAGCTCATCCCGCTAAAAAGGTTGAGGGGTGCAACTCGCGCCGGGGGGGAAGGAGATGCCGTGAAAGCGAGTGGGGTGGGGAGGGGAGGGAGGGAGGGAGAGAGAGGGAGACAGCGAGGCCGGCCAAGCAGTTAGTTTGCCGTCTTGGATGCAAATCGGGGGCAGGGATTCTTTTCCTATTCAGTGCGGAGTTGTTCTTCGTTGTGTAGCCCTTTGGTAGGCACCCCAGTCCCGTCATTTCCGATCCAATCGAAAACCTAAGCTTCAACGGTGAAGGATTTAGGCTGAGGGCCCTGCGTCGGATTGGGACCAGGTGCGGCCAGAGTGTGCAATGTGTGCATGTGTGGGTAGAGTTGCAAACATCCAGGCTGGCCGGAACGCTGGTCCCGTGAACACCACAACCCCGCGCAGACCAACATTTCGGACCCTAAGCCCTCTAAACCCTAACCCTAGAAGTGATGCCTGCCGAATCCGAGGTGGGCACATAAAGACTTTCGGCTGCACGTGGCCGCCTTCACTGGCGGCTCATGGTTTCGGGGTGTTTCGGGTATGGACTGCGCATACTTGGAGGTTCATGGGCGCTGTTTACCCCAGTTATTTAAGGGCTAACGCCGCTGCCGCCGACCCCCGTGGAACCGGGGGGTCGGTGCGCGTGTGGGGTCGGCCCGTGCGTTTACTCATGGTTGTTTTCACATTCCATTTCGTATCTCAGATGTTTCCGATGCTTCCGACATTGCTTCTATTGTAAGGGAGGACGCGCCAGCAGACACAAACTAATCTTGTTTGGCGTCCCCCTTCCGTCATGCCCCCTCAATCTGTTCTACGTCCTTCGCTGGGTCGGGTTCCTTTAGGCATGGGGCCATTACCAGCCCCTGTTGCTCGACCATGCAGGTCATGGCAGGCTCCCATTTCGTCTCCAGTTCTAAAACCCTTTACGCTTTGAGTTTCTCTATCCGGCCCTTCAACAGTATCTGAACCAAAAGCAGGCTGCAGCGCGTCCTTCTTGAGTTTTGCAGCAGATTGGAAACAGTGGTATGCATCAGTGCTGTTTTATCTTCAATGTTGACGACATTGACGCGATGTTTGACATTGACGAAGCATCGCAGGCTAGTAGGGCGCTTCTCGCAATGTCCCCGTCCAGCAATGCCGTCCGGAATGCCCAGCGCTTGGTTGCGCGCACTGCCGCGCAAAGGAAGGCGGTGCAACAGCTGCGCAACATTGATTGGACGTGTAGGAGTGGTGCGCGGGTGGCAATCAGCAGCCGGGACGAGTATAAGCGACCTCGGCAGTGTCGATAGCTTTACGAAGATGCCAGAGGTTGTGTGGGTGGAATTTTCCTCGCCGAAAAAAGCGTGGCAGCTGAAAGGGGTGCCGCAGCCGAACGTGTACCCTGTTGTCCCACGCTCTGGCAGCTGGTATCTGGATAAAAGACGCAAAAACCCGAAGCTCAGAATCAGCCGTCGCCAGGTGCCACTCGCGCCCGCATTCGCCCTGACAGCGCACACCGCCCAGGGTATGACGCTGGAGGACGGTGTCATCGCGGACTGCGATGTGCCGCCGGGAACGAACATAATCACGTGTTACATTGCAGTAACGCGCGTCCGTGAGCGGGAGAAGCTGCTCATTTCGCGACCGTTTCCTGCAGCTCCTTTTCAGCAGGGCCTCGCCGGCCAACGAGATCTGCTATTGCAGTGCTGGCGCGGCGCTCAGCCAGACTGGGCCGCCGTGCGTGCCCGCTACAACGTAACAAAACGCTGCAGCTCCTGCGACATTCAGAAGCGCACAAACGCCTTTGCCCAGCCGCAGTGGCGCGCAGAAGACGCGACACGAGTGTGCAAGGAGCGCGTGCGTTCTTTCCTCGCGCAGAACAAACCCTGGCGATGCGCCGTGTGCTTGAACTTCCAGGAGATAGCATGTTTTCCAAAAGAAGCCAAAAATCCGCGGAAGACGTGGAGCCGTGTCTGCAATTCTTGCATGGCAGACCGACGCTGCTACCGGTGCGGGCAAGTCCGGACAGAAGACATGTTCAGTGCACGGCAGTGGAAACGTGGCGGGAAGACAGGACATTGCAAGCGCTGCGCTCGGCAAGTCTGCGGGAAACCCGTGCCGGCTGAACGCGTCAGCTTCGATCGCGCACGTCGCTTTGTGCGCAGCACGCATCGGAAACGAACTGTCAACCAGGTGTGGAAGCAGGTCCATGAGATTCTCCGACAAAGAGACTCCCCGTCAGTGGGTGAAGACGGGGAGAAACGTCGGCAGCGACTCGTGTCGTTATTGGGTGAGGAGGGGGACAGCACGGATGTGCGTACGGTGGAGGCATGTTCCTCGACAAGCGCGACTGGTCGCGTGCCCAAGTTGCGGCCACGAAGTAAGGACGAGAGCACAAACGCGAGTGAAAAATCTCCACCGTCGTCTCCGTCTGTCCGCAAGAGCAATGGTGCCTCTCTGGCGTGAAAGAAATGAAAGGGACACGGCCCAGGTAGGGTCAGGTCGGGGTCAGAGGGGGCAGAGGTGAGTGCAGTCAGTGGGCAGAGGGGTAAGGGCCAGGGGCAAGGGATGGACTTCGGGTTTGGGAGGAGTCAGCGCACGAAGCGTTTTCGTGGGTTGGCGGTCACAAATCATCGGGTCTGAACCCGACAAAAAAAGTGTTCTTGAGTTTTTTGGGGCCGGGAGGGGCGGGTCCCTGGTTGGGGGGCGGAAGGGGAGGGGGTGGGGGTGGGGGTCGACATCGTGCAAGGGATGGACTTCGGGTTTGGGTGGTGGACTCCAAGCTCAGGAGTAGGGGGTAGGGGCAGGGGGGTGGGGGTGGGCAGAAGGGCCACCAGCAAGGAACGGGTTTGGGTGCTGGACTTCGGGCTTGGGAGGAGTAGGGGGTACTTGAAGGTTCATGGTACTTACTAACCAATTATAACTGGGCTTATAACCCTACTTATAATTGGGATAACCCCTATAAGGCCCTTTAGGGGTATTATAAGTAGGGTTATAAGTACAGTTATAAGTGGTTAGTAAGTACCATGAACCTCCAAGTAGGGGCAGGGCAAGCACACAAAAAAAGTGTTTTTGAGTTTGTGGGACGGGGAATCCCTGGTCGGGGGGCGGAAGGTCGTCGGGTGGGGGGGGTTTGGGTGGTGGACTTCAGGCTCGGGAGGAGTAGGGGGTAGGGCCAGGGCAGTGGGTTGGCGGTCAGAAATCGTCGGTTCTGAAGTGTTTTTGAGTTTTCTGGGGCGGGAGGGGGTCCCTGGTCGGGGGGCGGGGGGGTGGGGGAGAAGGGGGGTGTAGTTAGTGGTTCAGCTAGCAGAAGGTAAGGGCTACCGTGTGGGGCGGGGGTCCTGGTCGGGGGGCGGAAGGGGAGGGGGTGGGGGTGGGGGTCGACAGGTCAGGTGGGTCCGAGTTGGGTGGCGGAGAAGGGGTCGGTTGCGGACTCGGGTGGGGGGGGTCTCCTGGTCCGGGGCGGAAGCTCAGGAAAAGTCGGTGGGCAGAAGGGCCACCAGGGGCTTGGGAGGAGTAGGGGGTAGGGGGGGGTAGGGGCAGGGCAAGTTGGGTCTGCCTGGTCGGGGGGTCGGATGCGTAGGGGGTGCAAGGTCCCTGGTCGGGGAAGGGGAGGGGGTGGGGGTGGGGGTCGACAGGTCGGGTGGGTCCGGGTCGCCTAAGGGGTGGGGGAGAAGGGGGGTGTGGGGGCAAGGGTCAGCTGGGCAGAAGGTAAGGGCCACCAACTTGGTCCGGGACGGAAGGGGAGGGGGGTGGGGTTTGGGTGGTGGACTTCGGGCTCGGGAGGAGTAGGGGGTAGGGGCAGGGCAAGCATGCACGGAGCGTTTTTGTGGGTTGGAAAAATCGTTGGTTCTGCACCAAACAAAAAAAGTGTTTTTGATGCGTAGGGGGTGCAAGGCGGAGGGGTCGTCGTCAGGTCAAGGGGGTCAGGGAGAAAAAAGTGTTTTTTGGGGGCCGGGAGGGGGGGTCCCTGGTCGGGGGGGAAGGGAAGGGGGGGGGGGAGGTCGTCAGGACTACCTTCCCGGGGGCTCGACCCCAAAGGCGGGGTCGGCGGATAGCTGCACTTCTGAGTCCCCCCTAGGTCCTCTAAGTAGGCTTCTAGGAGGAAGGGGGTGAGGTGCGCATGTCTATTCGTGACGGGGGTCCAACAGGAAAGAAGCCCTGGGGGGCCGCATGCAGAAGTCGCAACCCTTTATGGGGTTTTCCGAAAATAGGGGGTACCCTTTTTGGGGGTTCCCTTTGAGGGGGATTATATTCTATTTGGGGTTTAACCGGGGTACCCCTATTTTTTGGGAAATGCCCAATGTTAATCCATTCTTGCGCTCAGGTTCAGCTTCTGCGTCGGCCCCCCAGAACGACCTCCCAGTGCGCTTTCTGAAGGTTCAACCTAGGAGTCAACATGTGCATGGCGCGCAGCATTCTGAATGAAGCCAGGAGCATACCAGGATGGGCTATTCGGCCCCTATAGTCCCCATAATCAACCCCGGTAATAAGGACCTTTGTTAAGGGGTTATAGGGTACAAGGGTAGAATAGCCCATGCTGGTGTGCGGTCGGGAATTTGCGCGGGAAGCAACTAGCCGCCTCACCTGGCTTCTCGTTGTTTTCCTTTACAAACCGGCTTCTGTCTCGCTTTTCTGAACAGAGAGCGTGCAGCTACATGTGCCTACTGTAGCAGCCCTCCGTCGGGATTTGTTTAACATGAAGCCGGAGGCAATTCATGCTGAGGTCACCATTTCAGGCTTCTACTGCCGGGATGTGGAGTACTGCAAGCTCATGCTCGAAGAGGTCCCGAAGAATCACCGCCCGCTGGCCACAATGCTTTGTAGGTGTAGGCTTCTGCATGCCATGGCCAAGACGAAATTTCAGGAGGGAGCGTTCTGAACAGACAGCGACAGGTTGCGACATACAGGCTTCATGAGCTCCATGCCGGTACGCTCCAAACTCGAAGTTTAGTTTCGATACTGAGGCCCCGAAGAGGTCCAGGTCAAAGCGGGGGCAATCTCAATGCCCTCCTTCCATTCCTGGGGTCTCGAGGAGGGGCGTATCATGGTGTAATCAGCATTCCAGGATTGAGGATGGCGGGACATCGCTTCCATGGGATGAGGTCTTGGCTGAGCTGTGGGTGGTCCTGTCAGTCGCTCGCGATGTAGAGTTCCCTGAACCTCAGGCTCCGCAAGACCTTCTCAGTACCCCAGCCCAAGTCACGTTGCTTGCGTTCGGTGCAAAGACCGATGGGTGCAGGGACATGGGGCCCCGTGAATAACGAACCATGTTTCAGACCCCAAGCCGAAGCCGAAGCCTCTCAAAGTTCTAGCGCGCTTCATCCATGCGAAGACAACCTTTAATTAGGGCTTCAAGCTATAAGGGTTTAGGGCTTAAAGTTATAAGGGTTTAAGGCTTAACGTTATAAGAGTTTAGGGCTTAAAGTTAAAAGGGTTGAGGGCAAGAAACCGCCCCCTAGTGCGCAGGACCAATTGGTGGAGCCATGGCGTTCCGAGAAGCTGGCGGAAAGCTTCAAGGAGACTGCCATGTCTTTCTATCAAATTGCAGATTCGGGTTGGGATGTTCCGCTAATAAGACATGTACTAACAGTCCTTAATAGGGACTATCATGGGGGGTACGGTAATCCTTATTAAGCACTGTTAGCATAAAGGGGGTGAGTATTGTTGCGATTGTGATCACGGTTCTTTCTCGGTATTCTTCGTTCTTCTTGCTTCTTGTTGCTATTCGTATTTTAAACGTCGCGCGCCATCCGCCCGGGCCCGGGGCGCGCGGGGGCTTTACTTGAGAGGTCGCCGGGTGTGGAGAGAAGAGAGACATTCTGCGAACGCCCGCAGGGTACCTTAAACCCTGAACCCTGTAAACCCTGTACTTTCGGTAGGTCAAGCCGAAGAGACCCCCAAGTCCCAGCGCGTGAATTTCACGTTCTCTCCCTGGAGCCCGAGAAAACTTCACCGCAGGGCGAGGGAGGGAGGGGGGGTGGGGGCCAACTTGCGTGGGTCTTGCTGGAGGGGATCTCCAGGAGGGACCTCTGACGCCTCGCGGCAGAGTTCAGCCCTTACTCTTGTTAATTTGAATCTTCGTATGATTCTTATTCTTCTCAACCCCAAACCCTAAACCCTGTTTATAATCCTTATTCTGAGATGTTGTGTTTTTCTAGTTCTCTTTTTGGCATCGTGCGTGGCAAAGACGGGCTGGAGGATCCCCGTGTGGTTCCGCACAAGGCCTCTGAGCGGGATGATTCTCCCGACTTGGGATGCTCCCCCTTATACTAACAGTCCTTGGGGTTTAGGGTTTAGGGTTTAGGGTTTAGGGTTTAGGGTTTAGGGTTTAGGGTTTAGGGTTTAGGGTTTAGGGTTTAGGGTTTAGGGCAACGGTCCTTAAATGGGATTTTAGTATATTTTAGTAGGGGGTACTATAATCCCTATGAAGGATTGTTAGTATAAGTGGGTACATCCCAACTCCCGACCTTTTGCCTCCAGGGTCGCACAGCCTGCTCCCCTCCAAGATCCTGCTGCTACCAGTACTTTTTATCCATTTGAGCTGCGTTTTTTTTAGGCGCTCGAGCATAGGTACTTTGCAGCGGACATTATTATTGTCCGCGGAAGGGGTGAAGAGGTGAACAAGATTCCGCGGAAGGTCGCGGAAGGGTCCGCGGAAGGCGTGGTGTCCGCGGAAGGCTCGCGGAAGGGCGGCGTGCTTGAAACTTAGATATAGTGGATGCCCAACATGCCCGGCAACCGTTTCGGAGAGCGGATCTGCGCGGAAGGCCCGCGGAAGGGTTGCGGAAGCTCCGCGGAAGGCGACGGGTCGTTTTGGAGGCCCAGAGTCCATGCCTCATCCTCATACACACATTATACACTCATTTCTGTTTCGGGCCGGGTGCGAAGGTGGAATCGCGTTTTTCCGCGGAAGGCTTGCGGAAGGAACGCGGAATCCGCGGAACACGCCGCGGAAGGCCGCGGAAGGGTCTGCGGAAGGGTTATAATGTCCATCGATTCATGCTAGAGAAAAAAACACGGCTCATTTGCTGAAGAACCTCTCAAACAAGTAATAGACACCAAGCCCCTATACCCTTTACGATGAAGAATGTTTTTATTGCTTTGGGGTTTGGGGTTTCCTATGCAAATAGTAGGTTTCCCATCGAAGTCGATGGGAATTCTCATCCTCGAAGGGGACGGATGTTCGGCTCATTTGGTTCTCAAGGGCAGCTGTGGAACCCTTCCGCTTGAGCATGGTCTGGTTTAGGGGTTTTGTGGAGGTTGGGCAGTCTGGCTGCAAAAATGTACCGGGGGTTGATATAGCGGGCGCTGTAGTTGAGGTCTAACGCTGTGATGATACAGGAAAAAATTCTGAAGCCGAATGCCCATCCTGTCCACAGGCGGATCACTTTGCTCAGGGGCGCCTTCATTGGCCAATTGCCAGCATTGTCCAGTGGCTGAAGGCACAGCATCAAGATATCAGGCGGTTCGGTCTTCAAGCTTCGGCTTTCTTTAAGTCTCATGAGGCCGGTTGCCTGTAGAGCAACTGCAAGTCTACGGCCCTGTGCATCACGGACACTGTAAAAGCCCATAAGCAGGGAAATGTCCTTTCAGAAGGAGACGGGGCTCCTCAAGCTTGCGGCAGCGCGACCGGAAATTCCGAAGCAGGACGGGGCGGGTGGTGGCAGGGGAGGGGGGGGGTGGGGGCCTGTTCAATGCTGGAGGGATCTGTGCTTCAAGGGCTGGAAGGGGTGGGGGCCTTCATGCCTTTGGTAATCACCAGGGCTTGTGCGGGTCACCTGCCGAGCTGCTGCGACTGCTACTTATTGAAATCGACGTAGCATGCGATGGATTTACTGACTGGCTCGCGGTCCGTTGTTGACTTCCCCCCTGCCCTTCACGATGCCCACGTCACTTATAGCCATGGGTATCCTCGTCCTGTCTGTCGTGAAATTCATTGATCCTTCGTGATTGCAGGAGGACAAGTCAACTTGGGCGCGGCTGATGAAAGGCTTGGCTTGCATTTTCTTTACCTGGAGAAATTCAGTGGTTTGTTCGTGTCAAGTGCACTTCCACAATCTGACAGTTGATTGGTTTGGTCTAGTCCGAAAGGCACTTCTACTGAGCCAGCTACCTCATTGGGTGAGTCTTTCTTCTCTGTGGGGAGCCCTTTGTATAGCTAGCTAGTACGTGCCCAACGGCCCGGAAAGCTCCTTTCTGCGAGTTCTCGTTGCAGGGAGCGGCGTGGCCGGAGTCACCAAGGAGTTGGGCCATGACTCTTGCGGTTAGTGGTGAAGGCAGGTAAGGCGACTAGACAATTCAGAATGCACGTGGTTGTACGCCGCAGTGCAGCATGTGCACGCGCATTCCTTTGGAGCAGGATGATGTGGAAGAGGTGGTGGCAGAGGCCTGGAACTCCAGCTTCACACCATGTGGGACCTATCCGGCAATCCTAAAACCGTCCCCAAACCCTCCCCAACACATGTCCAACACATCCCCAGCACCACATGACTGCAAGATCTTCACCGCTTGAGGCCCTTGATTCCAAGTCCTTGCAGCAGCTGGTGGATCGGGCGCTAGCGCTGCTTCCGCCGCTTGGCATTGGGATGGGCTCATGACAAGAGCGATTCGACCTATACCCTGAACCAGCGCAGGGTCCTCCAGTGATTTGGAAGCCGAAGAACGTAGAATAGTTCGTAGGTATTGTCTGCACCCTCGTACAGAATCCCCGAGGCACTGCGGCTTGTGCCGTTCGGGCGTTTGGCACTATGCGTCCTAAGCTCCCCCCCCCCCCCCCAAATGGAGGTTGACAGAAAGTATGGGCCCTAAACTGTTAGTTAACCCTAAACTGGCCCTAAACCCTATGAGGAAATTGCTAAGCTTGGCGGGTGGCAAAAAACCTATGAGGTCTCTACTGCAGAACGCACAATGTAGCACACCAACGGTAAAGCTGGAGCGATGAATCCTTCAACAGACCTATAGAGCTTCATACAAATACTATTTTTATATACATATTAGTGTAATGTGAGATTTTGGGTCTGATGTCATAGACAGACATACATACATATATATATATGTACATATATATATACATATGTACTCGTACGTTTGCATACCATCACATACTTGCATCGGAACTCGGTGGTCTGCAGGTGGAACTCGAAAGTGGCGCAGCCACAGGCGGCTTATTGGATCATCATCGCCGTGGCCACGAACCCCAACTACGCCACTCCTCAGGGCAGTCTTGAAAAACGCCTTCATGGGAAACAGGGGGGCTTCTGGGGCAATGGGGGTTTTGGGACGGTTTCCTGTTGTCATGTTAAGCCGGTTCGGATCAGGATGAGCTACAAATTTTGTGTAGACAGTAGGGGCGCAAGGTGTGGGAGCTCTTTGCCCAGGAGAACCAAGCCACTCTGCTCCCGGAGCTTGTGGCAACAGGCGTCGCGCACCCGGGTTGGAGAACTGACTCCAAAGCGAGGGGGGGGGGGGTTATACTTTCTGTACTATATATATATATATATAGTATGCATACTATGTATTACTACGTATACTTGAAATTGGGTTTGAGGGGTTAAGTTAAGATCCACCTAAGTACGGCTGAAGCGCTCGTTTGGTTTTTTGAGCGCAAGCTTAGGCCACCCGCTCTGCCCCTTGTAGCATCGTGAGCAAGCGTGTTGCTTTTTGTTGTTCTGGTTTCAGCATCTCCATTGGAATGACTCCGACAGGCACCCAGATATCTTCTGCCAGGATTCCTTCCTGAGCATTGAGAGCGGGTGTGAGTTTCAAATGTCCGGCTTGGGAAGAGGATTCGGCAAGCGTCCGCAAGCCAAAGCCAATACCTCTTAAGCATACCAGTACATGTGCAAACACAGTCAGACGCGGAAACAATTTCCGAGTAGACGCCTGTCTCTGTATAAGCTATGCGCGCTAGCTAGATCGATCTATTCACAGTGCCATGTAAACAGCCAACATCACCTCTTCCAACTCCGTGCGCCAGGTGGATGGAAGTCGGTCGTCCATCTGCAGACCTTCTTAGAGGACGAAGCAGCATCGATAGGGTTTAGGGTTTAGGGTTTAGGGTTTAGGGGTACCTTATTGAGGTCCTTAAAAAAGGGGATCCCATTCTAAGTAATGTTTTGGAGTCCGGATATGTGGTTGCAAGCTAAGCCAAGGGAGGCAGGAGCGGCGGTCGGAAGCACGGTTACTCAAGAGCATCGTTTCTCAAGAGGCAGAATTCTAAGCAGGCTTCAGACACGCTCTGTTGTCGTTTATCCTCTTCTGCAGATAGCGCTGATGTAGATACATGTCCTGGTGGAAGCCAGTAGGGCGCGGAAGGCTCGCGGAAGAAGCCCGAAAATCGAAGACCGCCGTGGAAGGGCCATAAAAATCCTCGTAAACTTAGTTGAAACATCGACAAACAAAGCCGCTGATACGATGTCCTCGGACGATTGTTGTCCCGTGCAAGACTGTCGTCCAAAGCTCTTATTCAACCAAACCCCAAAAAAACCCTAAACCCTAAACTTATCAACACCAGGAGCAGGAATCCACTCCGGCCAACGAGTCGCTGCAAACGGCAATTGTTCAGCTGTTCGGGAAGCAACTGCCCCTTTGCTGCAGATCTCCAGCGGAGTGTCTCCGAACTCGTGGAGCCGAACCCAAAAACCGCACGCAAGGAAGCCGAATCCGAAAAGGGAATGAGGGTACGACAGAAAGCCTAGGGTTTAGGGTTTAGGGTCTCTGGTTAGGGTTAATCGTTGCTTGTATCATGTCCTGATAACCCCTGTTTTTGCTTACAGTATATACATAGACTAAGATTTGTACACGAAGTGCTGTAAACTACCCTCAGTATATCTGGCTTGTAAGCGTTGCAGGGTCTCTCTTCCCACCATATCCTACCAGGTCGGAGGACGCCAGCGTGGTCAACGAATGGCGAGCCTGTGAGGCTCTGCTATGCAGAGTAATGTAGACTAGATCCCAAACTCTGCAGGAGGGAGAAAAGACCGTAAACGCTGAACCCCCAAAAAAGGGGTTTGGTTTTCGCTCGATCCTAAACCCTATACACCCCAAACCCTAAAGCCTAAACCCAGAGTCGCAACCCTAAAGCCCCCGTACCCCCCCCCCCCCCCCCCCCCCACCAATCCTGAACTTATCATTGGGCAGGACGACCACAAAGCACTGGGGATGCAGCCGGCCGTGCCCCGGACCTTACTACTGGCCGGGTGGAGGGTTTCTGGATTAAGGTTTAGGGTTTGAATAGGGCCCTATTCCTTCAGTCTCTGGGGCCGCGAAAAAGACTTGTGATGCGATTGTTCGAGTCGAGAGCACTTCTAGTTTGGGGACCGGTTCCTTCCCCTGCCGTGAGCGTGAGATTCGAAGCCCTGAAGGTTCAAGAAGTGTAGGATTGAGGACTCAGTGGGAATTTACTACTAATGGCTTAAGAACCCCAAAAAACAGAACATAATAATCCCAATATTACCCTTAATAAGGAAGGATGTTTTTTTTATTTTTTGGGGGGTTCTCAAGCAAGTAGTAGTTTAGGGTTTTGATAAGGATCATGATCCGCTTCAGGTGAGCGCGTGTGCACGACACGCCCCGCGCTTCGGCGGCTCCGTGCGCAAGCTGGCGCTGCGTCCCTTCGCCCTGCGGTTTAGGGTTTAGGGTTTAGGGTTTATGGTTTGTGCAAAAGGGTTTCGGGTTTCGGTCAACCGTTGCACCGGGAAGGGGGGGTGGTTAGGGCCCAAGATGCGGAAGCTGATAGGTGAGTTTCCAGCACGCCTGGAGGCTTAAGGGCGGGCACAGGGTTTCGGACGGTGACACTTTAGGGTGCAACAGTGGCTCACGGCTTGAGCCATATAGGTGCTGCAAGTAGATAGGTTCAGCTCGCAGTGCTTGTTTGCTTTCGGGAGTGAAGATCCTGCAGGGTGTAGTCAGTTCATGGCCCAAGCAAGGCTTCGAGTGTTCGTTGGCGGAGGGCCTTTGAATAAGGCCTCACACAATTGTCAAACCTGCCTCGGACACACTGAGGGGTGGCTGCCGATGTCCATTCCCGCAACGGTGGACATGTAGGGGATGACTTGCGGCAGCAGCAGCCGGAGCTCAGCGTGATGTACCGCTTCTTGGGTGCAGTCATTACATACATTCCACTACCCGTGCCTTCATGAGGCTCGCTGTGTTTTCTTTTTTACAAGGTAGTGCTTGGTTGCGGCGGAGTGCCGGCAAGTTGCTGATGCCCCCCAAGCTTGACACTGATTATTCTGCTTGCGAGCGGGGGGAGGGTCGCTAATCGTACTTTTGCGGACGCGAAAGACTAGCCATGATACTCATGACAACGTGATGCTGAAACGCCGATAGTTCCAGGGCTTATTATATAGGGGTGCTTGGTCGGGAGCGCTGAACGCCTTTGAATCACTGCTTATGCTGTAACGCACCGAAGCGTTCTCAATCTTGAAGATGGGAGAGTATTCATGGCTGTTTGCACACTTGGCAACTGCCTTCCGTCTCAGGCAAGCTGCTGAGCGCACTTCGGCTGAGTTTCAGACTCGAGGGCACTCCGAGACTCCGAAATGTCGGTGCAAGGCACAGATGTGTGGAATCGATGGTAAAAATCTGACCATCATGACGACCTTCATATTTAGCATGGCAGTTGTCGATGCTCTTCGGGTGGGGAGACAGCCGGCAGCATACTGGGCCGTGGTGAGATCCTACAAGTAGTTGCAGGTCTCTTGTTGCCTAGGGATTTTTTGGGGTTTGGGGTGTTTAGGGTTTGGGTTCCAGGCGATTGCTCAAGTTCTGATGCAAAAAATGGCCTCGGGATGTTTGAGAATCTCTGCCGTGTCCCTGACGGACGAGCCAGAACTTTTGGATTTAGACTTCAGGTCATGACGGCCCTTCTCCAAATAGGGGTGTCCCTTATATACCCATAAAGCAGCAGAATCCTCATGAATAGTGGGCCCCAGAAGGGTCCGCACCCCTAAGTGTCCTCTAAACTGCCCCGCACTGCGGTTTGGAGTCTCTCGAGCCCAGCCGATAGACCAAACGGGCACCAGGACATCATCACGCTTCTCGATGAGTTCTCCGAAGCCGGACTGGCCCATCAGAAAGGCCCTTCGGAACCATGCCATGCCCAATCTTCTTACTGTTGGTTAGCAGGGAATGACGCCCTACATATACCCTTGAAGGGATTGTATAGGGTACCTCATTCCCCCATTCCCTACGAACCACCAGTAAGTCTTGGATTTCAAGACTGCGCTGGAACACTTAACTAACGGGCGAGGGCTGGGGCAGGCTGATGGCTCTCTTGTTGGATGTGTGGCATGCGTTGTGCGGCCTACATGAACTGCAGCCTCCGGCTTCGACTGTTTGCACAATTGAGGGAAGGGTTTAGGGTTTAGGGTTTAGGGTTTAGGGTTTAGGGTTTAGGGTTTAGGGTTTAGGGATGTTCCGGTTCGACTCAGACAGTTGCCACAACAAGACGAGAATTCCAAGGCGATCGCCGCAGCCAGTGGCGTTTGGGCGGTCTTGCCCCTTGTCTCAAATCAGCGGCGGAAATCCCCCGATTTCTGAAGAGGCCTCTGTCATCATTGCATGCCACAAAGTGGGCTTCTCATTCATCCCAGAGTCTGACTTCAAGAATTCCCAGACAGCCCAGAAGCTCTGAAAGGGACATGACATGGCCATCCGTGGACCAACGTGGCCACCGGCTGGTTTTGTACACTCTTTTCGGCACCAAAAGCGTCGCAGCTCGTGCGCGGATTGCCAAAACACAAAAACAAACGCACGCACGCATGCACGCATGCGCGCACACACAGCGACACACAGGGAGACACACAGGGAGACACACAGGGAGACACACAGGGAGACACACACACACACACACACACACAGAGACACAGAGACGCAGAGACACAGAGACGCAGAGACACAGAGACACAGAGACACAGAGACACAGAGACACAGAGACACAGAGACAGAGGGTGCGAGACACACACACACACACACCCACACACCCACACACCCACACACCCACACACCCACACACCCACACACCCACACACCCACACACCCACACACCCACACACCCACACACACCCCACACACCCACACACCCACACACCCACAACGAAACTCGCATCAACATCGCGCGCTCGCTCACTCACTCACAAAAAGGACCTGAAGACGTTTGGAGAGCTGCGCGCCTCTCCACTGTCGGATGCCGCAGCCTGGCCGCAGACAGAGACGTCAAGTGTTGTTTCTGTCCCTGCTGCTTGGATCTATTTCAAGTCGAGGTAGGGAGGGTGATCTAAATTAGTTGCCAAGAAAGGGCGATGTCTAGTTCAGATCAGCCTCCATATGTAATTCAGCGATGTTGAGGGGACTGGCGATGGCCTTGTCCTCGCCCAGGGCCCACTATATTAAACTCACTAGCCCTTACTCACCCTCCAACCCTTTCGGACATGTTCATGAAGCGCACAGCAGCTCGATGGCTAGATCAAATTTTTTTGGACGGCAGACTTGAAGCCCCAGAGCACAGAAGCCCGATTCTCGAAGCCACAGCTGTCCGCAGAAACCTCCGGAAGGAAAAAGCAGGCGAGGAGTTTTGAACTCGTAGACGATTTCCTGACATACTACTCCAGGACCCACAGTAGGCCCCTTACTCCCGGTTTTTTGGAGGTGAGGTGCCCTGAAGAAAGACCCGCCAAGCAAAGCGGATTCCTTTTTTCCGTTCGTGAGGATCTCTGGTTCGACCTTGGGATTTTCCGCTCTTAACAGGGATTAAAGTACCCCCCCTCTTCTAATCCCTCTTAAGGACTGCTACCCTAAACCATCCTAAACCCGGAGCCCTATTAGAACTCTCCCTGCTGAGGAGCTGTTCGTATAAGGGGGAGAACTTCTCAAGTTGGACCCGGTGTAGAAAGCCCACCCTTGAGGTGCTCCACCCGGAGCCGCAGCCGGCCGCGAGCCCAGGATCCACTCAGGGAAGAATGCGACTAATACGCTCTAATACTAGAACAGCATAAGTATGAGACTGTATCTACACCAGTATAGGACATGTACGTATAAGGATTATACACCATTCCTCTACTAGAACAGTGTAAGGATAAGTTTTTTATCTACCGCAGTATAAGAATATGCTACAGTAGTAGAATGATGTGCAGGCTTGCCGGTTGGACCGTTTGGGCTTAGGGTTTAGGGCGGATCCCTCATTTTCTTTTGCTGGATCGCCTCAAGGTGCCCTGCATCTGGGGAGCTTGAGCTGAGTGCACACAAGAAGTGTCCTAAACTAGGCCCACTTTCGTCGTACATTCCGGATAGTCTGGCTGACGAAAATTTGAGAGCAGCCGCGGTGAGACATCCCCGATGTCAGCTGCAAGCCCAAAGCCCCGAAACGCGTAGCCTTTGCGTGGTTCCCGAGGTCGACATCTCGACAAAGGAGGACCTCCTACCCGATTATCAGCCGGTTACCACCCTTGGCTCTGCCTGATGCACCACTTTGTTGGGCGAGGGCCCGGGTCATTGAGGGTAGTCCCGCCCTCAGAGGGAGTTGTTTTGCCTTCAAAAACGATACGTTAGTTTATTTACCGAAGGATGGGCATGGCACGATGGCCTTATCATGGTAGAAGGACCCTGTTGGGAAGCTGGCAGGAGATGATGCCGCTTTACAGCTTCCTGCAGAGCGGGGAGAACTTCCAGCCCAACATCAACGACGACCTGGTCTTTACCAAGGGTACCATTACCCGCCGCTCGGACTGACGCATACAGACGAGCACTGGGAACACACACACACACACACACATACGCTCACTCACTTATGAAGTGCTGAGTCATGGCTTGTCCGCTGGGATGGTACATTGGCATGCTTCCCTTCTGAGTTCAGGTAGCCTTCTTGTACGTACAGGAAGGAAAGAAGCATCTAGAGGAAGCCAAGGGGCCAGTGAGATGGCTGGACACTACTTGCTCTTACTGGTGCTCCTCAACATCAACTGCTTTATAGAAGTACTTCCACTACAAACCGAGCCGCTGAGGTGACAAACGGCTTGACTTGCAACTTGGCATCCAATGCGAGGTTTTGCGAATGGTTGTACTGGCTTAGTTTCGTTCATCTGGAAACTATTTAGGCGTGGAGAGGAGCGGGGCGTTAGCCTACAACAAGTCTGAAGGTTCGGAAGTTCGGCAGCAGGTTGAGGCCCGTTGAGACAAACTCCTACAGCAACCACGATGAATGTAGCGATAGCCGTAGTGCTAATGCCCAACATAATTCGCCAAACGCTCCAGCCAAAGGTGCAAGCAAGTCATTGGCCCCCAGGGCGTGGAAGACTTGATGCAATCTCTCAAGAATCACAGTAAGAATATAGCGATAGCCGTAGTGCTAATGCCCAACATAATTCGCCAAACGCTCCAGCCAAAGGTGCAAGCAAGTCATTGGCCCCCAGGGCGTGGAAGACTTGATGCAAGCTCTCTTCGTGAACCAGGAAGCTGCTTGGAAAGGGTGATAGTATTATTGTTATGGTTATGATACTATTTTCTGGCTATTATGGTGACTGTTATGGATACCATGGTTATTGTGTTCTTGTGGTTTTTGTTATTCCGTTTACTATATGTTATTATCATTGTGATGGCTATTGTTGGGATGATTAGGCCTGTTATTGGTGTTATTTGGGAGGGTGTGTGGAGTGCGATTTGGATTCTAGGTCCTTTATCGCATTATGTCGATGAACATGTATGCGTAGAAAAGTATATGCACATGTTTATGTATATGTATTTGCATGTGTATATGCATGTACCTATGTGGCATTACATACATGTGCGTTGCGTTCTTTTATTATATTTCATGTTAATATATATATATATAGATATACAGATATATAAATATAGATACGGATCTAAACATGAACCAAGATGTGTCTATATATTCACATGTAATTATTCATTTGTGGAAGTTTGAATTGTATGTTCACTGATGTACTGGTTTTGTTGATGACGTTTGGAGGTGGAAGCTGGGCAAGATTTTTCGATTTGCTGAGGCTGGATTGGTGCAGCACTTGCTCCTGGGAAACAACGTTTGCCGCTTGCCTTGCGATTCCAGAAAGAGATGGACCAGAACTCTGAGACATCAGACGTGCAGCTCTCATGCTCCTGACATCCACGAGTAGCGACACTGCAGCGTGTTGAACGGAGTTGGTGGGGAACTTTGATTACAAGGTTCGTTGCTTCGATTAGCTGGTTTCCTGCCTTTTTACTACCTCGCCTGCAGCACCAGACACGTGAGGTGTGTTGACGGAAGCAACGTCTCAACTTTCCGAATGGAGCTTGTTTGTTGGGTCACAAAAAAGACGCTTGCGCCAAGGTAGTTGTGAATGTGGAGGGGTTCAGATGCAGGATCCACGTCCAATGTCCAGCTTCGAAATGTAGCCTGTGGTTCCCATGCAGCACAAGGTCACAAGGTCCCCTGTCAGACGTACCTCGATACACAAGCGCAAAGCTTGCTCGCCTAGCTGATGTCTGCAAGGTGGCAACGACTTGCCCCGCCGCATCGCGGATCTCATCCGTGAGGACAAGGTCTTTGCTTGCCTTTGTGGGCAGAGCATTGCGACGTGTTCAGCTTGGGCGTAAACGAAGCTAGAAGCGGTGCCAGTAGCCTCTGTGCAGGGCCAAGCATTTGAGAATTTCTAGTACATGTGGCCATCGCCTTTGTGAAACGGGCAGGTCGCTTCGCAAGTGAAGTTGTGGCCTGAACCCTTAACCTAAAGCCTCCTTGCCTCCTTCGTGCGAGTGTGAGAGACGAAATCTAAACCCTCAGAAAAGCCTAAGCCGTTAGGGTGCCTCACTTGCAATTCGCAAGGCGTCAAGGTCCGTTTCATTGCCATGGAGGGGACTTGCCGTTTGTTACCAGGGACTTGCAGGGGATAAGACTAGCAAAGAATAAAGAATATAGCGAGAACCATAATCGTAGCCACACCAGCCATGGCAACACAATATCCATACCCACAATTAGAACCCCTAAACCCCAAACCCTAAACCCTAAACCCCACCACCCTATGAAGCCAAAGCATTCTGGGGGAAACTCGCTTCCGGGGCAGGCTTCCCTGAGCACCTGGTACATTGCCGGAAATCGCATCACCGCAGAGGGCTTGAAGCCCCTCTGCGAGGTGCTGCGAGGCCTGAGTGTGGTGGAGGTAGGGTTCAGGGTTCAGGGTTTAGGGTTTAGGGTTTAGGGTTTAGGGTTTTTAGGGTTTTCAGGCTTTTTAGGGTTTAGGGTTTGGGTTTTAGGGTTTTTAGGGTTTTTAGGGATCTGCTTTAAGCACTGCCTGTGCTGGGAGCTGGGATGTCATGGAGGTTGAGCTTGCAACTTCTCCGCGATCTGGAGGTTGAGCTTGTGTAGTGCACGGGGCTGGAGCTAGCATGCTCGTATTCCCTAAAAAGATTGGGATGTTCCCCCTTATACTGACAGACCTTTTTCGGGACGATACTGACAGACCTTTTTAGGGACGATAGTAGGGGGTACGATAATCCCTTTTAAGGCTGTTAGCATCATGGGGGAACATCCCAATGTATAGAAGTTCGGAGCTTGCTCCATAGAGTCCCCCTCCCGCGCAAGTTTGATCTGAGCCTCTTGGCAGCATCATCACTCAGCCTCATCCTTCTGATGCCCCGTGAAAGGTGACCAGGTCGTCCATCAGCTTTGGTTGAAGCGCAACCCGCTGCACAAGGAGGGAGCAGGTGCGCTTGGGGTTTGGGGCGGTGCCATGGCTGAGTCTAATCATGCTGCGTGCTTTTGCAGCATCTCACCTAGCTCTTGGGCTTCGCGTGACACCCTTAGGCCAATGCTTCAAGCACTATCCCTGGAAGCCCCGCAACTGCCTCGGACAGATCTCTCTATCATGCGCATGAAGCCTCCCTGCGCGCCAGTCCTCCTGGCAGACATGCTCCGCAGCAACCGGACGCTGCAGGCTCCGGCCAATGTTTAAAGACCGAAGGTCATATATATATATATACATATATATATACATATGTATATACATATGTGTATACATATATAGATACACATATATCTGTATATATTTCCTTGGATTCCGAAGTTGTTCGAAGAGTTGTGGGTTTTCGCAAAGGTGTGCGTGCGCAAGCTAAGAGGCGTGCGTGGGCACTGTTAGAGATTTTCTTTGCTAGACACCCTGCACCCTACACCCTACACCCCACACCCTACACCCTACACCCTGAACCCTAAAAAAACCCTGAACCCTAAACCCGAAACCCGAAACCCTAAACCCTAAACCCTAAACCCTAAACCCTAAACCCTAACCTTCAATCCCCTAAGGCCTTGAGCCCTGCAAGGTCCTAGACTTGGTGAACTGCGGGCTGCCTCTCGGAGGCAGTTCCAAGCCTTCAGAATTCCGGGCCCTTGTGGGTTGCCCCAAGATGCAAGAGAAGGCAGGTGTTTCTATCTTTCCATCCAGCGAATCTATATTTAAAGATGTATTGGCTCTTTTCTTTGGAGCGTGGGGGGGCAGAGGCGGAGGGGTAAGCGAGTAAGGCAGACAGACCCACACAATGCACACAAGGAAAACATAAAGCCGGACTGAAGGCAGGAAAGAGAGCAAGACAGCAAGAGAACGACAGGACGAACTGAAGTAACTTAGTATGAAGAGCACCAATGAAGTTCCCGAGTCCCAACCTCAGCCAGCTGGCGTGAGAAGTCGGAATTTCTTGCTTTGCCACGCCTCTAAGGATGGATGAGGGCGCCGAGGCGATTGTGCAGGGCCTTGAGGGCTCCAGTAGCTCAGCCTCATATTTCGTGGGCATTCTCCGCACAGGCTCTTGAGCAATTGGCTTTCTAGCCTTCCCAGCTTTAATAACCTCTAACTTCCGTGGGTTTTTGCTTCTTTTTGCAACAGCTGCTGTTGTACAAATACAGATATATTTAATTGTAAATACATGAACAACTACATAAATAGAAAAATAGATAAATAAATATATATATATATACATATATATATATATGTAGGTAGCAAGCTTGCCGAAGCGATGGGCTTGAAATGGTGCTCCCAGGCCTCAAGCACCTCTACCTCGATGGCAACGGCCTCACTGCCAAGACCGCTGGGATGATCGCCAAGGCCCACTCTTTGCATGGGGTTTGGGGTTTAGGGTTTAGGGTTTAGGGTTTAGGGTTTAGGGTTTAGGGTTTAGGGTTTAGGGTTTAGCAGGAAAAAGTTGGCCAAAACAAGAACCCACGACGGGAATAGCCAGGCCGGGTCGGACCTGGAAACGCTGTCTCTGGGAATGCAGCTTATCTGCACGAGGGCAGGAGAACAACAGGAAGCAACGTTGCAGACTTCGCAGGTTGAGCTGAAGCTGTGTAGGCCAATGCAAACCCTAGGAACCGGCTGTACGACGAGGGCGCCGCTGCCGTGGCAGAAAACCTGAGCCCTAGCGTGCCATGTCTGAAATTGTGTTGCCATGTTAGTGGGAGCTCTTGCATGCAAGTGGAAGGTTGTGGCCAAGGCTTGTGGATCCTCAGGCAATCCTGATCTGATGACAGGGCAGTGACAGAACTTTGGCTTCTTAAGGCTGCTGACCAACTCCACATGAAGACCAGGGGAAGCAATTAGGCCTGAATCACTAGAAATGGGCCCCCTCCTGAGTCTCCTAGTCTCCAAAGCAAGCTGCGCTTTGTGGCAGGTGCGCCGGCTTTGCCTCGCGGCCGTAGGCTGCCGTGGGTTCTCGGGGGATTCGACTGTCTTTCTCCAGTTTAGAGCGTTAGCAGAATTTCTTAGAGGTAAGGAGGGACGTGAACTTCGCTGGAAGACAGTGTGAGAACACTTAAGTTTGGGATTTTGGTCCGCGCAGCACTTGGCAAGTATGGGATACTCGGCTGCAACAGTATGGTTCTGCTGTGTAGAACAGGTGCCTGAATACTTACTTTTATTCGAAATTGCACAAAACACCCATTCAAGTCACAGATGTCCCTGTATCAGCTTCCCGTTGCAGCCTTCAGACCTGCTCTAGGCATGGGCGTGCCGGGTGCCAAAGCTGTCGGAGAGCTGCTGAAGAAGAACCGCACCTTCCCGCATGTGTGAGCCTTCGGGTGCTTTCTTCGAACCTCCCGAGATGGAGAGCTTGCAAGATCAGAAGGCTCCACCACCCGAAAACCTGAACCCCCAACCTCTGAATTATAGGGTCCCTTCTTGGGGTTACCATTACAAAGGCGGCCCCTCGTATTTAGGGTACCCCAAAAGGGACCATCGTTGTGGGAAATGACCATATCACCAGCTACCTCCCGTAGTCCCCCGCAAACTTGCACATTGGGCGTATGCAGAGGCGGGGGGACCCAAAAACAGCCAAAGCACCTAAACCCTAAACCCTAAACCCTAAACCCTAAACCCTCAACCCTCAACCCTAAACCCTAAACGCCCCATCCTAGGCACGCTTCGATTCCTCGACTTGGGCTTGCTGAGACCGGGTTTCATTAGAGCCCATCACGGGCTAGTGTTTGGCTTACTCCATGGCTGTTGTGTAGTTCCCACTTCATAGGCTACGGACTGGTGCTGGTCAGGGGTATTACTGGCTTAGTTGTCACTTTGCAAGTGCAAACGCCACAGTACGTCTGCACGGTGTGAATGAGAAGTGTTGCTTGTTTTTATTCCCCAGCCCCGCTGAGGCAAGACATGCCAGAACGAAATGTCAAGTATACCAAAGACATATCCTTAGAGTTATACATCAACATGTGAATATGAAATGTCCAGATATTCACATAAATCTTAAAATGGTTGACATACATACATATATATATATACACATGACGCACACACACACATATATATATATATATGTGTGTGTGTGTGTGTATACTATATACGTATACATGACTTGGCATGACATCCCATCGGCCGCAGCCCCCCCGCCACAAAACCGAGGAAGGCGACAGGAGCCCTCAAGGAGGTACCGAACCGCATCACGGATGAAGGCCGGGTCTTGAGAATACCCTTCTGATTTAGGGCTAGGAGGGTTTAGGGTTTAGGGTTAGAGTTTAAGGTTTTTTTGTTTTAGAGCGCCCTCAATCCCTAGGAACATTTAGGCACATGTATAATAAACTCCCAAAAAAACCCCTATAATCCAAGCCCCACCCACGAACCCTAAGCACTCGCAATCCTCATGGGGTTGCGCCAAGCACCAAATCGCCTCAACCCCAAACATCCTCAAACTTCACCTTGTCGTGGGGTCTGGCACGAACATCACCCCTGAATGGCGTGTGTTTCGTGTTTGCTGGTGGCATTTGGTTGGTTTTCTGGTTTGTGTGCGTGTCAGTCGATGGTCAGTCGGTGAGGGGTGGGGAGCGGTGAGCGTTCGGTCGAACTCCGCGAACATGTTCAGCATACAGCATTTCAAACTCTTGGAAAGTCACATTCGTTCCAGCGTCTGGAGCCGTCGCGCACCTCCAAATTCATGATTTATTAAGATCTGCATTTTACAGCATCCCGGAGCGCTTGCTGGGACAGGGCAAAAACCAACAACAGAAACGTTTAGGGTTTAGGGTTTAGGGAGTTTAGGGTTTAATTAGGGTTTAGGGTTTAGGGTTTAGGGCTGTAGCTGAGGGGGAGCAACCATCTTCAACAACCCAAATAGACGACACAAAGGTCGAAGCACCGGAAAGAATGCCTAGCCAAGAAAAGGCTTGCACTCTACATCTCAAACCCTAAGGGACCCTAAGAATGAATCACTCTTGCCAAAGCTTTCCTCATCTCTTGACAGGCACTGAGATCATAGCGGGAGCGTTGGAAGAGAATAAGAGCCTGATCCTTCGCCGCACTTAGGCCCTGGTTTGCCCAGCTTTAGTGCACAGAAGTTTTTGCGTGCATTTGCCGTGCGCCTGCTGAGAATACACAGCCTGGGGGTGTGCGAAATGAGACCGGAGGGACTCAGCTCGATGTCTGTTAGCCGATCGCTCGGACTGCGTCTTACCATGCTACAGTCTCGGTCCTTGAATCTAAATCCCGAAGCAATTCTGCAGCCTGTTGTCGTTGAAGAATTTGCATCGATAGCCTGCCGGCTGCAATGCCTTCCAACCTCAACTGATCTCCAGTGTCACAGACCGTCGAAGCGTTGTGAGAATATTTGGCAGCTCGCATCTCTCGCAGACCATTTGTCGTTGTGCCACGGGCACGACCCATACTCAATCGCCCGGCGAGAAGTAGTGTACCTTATCGAACTCGCAGGCGAGAGGCAACCCTCAACCCCAAACCCTCAACCATTCTCGGGCTGGATCGTTCCGAAGCCCTGCCTCGTGCGAGTGCGAGAGTCGAAACCATTCTCGGCCCAGGAATGCCCTGCTTCTCGTGCACAACACGATCCACCAGGCACTCTGACACCCCAAAGCCTGCAAAGAGTGTCCGACAAGCGCAAGGAACATCGTCGTGACAAAGGGGGGTAGAAAGACATCATCGAAGCATATAGCCCAACAACATGGACACAGTGCATTGCGATAAACTGAACATTGAGGTGAGGAGACATGCATGCGTTACATGCATCTTTACATGTATAAATGCATGCAAGAATGTCAAGTGCCGGTGCGCATGTGCCCCCCTTCCACTGTATCTAAATATCTATATATACACAAATAGACAAATATACTCATATACACATATTTATATATGTACACGTGTATGCATGTATACATGCATACTTTATCATGTAAGTATAAACAATGCATATATACATACCCCTATTTCTGCACAGACACGGAGAGAGAGAGAGAGAGACACAGAGCGAGCAAGATTTGTCAATGCGTGAAGGAAATCGAGTCAACAGATGCAAAGCCAGAGATGCCTGATGCTCAAACTAACAACAAATGCAATAAATATAAACATAAATAAATAAACATATATATATATATATACATATACAAATGTATATATATATATATAAACGTCCGCAAACCCTGAAGCGCCAAACCAGGCCGGCATCAAGGCCTTGCAGGTGGCGATCAGCAAGCACCCTTGCATGGTCAAGCGACTCGGGGTGCATGTAGCCGGAACTGGCAGCTCTCCTACTTGCAGGTTCATGGTACTTATGAAACAAGTATAACTGTACTTGTGACTGTACTTATAGCTGTACTTATAACTGTACTTATAACTGTACTTCTAACCATATTATGAACCTCCAAGTACTCCCAGAAGCGTTACGGTTGTGATGAAGATTATGACTTGCATAAAGAGATTGGGTGTTTGATTAATTATTGGTTCTTCCCCAAACAGCACCCACTTGGGGTCCTCTCCTCCAAAGACCAAAGAGAAACGACGCCTGGGCGGAATGTGGCTCCGGAGCTGGAGCCTGCGGTTGGGATGGGCGGTGGGTCTTCGTCGGTACGACTTCTTAGTCGTAGTTTGGCCATTTGAAGTGTTACTACCATATCGCTATGCGGCCCCTAGAATTCAAAGCCCTGAGGTCACAACTTGTAAAGGCCAGCCAAATCGCCCACCCAAACCCAAAGCCCTCAAACCCAAGAATCCGAGGCTGGAGCTGGAGCAGCTCGGCATCCCGTTCAACGAGCTCACACGTCGGCTCCCCGAGAATGGGATGATCAGCGTTTGGGGTGCGGGGTTGGTGTACGGGGTGGAAGGCTTAGGGTTTGAGGTCCGTTGTGTTGAGGGTCGGAGGGTCGTGGGCCTGGCGTCATGTGAGAGAGAGAGAGAGAGAGGAAGAAGTCTTTTTTGCTATACACGCGTGGCACGTGGAAGGGTTTAGGATGGTTTAGTTTAGGGACTAAGGTGAGGAGATTCGACACCGGCTGGCCTCGAATCGCCGAAAACTCCAAGAGGAGCCAGCAGCACGGCTATTCTGAGTTCTGATGAATCGCCCCCTGAGACGAGCGGGCCTTTGGGAAAGCACCGTGGGGGTCGTGAGTTGTAAACATCGCTTAAGGTTGATGTTCCGGTTTTCGGCCGGAGCGACGTATGTCGAAGTATGCTCTTATAGGACCCAAGATGACAGGACACGGAAGTTTGCGCCACACCTCGCTGCAGTCCCCCAGGCCGAGTGGGCGCAGGTCAAAGAAGCATTGGACCCCAAACACCTCGAGGCGCGCGGGTGCGAGGGGTGCCGCGGGGGGCCGAGGGGGGCAGGGGTACCCTAAACCCTAAACCCTAAACCCTAAACCCACTTCGCTGGTCAGTTCACTCAACTCACGAAGCTGCAGTGCCAGGAAATCAAGTCGGTGTACCGCATGGGCAACACCTACTCTCCGGGCCCAAATGCTGATCCAGACTTCTGGTGACTCTCAGCATCTGAGTGCAGCCGCGCGCTGCTTCTGACACGTGCTTAGATTTCAAGGAGAAAGAGGACAGGAGTGAACTCGAGCGCCTGTCATCCACAAGTCAGGCTGACTCATGATGAATCTGGAGAACTTGCTATAGATTTAGTTGCTTCTCATCTTCAGCGAAGCTACTCTAGCAGGGGCTCGAAGCCTGAAGCTCGAGGTCATGCCAAGTCGGTTCCAAATCAAGTTGCGTGAAGTTACATGCGTTCGACCTTGCGGCACCTCCATTGCTCAGTCACCTGGCGCAGCGCACAAGCCAAGCATGTATCCCTAAACCTTAAAACCCTGAACCCTAAACCCCTACATGACACATGACTCTCGCATTTGCGAGCCTGCTGAGCTCGGCAAGAGCCATCAGGGAAGAGATGTTTTATAGGGGCATACATTCGGGGTTCTTTTTATAGGGCTTAATGAGGGTTTAGGGTTTAGGGTTTCTCTAGCCTAAAGTGGTATATTAAAGTATAAGAGTTAACAGCTAAAGAGGCCACCGGCCTCTATGAGCCTGTCCCCGAGGCTTGTGCCGCTTGTGCCCGTGGCTGCGTAGCCAGGTGTCTAGCCGTCGCTCCGAGTAGCATCTGTGGGTCCCCTTACAGGAAATTCGGGCTGGTATACGGATTTAAAATGAACTCCAGTGGACTTGTATCCTCTTAGATCCTGAGGGAGGTATATGGCTCTGTTTTTTCGTGTTGGGGAACTTGGTGAGCTTCTTCAAGGGTCATTCTCGGCATGCCAGACGTGCTTCCTCCGCTAATGGTCGAGCTGCCCCTGTCTCCAAAGCGGCAGAGGGGATGACCACAGAAGACTGCTCGTCCCAGCGACAGGCTGCGCGCATGTAGCGCCGCGCCATTGAGATCTGGATGCGCCCAGGAAGCCTGGGCAGTGTACAGTGTACAGCATCTGGCTCAAGAAAAGCGAGAGAGCAGGGATCTAGGATAACTGGGCCCTTGAATCGGACTGGTACGAACAACTAACCCGAACAAGATTAATATTTCGCAGATCTCTAGATGCCAATAGTGTTCAAGAGAAGCACCCAGCATAAACGAACCATGGGGCAGCAACCAGCCTGTCTGAAAGCCACGCATGATTCCCTATGCAGGGTTCGGGGCTTGTTAGTTGTTCTCAAGCACATGACACGACGCACCCAATTGAGGCGCGGGCTCATGATCTTCAGGAAGAAGTTCCGGCGGGTCTTCTATGTTCCCGGGAACCACGACCCTTGCCTCCATCCAAGGGGGGTGGGTAGTTCGGAGGGGGCCATGGCCCGTTAGCCGTGCAGCGTGGGCTGACAGATTTGTTTGAAGCTCTCACAGCTCACATGTTGGAGGATGGCATGGTGCAATCAGATACTTGAGATCGGCTTTCCATCTGCAGCTAGCTATAGAGCCTATCCTGCACCTTTGCTGCTTCAACCTAGATACATGATCTCAAACGGGCTGCCATGCTTGAGAAGTTCGGTCTTTCAGGACATGTGGATCCGGCCCAACACGGCCGACTCGACCAAACAGAAGTTTAAGGACTGACAAAGTGTGTGTGAGAGATGTATTATATACAGGAAGATTTTGACAACGAAAGCCCTCTAGGAGCATCCACCAAGCTAATTCTGGCTTTGTGATGCTTTGTGGAGTTGGAGAGCAGTTCCTTTTTTGGGGTATAGGGTTGAAGGTTTCATTGAACATGGATGGGTCGAGATGGTAACCTGGTCCAGCATCTTCTTGCCACCATAGCTTGGCGTCTTCTGGGCCCACCGTGCACCTTTCGTAAAATAAGCCTGGTGCCGCTTTCCTCACCCGTTTCACTCGATTGCATCCGTGCACGTCTATAGACCCTGCAGTTTTTGAGTTGCAGGATTCCATCGACAAGCTCTTGGCTATGCTGGAGATGTGCATCCTGGCGCCAAAGTGTGGTCTTGTCCTGTGCACTGTAGAGGTCCATATAGCAGCCCTCTCCTGTATGGACCCTCTCAGAACCAGAAGTAGTTTGCACACGTGGATCACCATGTCCTTTGCGTGGGGTGTTTACATTGCTGCCTGCAGCGGCACAGTGGCTTTGGGCGGGGGTAGCGCAGATCGGACAGGTGATGAGCTGCTGCATCCTGAACCTACACCTTTTCGGCTCGAGAGCGTTTATGAGAGGGCTGAAGCGTGCACAGCCCTGACACCCGCAGATAGATCCAGAAAGGCCCTGGTTGCAGTGCTTCTCAAGCAACATGGGCAACCAGCATGGGAGCTCGGTGCGATGTGAGGAGCCTTCGGCCAAGAGCCACCCGACCGCTTTTCCCGAGCACGTGAAGCAAGTGCCCCTGACCCCCGACATGGACAGGGAGCAGGGCTTCAAGAAGTACAAGAAGTACGATGAGTCCATGGGCCCCTTAGTAGCTGAGTGAGTACACTTTGTGCACTTCTTGGGATGCTATAATTAACCCCCTATAGAACTGAAAGTGTACACTTTTTTTGCCGGGGCCTATGATCTCAGCAACTAAGGCCCCTTCCCTGACACCTTCGACTTCGCGAACCAGCTGAAGCTCACCGAGGAGCAGGTGAATCAGTCCTACGAGCATCAGCTGCCATTCCACATGAAGGCTGACGGTAGCCCAGTGGTGCCCCTTTTTCCCCTTTTTTTGGTTCTAGGTTCCCTTAACAAAAAAACCAAAAAAATAGCCAACCCCCCCAAAAAAGGGTATCCTTGTCATAATATGGTTCCTGGGCTACCCAAGAAGGTGGATGGCAACGCCAAGCCAGCCTACTCATCGAAGTGGGAGCGCGCGGTGGCATACCATCATGGACTCTACGTGCCCGAGAAGTACACCTCCACCAAGACTCTTTGTCATATGTTGGGTGTAACATTTTACATGCTTTTAAGGGTACTTAAAGCCAATAAAAGTTACATTTTTTAAGGGTACTTAAACCCAAGAAGGAGTGTACACTTAAATTTTTACATACTATCCCAACCATGAACTAGGACTGCTGATGACATCCGCCTGGCCGTGGCCGACTACTCGGAGAAGGTCCATAAGGACGCCCCCAAGGATGCCTGCAAGTACCTGCAGATCGAGGAGTTCCGCTGCCTGAACGTGTATCAGTATGAAACCCAGCCGGAGGTGGCGGCCAAGAAGTGCATGAAGTGGTGGGACGAGGTGCAGAAGTGCCAGTGGGACCAGGCGAAGTTCAATGCCGGAACGACCTACATCGAAGGACCCCAGATGCGCCGCCGGCGTGCTTACATCTTCTATCCGGACTTCAAGTATGCATGATCCGGTGTGCAGCAAGGGGGTCCTGTTCTCCTTCTATGTGTTTGCCAACTTGACTGTGATGATCGCTATCCACATGGGCTGGAAAGTCAGACATTTTTGTCAGCGCTGAAAACACTAAAAGCCGGCTGCTTGCTGGATGCTTGCTTTTGACCCAGGGGTCTGCCCTGAAAACGATGGGGGCATCTGGGGTGTTCGGGTTGCTTGGGGCCTGTCAATTGAGGTGACAAAATCGGCGCCGAAATGCTGCCTGCCGAGGCCACAGACCCTAAACCCTAAACCCTAAACCCTAAACCCTAAACCCTAAACCCTAAACCCTAAACCCTAAACCCCTTCAGTTGTGGCAATGTGTGGCCCAGATGGCCTGGGGATCCAAGGGCTCTGCAGTCTTCACTGGTGGGGTCTTCAAATATGGCAGTGCTGCGGGGCTTGGCTTAGGAGACAACGGCGACGGCCATGTAGGGTTTAGGGTTTTCTTTAAAGCTTTTGTCGGACAATGAGCGAAAAGGAAAGGTGGTCGAGGCGTGCAGGCCGTTTAGGATTCTAGCCCGTTGAGGCGACCAGTGCTCGATTCCTCGCAGGTCATGCAGGATGTGTACGTTGCTTTGGGCTGAGTGGCTTCGTGTCGACGTTGAGCTCAGAGACCTTGTTGCAGCCTGCCTCAGCAAACGAAGAGCCCTGACTCTTCAGCGGGCTTTTGGGGACGTGCCACTTGTCACACTCTCTGCTCTCCATGTTGTCCATAAGTCAGTAAGCAGCAGAAAAACCAAATATGCACGTTCAGAAGTGAACGTTGCAACCAAAGCCCGAACGGCCGCAAACCCTCTTGCCAGCCGTTGGCCGGCAGAGGAGCACTTTTCGTACACAGGACTGCTCCATGAATTGCTTCATGCTCCTACCTCCGGTCTTGCCATGCCTTGCCTGGGAATCCCACATCCACGGCAAGGTCCCACTCTTGTCCTGGTGGAGCTGTACGTCCGACCCTCATAGGTCTTACCTGCTACTTGAGCTGTTCAGTCATCCCAAGGACAGCTCACTGGTATTGTTGGGTTCCGGTGAAGCTTTCGAACTTCAAGTCGCGAGACGGTGAGGGATCACGATCGTCTGATGCTTGATTACGAGTTCTGGCCGCCCGTGGCCCTGATCACCCCTGGGTTTATAAACCCTGGCTACATCTTGCCTGACTTTTTTGAAGTAAAGTCTTTAGTTGGCCCCTAGCTAGCAGAAACTCGGATGCATCCTGAAGAAGCAAGGAAGCACGGCTATGTAGACCCGGAACGTGTGGATGGGTGTCTAGCCCCCATGGGCCCGGGTTCAGAGTAGAGCCAGAAGCCCTGCCATCAAACGTTCAACCTGCGTACCTCATGCTGACACATGACCAGTAGGCGGCCTAATCCGCAATCCTCCAACCCATCGCGCGCTTGGAACCTTGACTGATGAGGTTTTGCGAGGGCGACCCACGCCCAGACGACGTGCGCTACGATTCGTTTTGTAAGCCACAGCCCTGGTGCCAAGCCACCTGTGCAGGGGGTGGGTTCTTGGTTAGGAAGCCCTTTGGCACTCCTGTGAAGCTTCAAGATGTCGCACGCGGCATGTGCTGGCTTAGCTCCAAGATCTCTTCCATGTTCCAAAAAGGTTCGAAAGGCCCCCAAAATTGCACCGCTCCTTCCTCCGAAGGTGGCCCATGGGTGAGGAGGGGGCACACAAGTACTTCCTGCTGTGGAATGACTACTTTGTCCGCCGCATCAAGAAGCAACAGGAGCCATGGGTGTGGTGTGCCTTTACGAGTCCAGGTGCTAGCTCGCCACAGCTTGCTGTTTTCCGAACGTCGGGGTTCAAGTTGGATCGCAAGCTGTTGCAGTGGGCTGTTGGTGATTGTTTGTCAACATCAGGCCGCAGAGTAGCCTGAGCAAGCATGAAGCTTTGGGAGCCTCAGCCATTCACAGTGCTTCCTAGACACTGTGGCAGCCTTGATCGTTCCCGGGGGGGGGGGGGGAGACGTCTCCTGAAGATCCACAAGCCCTTTGGCAGGAGGAAAGGGGCCGAAAGGGCGATGTCATCACCTTCAGCCACTTCCTGTGCGGGGCTCGGTTTGGCTGGAGCTCACATGGATGTTTGTGCAAGTACTATAGCTACTAAAAACTGCTACCAAGACTTTAGTGATTTTCATCGTGCTATTGCTGCTACTGCGACTGCTACTGCTACTGCTACTGCTACTCATACTCCTCCTACTCCCCCCCCATCCCCAAGTGCGACGGATGCTGCAGAAGCCGTCAACACTTGAACCTTAAATGCCGAAACGTGCAACCCATATTCTTTTGCGGGTTGCACTGTGCGTGTTCGGGGTTTGTGCTCTTGCATGAGGTGAAAAAATGTTGGGCTGCGCTGTCTGTGTTAGAGGGGTTTAGAGTTGAAGGTTTAGGGGAAGGGTGTTTGAGGTTGCACTGTCCCTGTGTTTGGGTTTCGGGCCCTAATTTGTTCGGCTTGCACTGTCTGTGCATTGGGTTCGACATGCTGTAAATACCATAGCAGTCGTGCTTGTCGAACATAGTGATAATCGACATGCACATGTTCGTTGAGAGTTGGGGGCAGATTCCTTAGCTTGAAACGCCACAGTGACCCCTCCTCTGAAAGGAACATCATGACTGGAGAGCATGTGGGCATGCTCAGTCCATGCATCAAAGACCAAGAGTGTACAAGTAGCCGCACGGGCTCAAAGGCTCAAAGACGTAGCCTGCCCATTTTCCTGCAGCTAAACGTTTCCCCCCACTGGTTGATGGAATTAGCCGTTGCCTTGCTCCGCCTTGGGTTTCCGCCTCGGGGCTCGTGCAATCGGCGGTGGGCGTACCAAAAGACAGGCTGGCAAAGCTGGCAAACCACGACAGCCTTTAGGCTGCCAGTCTCAGGGCATGCGGGTTCATAGCTTTCCAACCCCAAACCCAAAACCCTAAACCCTAAACCGTGCAGGTGGGACGGATGCCGCGGGGCGTCCTCTTGGCAGCGGCAGGGGGAGTTATCTCTCAGTCGACTGCCCTGGCATCGGTCTGCCCAGACAACTGGGGTCGGATCGGGGAGAGGTGCTACGCGGCACCACCCTGCGACCATGCACTTGACGCTAGGTCGCGATTGTTTTTCGAGTTTAGAAGCGATGACCCCCAGCCCTCACAGCACGCCGGCTGCCAAGATGAGGATCCCTTTCTGGGTGCCCACACGGGCCCGACATTTCGGGTACCCCCAATAAGGGACCATGATTACAGACAATGGCCCTGACTGCAAAAGGAGACGTGGGCCGCAGCGGAGGGGCTGTGCGCAGAGATGGCTCCTGGGGGACACCTCATGTCTGGCACCCAAGAGGACTTGTCCCGGGCCGTGATGTATCTGTACCATTGCGAAGTCAATGGAAGTTTGATAAATTGGTGGTTGTCGGTGAAGCTTTTCAGGTAAGGGCATATGGGGTCCAAGAGTTTGGGGGCGCCCAGCAGGGTTGTTTTTGCGCAGCTGCAGCTGCAGCTGGACCCGTTTTGTGCACATCTTCATTTTCTCATGCGAGATGGGGGGACACTGGCCGCCGATACCCTTAAGTTGCAAGACGGGCGCATGCATGATTTTTCTGCCCACGTGCTCTGTCATGTTCACGCTTCCTTTTGGTTTGTACGGAAACTGCGGTACAGCCCCGCCCTGGGCAGACTGAGCATGATGTTCGGGAGGTGTAGGAATTTCCTGGTGGGCAGCTCTCTGCGCTAGTACTCGTTCCATTGCCTCGTTTCCCGTCATAGAAATTCTCAGCTCCTACTGCGAATCCGAGTCGCTGCACAAGGTTTCCTTCACACTTTGTGGCTTCATGTTCAGGCAGATATTGAAAAGTTTCTGTGCAGAAGTAAGCTAAACAAACTCCCCTCGTCTGCTTGCTGCGACCCGGCAACAAGCTCGAGCACACGTTGTTATATTCATTGCGAACTGAACCGACGCCACATGGGGGTTGAGCTAAAGAGGTCCTTGTCGGAAAAACTTGGGAATTTGGTAGGTTTTTTCTGGCAACATGTGGCATCGTGCTTTTGAGAGCTGTTAAATATCAAGAAACCAGGCATCCTGGCATATTCGCGATGGACTGGGAGTACGTCTTCTGGACTGGCCTCAATGAGCTTGAGCAGAAGGGGGTTTGGAGCTGGTCAAGCGGGGAGGAGGGCACGCAGGCGACCTGCTTTGTCAGGCTTCAAGGTGTGCAGGGATGCCCTAAACCTTGCCTAGGTACTAAATCCTGGTCCGCCCACATAGAACAGGTGACCTGGTTCGAAGGCGAGCCGAACGACTTCTTGGGCAGAGACGAGCGGTGTGCCGCAGCCTTGCCGGCAGCGTACCTTTTCGATGCGTCCTGCGAGGTCACAGAAAGTGTGAAAATGCCGATGCGCGGCAAACCGTTGTAACAAAAGCCATGCATGACCACATCTGCATTCAATTCACTTAGCCATCGTGAAGGGCGCCTACCTTTCAAGATGGCTTTCACTGTTGGGGCATTCCAGCACTGCTTTAAGAGTACTGGTTTAGGGTTAGGGGCCAAAAAGCGGCGACAGTTCTAGGAGCATGCATACGGGACCGAGGTGCAAAGCGCGACACGCACCCACCCACGAGCCAAAATGGACACGCCTCAAAAAATGCACGGGACCGTGGAAACACGATTTGAGCGCTCAAAGGTTAGTTCACGGGCCCAGAAAAAGGCGAGCACGATTTGGCACCCTCCGCGAGGCCATTTTTCATGTTTGGTTTTGTTTTGCGAACTGCGAGCACGGCTCCAAGGCCTTTAAAACTGGTGTAGAAGTTTAGCTTATAGCTTGCCACCCGCTGCAGCTGCCCAGGCACGCAAGCCTTACGCTACCCCAGCTGCCCAGGCACGCAAGCCTTACGCTCCCCCCCAGCTGCCAGAGAAAGCTCTTAAGGGCATTTTTGGGATGCCTCTTGATGTTGCGGGCGTGACATGCGCATGGCGCCCAGGCGAGAGCGTCATGTGCACGTGAAAAAACCCATTGAGATCATCGTGCCCGCTTGTAAATGCACGCGGCACCGAGGGGATACCGAGAGTGTGGGCTCGGTGAACAGCCGTGGGGTGCAGTTGCGCGCCAGGGATCTACGTCTTCCTACCCTGAATGTCAGAACCCTCAACATGCAAGTTAGGAAATCTCCTCAATGCATGAGAAAATCCTGCCTGTGGCAGATACTCGTAACCCTATATAAGGCATCCGAAGACCCCCTAAAACAGCCAGATCCTGGAGGTGAGAATGCGCTACCTCTGCAGTACGGAGGCGAACCTTTCCAACTGCCCCACGATCTCATGGCATCCATTTTTTTTGGTTTGCAATATAGAGCTGCCTGCAAAAGACACGGATCCCAGTTCTGGTTCCTAGTCATGGTGGCTTGGAAACAGAGGTTGGGTCTCAAGGTGTCCTAGGGCGTGTTTTGCCGCGGTTGGCCGGACATTTTTTGGGACGGCCGGCGCTGTCAGACACATTTTTTGAGTGTGTTGCCGGGAGAATATCCTCGCAGGCGCGATGACTTTGGCCTTTGGGAAAGAAGAGCAAGTTATCAATGATGCGAGAGCACTTCCCGGGGTGCAAGAAAGTTTCGCGCAGTCGAACTTTGCAGTTTGACCGCGCGAAATATGGGAATGCTTCGAGCAAGTAGGGCGACCGCTTTATGGTTCTTGAGGTGCAGGGCAGCTTAAGGGGTTTGGTTTCAGGGCCCAGCAGCCCTGCCCATATAACTATAAGCCAATGACCCAAAGCAACGCACCCCGAAAACCCCGAGCAGCGCAAGCCGACATCCCAAAGCAGCGCAGCCCGGAGTGTGGGATGTAGGTCGAAGAGCTGTAACAAACGTGCAGTTGCGCAGCTGCGCAAAGAGGCAAGAAGGCTGCGAACATCAGTGTTTTGGGAATGTTTAAGGCCGGGCAAACGTGGTAAACGCGGCCTTGTGCCAGAAGAGTCCCACGTTTACCGAGAATGGTCGCCGTCGTCCGTCTCCAGTAGGAAGTCTTGGACTCTTCATCATTTCCTCGCAGACCAGCTCAAGTATTAGGTGAATGCATCATCTGGAGCTCCAAAATTTAGAGGGTTTAGGGTTTAGGGTTTAGGGTTTAGGGTTTAGGGTTTAGGGTTTTGAGGAGATGCACTTTCTCGAACTCAGGTGCCAACCCCTGTCCTGATGTGTCCGAGGAGGGCTGGAGCAGCCGTTGGCCTTGTCAGCAGCAGGAGCAAGAATTTGGGGTCTGGGTTGTTGAGCCCCCCCTCCACCCCCCCAAACCCGAGGCCTCGAAACCCCACTCCTGTTGGGTCCACACAGGGCTGTTGTTTTATGGTTAGTTCGTGTTCGGGCATCGAGATATATCGAGATGATGTTCTGCTTCAATAGTGGCTCCAGGATGATCGCGGGGCCTCATCCAAAAGTAAGGGTACTTCATGGATGATGGCGTGCCCTGTGGTTGCTGTCGACGTGCCTGTGACTTATCGGTTCATAAAAACACAAGCAGTCAAGGAGGAGCCAGAGGAGCCAGAGACCAACGTGTCAGACCTGAAGCAGTGCTTTGGCATGGAGATCTCAGAATCTGACACCTGCCAGAGTAGGACTGGCAACTCTTGCTACGCGAAGGGCCCTCCGATGGACCCCTGTGTTTGCAGAGATGGCCTCGTCCCTCGTGTGTTGTCTTATTCCGAGCTCAGCCTGTTTGGAGCATTTGCCTTTGAATGCTGTGGCAGTGATGCCCCATTTCGGGGCTGCGAACCTCCAGAGCGTCACCAGCAGCAAGTCCAAGTCTTCAAGATTTCGGCCGTCCTACTCCTGGTCTTTGGCTCGGCGGGGATTGTGCTCACCACCTGGTCTCTGAATGCTGGGAAGAGACGTGTGCCACTGGAACCTGGAGATTGCCAGGTCATGCGGCCGAACTTCCAAGGAGACGGATGGACACTGCACCAAGCCGTCGAGCCAGAAAAGTGGTGCGTGAGCCTGCAAGACCTTCGGCAGTTCCGGCGCCTCGTGATGCAGGCAGTGTCTGAGGGCCTGATTCAGCCAACCGAGAGGGACATGTTCGATGTTGCAGATTTTGTGACAGGGCCGTCGGCTTCTTACTTAGCCAAGAGTTGAACTTTACACTTTTGGGGTTTCCTTATTTAGCAGGAACTATAAAGCTTAACCTTTTCTTCCCTTGGTTACAGGAGAAGTAAGGTTTATACTGTCACAGATCAACTGATTAAGCCTGTGACCGCAGCCGCGGGAAAAATGAGTTGGGCGCTGCTGAAGAATTCCGCTGGCTTGCACTGTGACTCGCCCCAGCACGCATAACATTAACATTCTTTTTTTGTTGAATACTCAAGAAATACATAAGGGGGTTCCCATGTGACCATACTAGGTGATGTCTTTGTGACGCATTGCTGGGCGGAAGGCATATATGAGTTCATTGACAGGGTCGATGGTGCTTGGCCGCGTGGAGCGAGGGGCGCCTACGTCTGCTTCCTATCCAACCCACAAAATCTTGACATTGCAAGCCTCATTGCGCGTCCGATTGAGTCTCCTTTTGCTCTGGCGCTACGCTCATCGTCGATAGTTCTGGTTCTGCCAAACAACAAAGTCTCCATCTACACACGCCTCTGGTGGAAGTTCCTGAAAGTTTTGGGGCCCGAAGAAAAGACATGACCAAAGCATCCTAAATATGTGATTTTACAAGGACTCCTCCTTTCCGAAAATCTCCAGGTGTGTCTACGAGGCCTTCCTTGCGTATTCGTGGGAAAAGAGCATCAAAACTGCTGAGCTGCACGTGGGAATTTGGAAGTATCTTATTCGGATGGCGTGCTTGCCTCCTTCCGCCATTCAGTAAGCTTTCGAGTTCTGTCTACTCGTAGAACGAAGCCCTCCCTAAGTGTTCACGAATGGCTCGTAAATCAAGCAGCACACGCGACGGCATCAGGTACTGTGCAGCGACCGGAGCGCTATGGCTGCTGCTCATGGAAGCAGGAATGCGTCTTCCTACCCTTTTGATTACATCGGTGATCGTGACTCCGATGGGATGTACCTCGGGCTGGCAATAATCAGACAGCTCGCTGTCGTGCAAATCCTAAAAAAAAACAAATCCTTTCGTGGTAGCCATGTGACAAGCCTAAACCCCGCGACTCCAGACTTGATGCAGGCATTGTGTATCTCTGTCTTGCACGCCAACTCTTGCAGCTGGGCATATACTTCGGCCTGGTGCAAGCGTGCAACGCGGTCCTATGCATTTCTCTCAGTCTGGCTTTTTCGGCATTGGCCTTCATCGACATCGAAGGGACACCACTTTCAACACTTGGCTATATCGCCGGCTTAATCTGGGGGTTGCTTCTCTCCTGCTTCGCGGAGATGGATTGGCTCCTGGCAAGGGATGCTACCACACGCAGTAAGTTTCTTCGAAAGGAGTTCTCCGGTCGGCTGCTAGATGCTGGATGTTCATCAGCCTCAGACAAGGAAAACATCCACCAAGAAGTTCTGCAGAGCGGTAAGCTGGGTGAAGTGGAAGCAGCCGTGAATGTGTTGCTGCGCATGAACACGGTGACTGCGGAGCTTCAGCGCACTGCGGCTGTCGTTGGCGAGCTCGGAGATGTCACGCGCTTCAGTCGGTTCTGGATGACTGTGGGCCTTTTCGCCTGGATGGTGCTTCCCACCTTTTTGAATGTGGAGTTTCTTGCGGAGCAACTTAACGCCCGATCCCTTGCAATCGCACTGATAGTCGTCATGCCTTTGCAGGGGGGCTTGTGGCTGCTGGGTTTCATTCTCTTGCCGCCGGGTCGGAGGAAGTTCGCCGCAGTCAGTCTCCAGCTTTGGATGCTGGGCTTGCTGGCGCTCATGACTTTGCCTCTGTTCTTTCCTGAAGATTCCGTAAGAGCTTGGTACGCCATCATTGGCGGATTTTTTGTGGGCCCTTTGTGCCTCATCCTGTTGCTTGCTGGACCCTACAGGACAGCATGTGTCCCCTTTGTCGGACCTCCTGTGGTGCGGTGGATGCTCGGAAGCAGGTGTTGCTGCTGTGGACGCCGGGCACCATGGGCAACTGAAGCGGCTCAAGCGCCACTAGCCCAGCCACCTTCAGCTGATGCAGCGGACGCCTGCCCCCCATACGCCAGTGTGCAAGCAACGCCACTTCCAGCTGATGGCTTGTTCGATGTCACGGTTGAAGAAACGCACTTTTCCTTCTGATGCCGATTGCCTGATACATCTCAGTCTCCACACCTGCTCTAGCCCGGGCTCTGCTTTCCATCGGCCCCTGCCCACCTACGGAAGCTAGGGTGGCTCCGGCAGTGCGCATTGTGCATCAACTCTTTCCTCGCGTGCTGTTTCAGTTAATGTTGTTTCACCCTCACCTGTTTGGGTTAGGGGGGATGGGGGGCCCTTTTTTCCAACACCCCCCCGAACCCCTCCCAAGCAGATGGCAATTCTCTTGAGCAAGCGCCCTGGGAGCCGATGGTGGCAGAAGGCCCCAAGGCTCTGTCCACCAGACCAAGGCCCTTTGGCAGGGTGTGGCTTTGCGAGGGCGGTGTGTCCAAAGCACAGGCAAAAACCTCCAGCCCAGAAACATAAGGCCCCCAGCTTAGGCCTTGAAGACCCCATCCCCCAACTCCTTGAGCTCGTCACCCACACCCAATTTCCCTGAACTTTCCAAACCCCACAAAAGCTTCCAGACCCCTTCCAGGCCCACCTCCGACTTGCCCTGTGGGGGCGCTCCCATCAAGGCGGGCTGGGTCGGCTACCAGGATACCCCTGTTATCGGGTTGATTGTGGGGCTTCTAAAGGCTTAATTACGAGCCCATCTTTGTAGGTCACCATACTCTGAGCGCCATACCGCAGCAGCGTGGGGCTGGGCGTCACCGTTGTGGTCCTGTTCAGGGTTTAGGGTTTAGGGTTGAGACTGCCCCTTGTCTGAGGCCAGTGGCTGTCTACAGCTGGAGGAGCTGGAAGACTCAGCGTTTCTGCAGTGCTTTCCAGGATTCCCCGCTCTGCCGGCCTGGCTGCGCGATGGTTTCATTCCACTTATGCCTGTTGTGCTGTAGATTTTCCTTTGGATCGACCCAAGTTTCTATCATGGCCGGATCCCACTTCTGGTCTTCGACTTTTCAAATCTTGTTGTCAGGGATCAGAGATTGGCGGCTCGGACTCAGGAGTTGGAATCATCTATTCTGAAACTTGCGGCCCCGCTGTGTTGAGTTGCAAGAGTAAGCGTAAGTGCAAGACAAGAGCATTACAACCTTAGGTTGTCCTACTGTATGTCCTCAAACGGCAAGGCTGTAGACCCAAAAGAATCAAGAAGAGAGTTTCACGCACCTCGAGGCAAATCCAGGCAGTGGGAGCTCCCATCCATATCTTCGGTCACACGCACATGAACATTGCCTATGCCTCCGACTCAGACTCCGTGGTCATCAGAACACGAACACCGGAATAGCCTTGCACAACATGGGGGGGGGGGCCTTGCGAAACTAGGGGTACCTTGTGTTGGGTTCCCAGGTATAAGGCTTGCTGTGCTGTGTTTTTTCGGGGTACCCATGGTTTGGGAAATGCCCATATATATCTCACGTCGCGGGTTGGCACCATGAAGCCATCGAGGAATCATGTCAGCGTAACTCGCAGCAGCACTAGTAGCAGTAGCAGTTAGTTTGTGAGAGATTCGCGTGCTGTGTTTCATGCATGTGCATGGAAGGGAGGAGCTTGGAAGACCACAATGCTACTAGAATAAAGAAATCCTGTACTAGTGCTATGTGCCGTATCAGAGCCAGACGATGATGGTAACTTGTGATCTCAGTTCCCTGACAACAGCCCAGTAGTGTACGTGTGGAAAAAAACAGAGAAGGCAACGCGTGGCGTGCGCTACCAGCAGCAGAGCCTGATGGGACCGGGGCCCAGAGTTTAGAGGAGAGAGGTGGTTTCAGGGCTTCGAAGCAGAGTACTCTTCAGCCATCCTTCGGATGGCTCTGCCCCGTCCGGGTTTAGCTTGCTGCGACTGCAGCAGCTCAGAGCAGACGAGTGAAGAGTCGACAACAACAGCAACACGGGTTTGGGTCGAGACCTACTATAGCAACTCATGGGCGCCTGCCAAAGCCTTCTTCAAAAGGCCCGGAGTATGGACTCTGCGAGCGCCAGACCTTCTTGAAGCTCCATGACGGCAAGCTGGCTGTGCAGCTCGGCGGCAACTGAGGGGGGGGGGGGCGGGGAGAACGGCGAAACAACAGACAGAGGAAGTGGGAAGGGCATCTGGATCATCTAGGGTTGAGGTTTAAGTCAAAAGTTGCACGTTCAGAGGCCTCAAGCTGGAGGACTCTTTACCACCCGAGTGCCAAGTCTCCAGTCTTTGTGCAGAGCAAGAATAACCCTGCAATGTCACGGGCTGCTGGTCAGGACTTTGAAGGTACCAGAACAAGGGCACCTTTCATTCACAACGTACACCCATAGCATGGTAGCTTAACTTCAGTTCCTTAACAGCAACCAGTTGGGATGTTCCCCTATACAAATAGTCCTTAATAGGGATGAAAGTACCACCCCGTTATAATCCCTATTCAGGACTGTTAGTACAAGGGGGAACGTCCCAAGAAACCCAGTTTTATGGGCTCATAGGAATGTGTTCCCATGGGAAGGATTCCTGAAAGTCCTTAAATTGCCGACTCTGCAGGGAGCCCAAAACGCACAACGTCTACTGAGCCCGGCAGCGGGCCAACGCGTCTCCCAAAGTGTGGGTGTCCATTTCTGGGGGGGGGGGGGGGGGGGGGGGTTGAAGGTTGCAAAAGGGGCTTGGGTTAAGGCTGGGGCGTTGGGAGCTTTTTGGGGGGTGTTTGGGGGGATCACCGAAGTCTATTGTTTGCCGGCGGGAGGCATCTGGTTGGACTTTCCTGCAGCTCTGGGCCGCTTCTTTTGCTCTGCCTTGCAAGACAGGCCCCCCCAAGAAGGCGTTTTGCAGCCTCAACTGCGAGCATGAACTCCTGGGTGATGCCCACGGTTTAGGGTTTAGGGTTTAGGGCTTAGGGTTTAGGGTTTAGTGTTGAAGTCACGGTCGACCTCAGCTTGCCAACCCTCTTGTAGCAGTTTGTGTTGTCGTCATCTTGTGTCAGTTAACGCAGTATCGGCCCTCCAGGAAAGTATCCTGGAGAAACGCCTTCTTTTCCATATCTGTTCAGTAGGTCTTACAAGAGACCTTGTAGCACTTGCGATCGCTGCTGTCTGTGTCTTCTAGCGGACCAGACGAAGCGCGCTCTGCAGTCGCAAAAGCATGATATGGGCGGGGACCAGGATTCCCTGATCTCAATAAGGCATCCCTAGTATAATTTCGGAAAACTTCATGTGTGCAGGAAGGCTTGCAGGGTGTTTGGGAGACTTGAAACCACATGGGGGAAATAAACTCCGCGGTAGGCCTCTGAAAAGAGCAAAGCCCCAACGCCTTCGATCTTCCAGAGAAGCTAACCCTAAACCCTAAACCCTGAACCCTAAACCCTAAACCCTAAACCCCAAACCCTAAACCCTAAACCCTGCCAGAATCTCTCCCCGCAGCTGCTTTGGCCGGAGTCCGATCTATGCCATTCCGCGCCGCCCTTCCATGGCCAAGGCTGGCAAGGGCAAGAGTAGGCCTCGCTCTCACCACCAGGGTGGGGGGTTTAGGGTTTAGGGTTTGCGATTAAAAGGGTTTAAGGGTGTAAGGGTTTAAGGTTTTGGGTGCTAATTCTTAGCCCCTCCTTTTTGTGCAGCAGGACTTCGCACCCCGAACAGTGAACTCATACGGTAGTACTTGCCATGGCAGTCGGGATAGACGACGGCCCTATAAACCCTCAGCGACAAAAACGACACTTATGCAGCCCGGCTGGTTGGATCTGTCCAGCTAAATAATGCCGCAACAGCCCTAAACCGTAAGAACAAGGCCAGAATCTTGGGATGTTCCCCCATACTTACAGTCCTTCATGGGGCTAAAAAAAAAGAGGGGGACTATAATCCCTGCTAAGACTGTTAGTATGAGGGCGAACATCCCAACCTTCACCGCTAAATTGCCAACCCCAGGGTGGCGAAGAAGCACTTCGCCAGCGACGGGCGCTGCTTCTGAGCCGCCCTCGTCGAGGTGGACTTACTTGGCGGTTCTTATTAACCAATAACTGCACTTATAAATGTAAGCAATAACTGTACTTCTAACTGTAATTATAACCATATGAGGGCGCTTAAGGGGCTTATAAGTGGGTTATAAGTACAGTTATCATTGGTTAAGAAGTAATTACCATGAACCTCCAAGTACCAGCACTCTGACGGGGGACCCCCAGGTAAGGGTTCAGGGTTTAGGAAAGTCAGATCTGGCTAGTCCTCGAGTCCAGCTTCAACAAACAAGGAAAGTCCGTGGAACCAAGGGAATGGTTATTAGGTGTTTTGGTTCGGGAGATGCAGGAGTTACAGTTGCCGAGGCGCCTGTAGCTGTTGACGCAGTATATTATCCTCGCATCGTGTGGTGCTTACATGGTCCTAGGCCTGGTTGCAAGGGATCCTAGGCCTGGCATAGTCCTTGCAGGGCCAGACCATGAACTAAAGCTACTTTTCATATCAAGTACACAGTGATGCGCGAACGCAGGACCTCCATCCCGCCTCCGCATCAATGTCGCCCACGCCCTCAAGAATGCTGAGGCAGTCAGATAGGTTCGAGTTGGTTCACGCTAGGGCTGGTGCTGCGGATGAGAGGTCGGGGTCATGTGCTCCCAACCAATGCTGTCCTGTCAACGCACACGCTTGTAGCTTCCCAAGCACTTCCCTTTCCACGAAAACCAAGTAGCCCCGCCCATACCCTTCATGCCTTTTGGCTCAGCACTGCTTCCAGCCCATGTAGCGGTTTTCCTGCACGCCTATGCCGCCGCAATGCAGAAGTATGTGGTTGGCTTCGAAATCGCGGATGCGGGTTGACTGCAGCTAGCTACCCCTGCTATTTGCGGATGCCAAACATCTCAGTGAGCTGAGTAAGTACTTGCATGTACTTGCGCCTGCTCTTCTCCACGTATCCTACCTTAGGGGTCAGTATGTCCAAGGTCTTGAGGCTTTTGAGTTTTTGTGCGCTGCGGAGAGCCCACTCCCAGACGCTGAAGGCCAGAAATCTGACGACTGAAGATAGCCAGCCATGCGACCCATTTGTGGTGGTGGAATGTTTCTTGGCTGTGTTGGCATGCTCCGGCCTCACGGTTTAGGGTTTAGGGTTTTTTGAAGTTGTTCAAAAACTCTAACTGCCTTCGTTCCGGCTGCAACATTCCCACTGCGTGCAAGAGCTTTCTTACAGCATAAGCCCTGCTACCATGACCCAAGCGCCCCTCAGAGCCTCGCACCCTAGACCCTCAAACTCAAACGTGGGGGTCTGCTAGGTGGGTGGGGAAGAAAGCCAACAACCCGAAAGCCCCAAAACCCTAAACCCATCTAAACCCCAAACCCTAAAACCCTACAACCCTAAAACCCTAACCAGTTTGAGAGTTGAAGCCCTGCTTAGACCAAGCCCAGGCTGCGGCAAGCGCTACCAGACCGACACCAAGGAGGGCAAGGCTGAGAGTCTCAAAGATCAACACTGGAGCACTTTTGCTAGAATGTTAAAGGCAGTCATGAATTAGAAGCGGTGTTCAACTATTTCTAGATTACAAAATTGTTTCAGCGTTCTTTAAACCGTTTGGTTTTTTGTGGCCTTTGAGACTTCGACTTTTTGTGTTTGAGTTGTGGCCATGAGGCTTCGTTTAAGTACCTGGGTGAATTTTCGGCATGGGTCGGGGGGGGGGGGGGGCGATGTTTTCCGAAAATTAAGTTTATCAAATATTGAGACCCCAAGTAGTAGGATTCCCTCATAATAAGGACCCCAACAAGGTAGCCCTAAACCGGGTGCCAAAAAAGAAGACCTAAACCCTAAACCCCCATGTCAGTCTGCTCAGCCAGGCGATGTTCGTTTCGTGGAACGAAGACAACATCTGGCCAGACGTCGAGCTCTATCCGGAGGAGTTTCTTGGCTTTAGGGTTTAGGGTTTGGGGTTTGGCCAACCTGCCTGTTGTATGACATATTGGGGGGGTTTCCGAATTAGGGGTACCTTTGTACCTTTGCGGGGTCCTTATTCTATCCGGAATCCTACCGTTTGGGGTTTGATATTTGGGTCCCTTATTTTCGTAAACCCCCAGCATGGGCTCATCACCGACATTGGACTCAGGTTTGAGTCCGCCTACATAGAATTCACCGTCTACGCACGGCGCCTTGGCAGGTCAGCTGGGCAGCGCCCTGGGATAGAGAAAGCCACACTAACTCAACAAAGGGAAGAATCTGCCTAGACCCTTAGTAGGAAAATATTTTTCGCTTTGAAACATAGGGTGAAGCAGGTGCCTATTGTGGCAATTGTGGAGCTGTGCCTTAGGGAAGCCCTGGGTTGAATAGGGAAGCCCAGGGTTGAAAAAAACAACCCAGGAGGCCTTAGGGTTTAGGGTTTAGGATTTGGGGTGGGGGATGGAGAAGGCCGTAGCACTAGGGGGGGGCTTCTGCCTTGTGAGCTCTGGGGCTATTGTTCTGAGCCCAGAACATCCTGCCATGCGCTATGAAAGCATGGAGCTGAGGAACTGGTTCACTCGAAATTATCAAATTGGCAAGGCTTCGCTTCAGCTGAAGAGCGTGAATGCGCGGACAGGCACGTTGCTCAAAGGTTGGGACCATGGGCCCTTAGGTCCCCTACCCTTGTTTAAAAAGGATTTCAAGGTAGCCCCTATTTCCGTGCACCCAGGGACCGCCGACCCCCAGGGTTTTTAAATTGGGTTGCCTTCCGAAGCTATCTGGGGGTTTTACGAAAATACTTACGGGACCCTAATGTAGACCCCAAATAGCAGGATCCCCTTATAGTAAGGACCTCAATAAGGTACCCCTGATATCGTAAACCCCGTCTGTTTGTAAGCTGCTTGTAGGAAATGAGTTTCAACATTGAGCCCGAAGCCTTGAGCTCTTTCAGAAGCCACCTCTACCGGGTCTCGCCCACCTCGACTAGATCGTCTTTCAGACTCAGACGCATAACACGCCCAGCTGGGAGCTCTATCTGTTTTATGCGTCTAGCATGTCTCAACCCCTGCATATATTCTGCTGTCTGTTCGACGTCTTCCTGGGACCTGGGCTTTGACAGCGTCTCAGCTTCCGCTCTCGAATCCAGCTGCGCGCACGTGCAGGCCACGTGTACATGAAGAAGTCGCTTCCGCTGCGGAAGGAGGGCGAGACTGCCGCAACAGGCTCCCAGAGTTGAAGATCCCCACTTAGGGCTCCCGGTTTTTGTAGCTGAATTTTGGAGCCCTTGAACCCCGAAACCCCACAAAAGATCAACAAAAGCCTTGGTTCAAACCCTACATAGCCCTAAACCCTAAGCCCTGAATCTGTCGTTAGGTTAAGTTTTTGTCGGGAGCCTTCTGGTGGTGACCAAACCTTGATCCCGGTGATGGAGGAGGTGATGTCTGACGGCGGTGGCGTGATGTGTTTTCGTAGAGTGTTATATGTCCGGGCTCAAAAAAGGGGTGGTATGTAGGGTCGACCCCTGAGTTTCAGTCTGAAGGCAGAGTCCCTAACTTAGAACTTGGGGAATGGTGATAGAAGCCATGCGGACATGGTACAACGCTCTAAGCAGGTCGCTTAGAGCTCAGGCACTGTGGCCCGGCTTCGGGCCCCAAGTGAGGAGCCATTCCCTGAGCTGCGCAGTTTGTACAAAATCCCGCATTTTTCCCGAAAAAAAGCTCCAAGACAAGAAGCTGAAGGACCCAAAGCACAGAATTTCAACGAAGCCTGAAAGCCCAGTGGAGGCATGATCACCCTCACGGTCTTCTGCTTGAAGCCCGGCGAGTCAGCACCCCAAGGCATCCGTTTGGAGCCTACAGACCCTAAACTTGACCCCTAAACCCTAAACCCTAGGTGGTAGTGTCCGTGGTAGTGTCCTAGGTTGCAAAAGATGAACCCAAAACCCTAAACCTCCCTTGCTTGAGGCGTTTTCGAGCCTTGGGTTGAGTCTTGAGGGGGCCATGTTTTCAAATGAGATTGCCGAGCTTCACGCGGTGAAGGGGTAATATCTGGGGATATGTACTCCCCTAATTCCCAACCAGGAAGCCTTTGAGGCTTACAGGGTTCCACTGGAAACTGCAGGAACGCAGCGCTCCAGCGTTGACTGCGTAAAAAAGCCCGAAACCGTAAATCATGAACCCTATGAACCCTAAACCACTTCGAGGTATCCAGAGACCTTTAAGCCCAAAAGGTGAAGAGGTCAAAGAAGAGGGAGACGCCGCCGAAGACCTCGAGGACGCCACGGCGCTTTAGGGTTTCTGGGTTTGCGAGGCTTGAAGGAAAAGTTGTCCATGTACTTAAAGAGGCCCCTAGCATGCACTGCTGGGGTAAAAGGGGCCAAAGGACCAAAATGTGTAGAACTGGCCGTGCTGTATCATGCCCTGTCACCCTAAATCCCAAAACAGCCTGACCAGAAATCCGCAACTCCGCTGCCTAAGAAAGCATGGTTTGGCTTTTGTGCAAGTTGCTTAAGATTCCCCCTCCCTGCTCTTTAAAATCAAACAACAAATACAGATATACCTCCGTATAAGGGCATTTTTTTTTTTTTTTGGGGGGGGGGGGGGTGTTCGTAAGGAAATAGACGTTTGGTCACATGGGAGGGCGCATCAGGACTTGAGCAAAGCGGTGCTTGGATCCTCTGCAGACACTGGAGACGCTGGCAAGTCGCAGCCTGGCTTGTGGTTTAGGGTTTCCGGGATGTTGGGTTTAGGGTTCTATAGCGTCTAGCTGCAGGGTTTAGGGTTTACAGGGTGTTGGGTTTAGGAGTTTATAGCGTTTAGGGTTTATAAGGTTTATGAGAGAAGCTGCCGCTGCGGGGAGCTCCGAGTCGGGCGAAGTAGCAAGCCCGTTGCAAAGGGTTTTCCTCGGGCAAGAAAATGGGGTTTAGGGTCAGCGCGTGTGTGGCGGGTCAGCCAGTAGAGCTGATCAAGTCGTGCCAGGCGCTCTGCTGGCATCTGCTCCCAGTCCAGTTGCAGGGGTTTGGGGGTTTTAGGGTTTAGGGCTTAGGGTTTATGCAGACGGGTTTTGTCGGAGATGGACCAGTAGACTGCAGCGGGTCTTTGGCCATGGTTTGGAGACTGTAAGAGTGAAGTTTCGGCGCTTTTGTGCCGCATGCGCTTGGTTCAGGTGTACTTGGATGCCTTCAGTCTAAGAATAATTTGTGCCCAAAACCCATACCCCTTAACCTACTGCTGTACAAAAGGAGAAGATAAGGAGTCTAGTCTAAGGGCGGGTTTTACCATACCCCTTGACTTCTGTAAGGGTATGCCCAAGGGGTATGTTGAATATTTCGTAGCTTGAGACTTGTGAGGCTTCTTTCAGCTTCGGGAGGCTCATGAAGCCACAAGCTGAAAGTTTTAGGGTTTAGGGTTTAGGGTTCCGCGGCCTAGGTACCATGTCCTGGTGAGTATCTACCGGGCAGAGACGCTTGGTGAAGCCGGTGGAGATATGGCCCCGGCCCGGGAGTCGCTTAGGGTTTAGGGTTTAGGGTTTAGGGTTTAGGCCCTGAACCCTAAACCCGGCTGGGCCACCAGGTCAGGGCTGCAGGGACTTTTTGGCGGCGTTTATAGGGGGTTCCCCTAATATACCCCCTATTATAATGAATCCTGTGATTTTTTGCGCCACCCAAAAAAAGGTACCCCTACTTTCGGAAACCCCCCTAATCTGCGCAAGAAAAGCCGGGTGCAACGAGGAACTTAGCCAAGATCGGCGGGTACAACCCCAACCCGTTTGTGACGGTGGAGTTCTCTGGCGCATGCAGCCCGCCAGACGATCTTTTTGACTTGCGCTGGGCTTGGGGTTTAGGGTTTAGGGTAGGGTTTAGGGTTTAGGGTTTAGGGTTTCGGGCTTGTCTGCACTGAGGGCGCCCTGAAGCTTGCCCGACTCACCTGGACAACAGTTTCAAAAACAAGGGTCGGTTCATGGCTGTTTTCGATCCTGAGACTTTGTTCCGGTTAGATGGTCCGCTTGACCCCTACAAGCCCTTGTAAAGGCCCCTTTTTGGGGTAGATTGTGGGGATTCTAAGGCCCAAGAACCCATCCTGACACGCAGGTTTCGGGTGGCACCTGTCGCAAGCCAAGGCGTTCTGAACCCAATGCAGTACCAATACCACTACCCTTTTCTCATCTCCAGCACCAGAGGCTACCTAAGCCCTCAACCCAAAAACCTACACCCTAAACCCTATAAACCCTAAACCCCTAAACCCTCAACCCTTGATACCCAAAACCCTGAACCCTAAACCCCTAAACCTTAAACCTCAAATTTTAAAAAAACACACCTTAACGCTCAACCCAAAACCCTGAACCCTAAACGCCAAGGCGTGAGAACGACCCCGGCGTACGATGTGGAGCAGTGCCGGGTCATTGTCAGATCAAGGGATCAGAGGTTGGACCTTAGAGTCGCTGTTTGCAGCAGACTCGGAACCCCTTAGAAGGGACCCTTAGTCCCACTAGCCTGCAACACTTGAGCCAAATTCTCTGTGTCGAGGCGATCGGTTCGCAGCGCCCCTCTTGTTGGGTTTGGAGGTTCCCTTCTAGAACCTCGGGGTTTAGGGTTTAGGGGTTTAGTTTGGGACCCTGGGCCGACGGCCGGCGTTATGGGCCAAAGCTGTGTGCAACACTTCCTGGCTCCCAGTGGCTGCACCAACTCATTGAGGCACACACAATAGCTTCCTCTTCCAGCAGTTTCAGCAGGTTCTCTCGATGGGGCATCATGGAGAGATCCTGACGAGCAAAGCAGGAACCTCGATAATGGCTCACAGTCTCCCCCTTACATTCCCTATATACCTGCAAGATAAACTACCCAAGAAGCCATGCCGAAATTAAAGTATACGTCATCTACTTTATAGCTCAGGTACACTTGGAACGAGTGTGCCCGGATACCGGTGCAGACGCCAGTCTACGAGGAGATGCTTTGGGTGGGGGTTGCGCCGGTTGCGCTTGAAGTTTGAGTCACAAGGAACCCAGGGGGGGGGGGGGTCAAGGGGTCCATGTACCCTTAATAGGGCTTCTTTGGGACAATAAAGTGGGGGAATCTGCAGCCCTGATGCCCTCCCTTCCACCCTGTTGGTTCCTTGTGATTGAAGTCGAGAGCTGGGAAATGGCCCGTCCGGAACCTCTGGGGTCTGATGGGGTTTAGGCCCTTTAAATTTAGGTACTGCAGAAGCCTCTCGGGACTCAAGTGCCTTTGAACCTTTTCCGCCCCAAACTTCCGGTCAGTAGGGTGATGTGTTGCCTTTTTGGTTTCTTGGCTGCGAGAAGAACAGGACACCATCCTCATCAAGCTCTGGAGTGGGGGCTCTGCATTGACCATGACCCCAGACGCCTTGTGGCTCGGGCTGCATCAACCCTTGAAACTAAATTTGGTAGTCGAACGCTCAGGGAGCCCTCATCTAGTCCAACCTTTTGGCCAGGCGGCAAAAATGCAAATACCCGGCAGTGCGATTGATCTGCTTGGCAAGTGGCAAAAACAAAAATCCTAAACCCTTTCACTCCTTTTCACGCAATGGTAACAAAAATCCTAAACCCTGCGTGCACCTGGTCGTCCGATCTCGCCTCTCTGGCGGGGTCCGCGACGTTGTGATCTTTTGGGGCGTGGCTGAGTCAGGAGCAGGTCATCTCAAATTGTTTTCAGCGCCCAAGAAAAACTACAATTAAGAAGCCTGCGCCCCAAGCTTGCTAGGGCGTTGAGTTTGTCTCCCCTTACCGATGCGAGGATGTTGTCGATGCAGGTTGCCCCCCCCCCCCCCTCTCAAAGCCACGTCAAGCTTCACAAGCGCCATTTCGTGCGCTGAGCCAACTTAATGCTTCGTGAAGATGCAAATCATCTGCCAACTACGGGGCAATACGGGGAAATGACTTCTGCTACGAAGGTCCATTAGAGTAGAGTCCGCACTTGATGGGCTTAGGGCTTAAAGAGGCGTGAATGAGGTTAGAATAAGGAATGAAGAAAAACGTTCAGAGGAAATTCAAGAAGGGCTTCAGGTTTTTGGGCTGGGCTTGCTGCGGCGCAGGGTACCTGGGAAAATAGCCAATGCTCTGGCATAGGGCCGCCCTACGATGTCTCCTACCCTAAACCCTAAACCCTGAGTTTTGACCTCTGCGAACACCTTAGAAGCCCCGCAGCCATCAGGCAAGACCCTTTCAACAGTCTTTGTGGGCATCCTGACCCCCTTGCAAGCACAAGCAAGTCGAGAACGACCATGAAGTAATGACGTAAACATGTAAAAAAACAGGGTATTTGGGCGAGCCGGAAATAATTTCAGGCATGAGTGCCTTCGTTTTGTGTGAGTACTGAAGCTGCGTCGGTTGTCGGGATGCCCTGTGTCCTGCTTTTCATGGTGCCTTATTCGCTCTCGGTCTTGGCGGACAGTGCACTTGCCGCAAGCTGTGCGCAAGCATAAAATCCTGGTTTAAATATACCCTTTCATACAATACCTAGGATGCACAGCAATACCTTTCTAAACCCCATCAACTAAGCAAACAAGAGTGTCCCCTTTTCTCCGATAAGTCACACTGGGGAACCTAGATACGACTAAAGCCTAAACCCTAAACCTTAGGGTTGTCTTCATGTTTGGGATGCAAGGGAAGGGAGGGAGTCGCCCTTTTGAAGAGGAACTTGTGATAGCCGGTCCCAAAGGCGGTCAGCCAGGCGGGTGGAACAAAACCCTAAGCCCTAAACCCTTGCAGGCTTGCTCAGGGCCTGATCTCCTTCAGCGAGCTCAGGACGGGGTAACGCAGTTGTTCAGAGGCCTAAATCTGGTACCCTCGTTCCTCAATTATTATAGGGGTTTAGGGTTTATTACAAAGGGTAGTTCCTGAAATATAAGGGTCTGCTTGAGACATTCCTGCCTTCGTTGCAAGCGCGGGTGGTGTCAAAAGCTCAAAGCATTGAGGCTGGGTGGGGGTTTTGGTTTTGGATTGGCTCTTCTTTGGAGTTCAAAAGCTCTAGCCAACAACTCAGCTTCGAGAATCGAACTCCTAGACCAGGTGGCTGCGTGAGCAGTTTCGGGGTTTTTGGTCATCTGGCGATGTGAAGAGCCAAAGCAGAGCTTCCGCAGCTAGGAACAACTCGCTGCCGGCGCGGTGGCCCTCCGTCCTTGATAGGATGCATTGGCCCGCTTGCATTCTGTTTTGGCCAGTCGCAGGGGCTTGCGGTTTGCAATCGCACAAGCCGGACTGTAGCTGTGCAACTAGTCAGCTGCACAGCCGCGTTTGCGGCATGAAACCACGTTTTCCTGTCCAAGAAGATCCACCTTGGTGCACGAACCATCCGTTTAGGTTGCCGATGCTTTGGTCAAGGAACCCTTATAAGGGGCCTTTGGGGTTATTTGGGGGTTGTTTGGGGGCTGTTTGGGGGCTACTTAGGTATTATCGGGACTGCATGAGGTTAAGTGTCAGAATCGCTCAGACAAGGTTCTGCCTCTACGGCTGGGATACTGAGGAGGTCCCAGATGTGAAGCAGCGCCCAGGATCCGAAGAGCATGACCTGTGCTAATTGGGAATAAGATCAACCCCAAGAAGGTCATTGATATGTGAAATTGAACCCCAAGAAGGTCATTGATATGTGAAATTGAAATTAAAGAAGGTCTTTGATATGTGAAATTGAACCCCAAGAAGGTCATTGATATGTGAAATTGAACTCTAAGAAGGTCATTGACATGTGAATTCGAACCCCAAGAAGGTCATTGATATGTGAAATTGAAATTAAAGAAGGTCTTTATTGTGTAAAATGAACCCCAAGAAGGTCATTGATATGTGAAATTGAACCCCAAGAAGGTCTTTATTGTGTAAAATGAAGCCCAAGACGGTCTTTGTTATGTAAAATGAAACCCCAAGAGCGTCTTGCGCCAAAAAGGCCCTTTATGATGGGGGGCGGAGTTCACTACATGCGACGAGCTGGCTCAGGAAGACCTTGTGCATGAATGCTTGATGTGCAAGAGCACATGCCGGCCTGGGTTTTCATTGCAGAGTGTAGGGTTACCAAGCACCCGAAGCCCTACACCAACTCCCAAGAACAGCAACTCCGAAGCGACGGTGGAAACCCTTGAGCTTAGGATCTCCAAGAGTGGGGAGAACATCAAGCCCAACTTTTTCAAGGGCCTCTCGGCTTATGTCATCGAGCTGCCGCAAAAGGGGGCTGGACCACCCAAGCTGCCAGTGATCATCATGGCAGCCCTCTAAGTATTTCATCAGAGATGCGAAGATGCTGTGGAAGCTTGGGGGCGTGGCTGGTCAGAGGGAGTACTCGTCGCTGCTATAGAGTGAAACATCCTCTGTATGGGCGACAGGTCTGCGAACATCGCGCCCTTCACCTCGACTTTGAAACAGAGCCAAGCCCAACCTCTCGTAACCCCCCAAAAACCACAATCCCCTAAATCTGAACTGCCCGAAAAGTGAGGCAAGCTGCTGATCTCTGGTCGGGTTGAGCGGCTCGGGGCGGACGAGACCATGATGCCCGCAGGGATTACCACTGCCAGAAGCGCCTGGGCTTGGAAGAGCGGTTCTGAAGCCCCTTGGAAGCCTGTTTTTCCTTTTTTGGGAGACGAAGCTTCTTCAGCTGTTGATCCGAACCACGCTGCAAACTGAAGGGGGCATTACACCAGCACCCTAGGTGCTGTGGAGCCGAGAAATATGCAGCTGGCGCTGTTAGCCGATGTCTACGAGGTCGGACCTGGGATTCGGGTCGACCTCGCTGGGCCGAAGGGGAGCGCTTTAGTTTAGAGGGGTATCTGAAACTATCATGAACAGACTACTTTGAAACTTGGACCGCCCTTTGCCCTTTGCAACGGCACTTTGCGTTTCAAGATTCCGAAGGCCACTGCAAATGGGTATTTCCCACAATAGGGCTACCCCTTTTAAAAAACCCAACTAGAATACAATCCCCTTAAAAGGGACCCCCCCCAAAAAAGGGTATCCCAACTTTTTGAAACCCCCCCCCCCCCCCCCCAAAAAAAAAGCCCTAAAGTTCAAGCTGCCACGCGCTGGCGAGGTGTGCGGAGCCACCGGTCGTGAATGCCAGGTACAGCTCGCCTTTGGGAGCCTTGCCTCGGGTTTTTAAGGCTATAGCCCCCTTTCTATTTATATAAAACCCAAAGAGAATATTGAAAATAGTATTTTTATTAAGGTTCTAAGGGGAGTATTTTTGAGCTTGCCCCAGGGCCACTTGAAGGGAAGCTGGCTTTTTAGTCGGGAGCCGTATGTGTTGGTTCAGTGTTCGTGTCACACTCCTAAACCCTAAACCCTAAAGCCTAAACCCCACAACCACCCAGCCTACACCACCCCCCACGCGCCCAGGAGCAGCACCAAGGAGACAAAGGACTGGGTTTCACCCGGTGGCCTGGACAAGATCGCGGCCATCGAGGCCCACGGTAAAGGGGCCCCCTGGCTGCACAGTGGTTTAGGGTTTAGGGTTTAGGGTTTAGGGTGGTTTAGGGTGGTTTAGGGTGGTTTAGGGTTTAGGGTTTAGGGTTTTTCAAAAAGGTTTTAGGGTCGCGCTCTTGTGCACGGGATGCCGACTGGAATGGCAGAATGGCAGAAGGAACAAACCACAAGCGGAACTTTTGCAAGCGAGAAAGTGAAGCAACGCGAAGGACTGCGAATGCCCAATTGTGGACAGGATTGGCACGGCTTTCTGTCGCAGAGAGCTTGTATCCGCATCATGCCGACAGACAAAGTTCGTCATCGCAGCTCTTGGGCTTCGTGTGACTTTGCTCCATGAAACCAGATTGCTAAAAGCCGAGGTCCTGATTAATGACTACGGCGAAGATGATAAGGTTTTCGACGTGGAGGAGGTCACCACCTTCAGTTTCACACAGGACCTACATTGATTGCAGAAGGGGTCTTCCAAGACCCTCCACTTCGAAAGGGTAGTGGTCGTGCTGCAGCTACACATACTAAGATGCACTATAGGCCTCCTGTTGTGACTTGCACCTGTTGCAACAGATTCTTGAGTTGTTCAGGCCCTGGGCCCTAAACCTTCTATCAACTTTCACTCCCTTGGCTTCAGAGGTGTAGTCAGCCCTTGAAACCTCAGACCTCAGAGTCCTAAGACACAAAAAGATCCGGAAGTCATATCTGCAGATTCAGGATGGGGCTCTTCAAGGTTATCCCTGCCTGATGCTCCTCTATAGACAACCTTTCGACACTCACAAAGTGTGTCCTCCCCCAAAACCCCCGGAAACCAAGCCTCAACCGCACCCGAAGGGCAACATCACGAAAACTACGCCCTCCCCTCAAAACATGCCCAAATCCTTGAAAACCAAGTTTTTATGTCCCCAGAGAGAGACACCCCAGCAGGTGCCAGAACCCTAAACCGTAAACCCTAAACCCTAAATCCTAAACCCTAAGCCCTAAACCCTAATCCCTAAACCCTAAACCCTAAACCCCCCCCCCCTCTTTGCAGGAACAGGGTCGCATCGACCCCATCCTCACCATGGCGCCGGAGGAAGCCAAGTCGCAGCCCCTGGTCATGGTGCGACTTGGGGGGGTTAGAGTCTAGGGTTTAGGGTTTGGCGAGGTCTCTTGGAAAAGGGTTTAGGGTTTCGGAACTGTGGGGCGGGGGGGGGGGGTCAGAAGAAGCTGGGCAGAAGCCTCCCCTGAATAAGAGTGCCCTGAGGCATGTAAGGTCTTGCCTTACTTAGAGGGGGCCATTTCTGTGGATTTTTTTTTGGCCAGGGGGGGGGGGGGGGGGGGGGGGGGGGGGGGGGGGGTAGCTTGGACGAAGGTATCTGGTTTTGTAGGCTTCAAGAGGCCCGGGCATGCGTGCGATGTGTTTTCGAGCCTAAACCCCTAAACCCTAAACCCTAAACCCTAAACCTAAACCCTAAACCCCAAACCCTAAACCCTAAACCCTAACTGTTGATGTTTATTGGGAGAAGAAAGCTGACGAGAGCCATGTCCAGAGGCCCCAAACCCTGCTTAGGGTTTAGGGTTTAGGGATGAGGGATTTAGGGATTAGGGTTTAGGGTTCCCTGCAGGTCAATGTCTATACCCGCGGCGTCCTCTCTGGAAAGGTCCGCGTGGGCTATGCCATGAGGCAGCTGGAAAATTTCCGAAAGTACGAGCCCGGAAGCTTGGCCGAACGTCGAGAGGCTTCGGGGAAAAGTCGTTCTTCAAGACAGTGGTGCCCCCGGCTCCAAGCACTTGACAACAACATCCAGACCATATTAAACATCTTTTACACGTATGTACAGGTATATGTATATTCATGTTTTATTATGCGAGTATATGCATACATGATGTGTATAAACTTGTTTTACACGTATGTGAACCCACTCCCACTCCTTCACAGTCTCATAGGGACAGGGGAGAGAGACGGGCTGAGCCTGCCGAGGAAACCCTGGGCGGCCGCGCTACATACCGTTGGAACCCATGCCGTCACGTGGCGGGAAGTATATTATGAGGTATCTAAGCCCTTCAAGCTCTTCAGGCACGGTTTACTGAACTTCACCGCCTTTTATCCTCCAAGCCTCTTCTCTGCAAACATTCTTGGAGCAAGTTGGCATCGTAACAGCCCATGTTGGCCACGAGCAAGGCCGGACCCCAGAATCAAGAAGGGCCTGCGCCTAAGCCCTAAACCCTAAACCCCAAACCCCAAACCCTAAACCCTAAACACATAGGTTCAACATGCATGCCCGGATTCCTGGCTCTGTCCTCATGGTCATTGAGCACTTCTCCACGGACGATGTGCCGCGACACAACCGAAGGCCTTGGAGTGACCATTGCCCAAAGATCCAAATCCAGTGCAAAAACTTAGTAGCTGAGTGAGCACACTTTACACTTTTTTGGGATACTATGATCCCCTACAGAACTGAAAGTGTACACTGTTTTTTGGTGCTTATGAACTCAGCAACTAGGAAAAAGTCCTGCCTTCCTCAAGATGGTGTTGCTGTTTCGGGGTCTAGATGCGATGTTTGGTGAAGCTTTTCGCTGGTTTCCCTGCAGTTTGTACTGATGAAGTGCCTCGGCGCAGTGTGAAATCAGTTTTTCACAGCCAGCCATCGAACTTCTTGCAACTGTGCTTCAATCACCGGGTTCATGTGCCCTGGTCACTTCTGTCACACTGGCTGTTGTCTTGTGCCGCTTAAAAGACGTATTTCCGGAAGCAATCATGCTTCGGTGGGGCTTTGTCATGCGACCTCACGCTTTGATCTAAGCTAAGAGCCTCCCAAATTGATCGCAGGACAGTGAAACCAATGGTCTACATTGTCCGGGCGTACGTCTTCATGGCACGCAACATCAAGGCGGATCCTAGAACATCGATACGCGCGTCGTTACGATTGGGAGGTTGGTTGAGAAGGAGCAAGTCGTTGTCAGACAGGGACATCGAGTAGGTCTTGCCAATCAACCAGCAAGTCTCCGAGAGCAAGTCCGAATAAAGCTAAGGGGGGTGTGAAGAATGTGTGAGGTACAAAAGGTGTACAATGGGCCCTGTATCCCTGTGGGCCTGTGGGTTAATGGGCAAGAGAGGAACTCTTTGTGTTTATTCTTTGCTTTTTTTCTTGATCCAGTACATGTAGAAGGTGCACGCAGAGAAGCGAACGAGCACTTTTTTATGCCCAGAGTCGGGACGAACAATGGACCTGTAGTTAGCAACTGGCATCAACGCTGAGAGTGCTCACATCAGATTTTGCCAGGTGAGCAGTTTTCCGAGTTGCCTCTGCGACTTTATGTGCTTCGTTCCTTACGTAGCACCAACTTTCGGAGTAAGCGTCTGCCGATGTGTGATTTTGCCCGCTCTGCCCTAATCCCTGAAACTTCTGAAAGTGCAGGTGGACACTGCTGGAGCAAACCTCGCTCTGCGCGTGGCATGCGCTGGCATCTCCAAGACGACAGAGCCAGAGTTCGGGCAGGTGCCGGCTGACTCGGTAATATAGGGGTCGGAATAATGACTAATAGTATTCCCTTATGGTCCCTTTAGAAATGTACTAGAATAATCCCCCAAAACCCCATTCTAGAGGCCCCTTACAGTAGAACTCAGCCATACTGGCAAGCATTCTTTGGCAAGTGCACTGCAACAGTGCTCAGAGGTCGAGAGAGTGCTCAGAGGTCGAGGTGCCATGCGGGGCATATTTTGTGTGACAGATTTTCAGGTGCGGCCCATGTGGATGAAGCCCCTTGAGTTGAGAGTCACCCTCTGCTCGGACCACCCCAAGGACACCTTTCCTTGGCGTTTGAGAAAGGTTCCGGAAGGTCTCGCAACGTTTTGCCCCTCCCCAGACACATGGACAAGAGGGTTCCAGGACAAGAGAGTACACCCTCAACTCTCTATTTTGCCAGTCTGCAGCCGTGCGACGAAAAGCTTCAAAAGCAAATCCCAAGCCCATGAAAACCCAAAAAGCCACCTACGCCTACGCACCTTCGGCAAGCCCGTAGGCCCCCCCGCCTTAGCTCTTTAGGCTTCATTTCGCGAGAGGAGCCACCAACCATGGAGCCCATAACTGTGACCCTCTTGGACAGCAAGACGATTTTGGGAGTCAAGGCACATCACAGGGTTAAGGGCTTATGGTTTGCTGTGCCGGGACTGTAGGGGCCTGCTTCAACAAAGCAGGCGTTGACGTCCGTTGATCGTTACCAGAACCTCCCTGTTGGGCCCTTGCTCGACCATGTAGATACCGCCAGCCTATCGAAAATCTTACTGCAGCAGTCCTGAGAATCCTGAAAACAGCAAAACTTAAGATGACCCTAGCGGCCCTAGCAGGCACAGGCGAGGAGCTGGGAAAAGTATTTTACAACAAATGCACCCTAGGCCGTATGAATCCCTTCGCCGTCAAGAGAATCAGTCTGCATGAGTACGTATCGGAGATCACTACCCCGCTGGTTTCCTGCTTGGTGAGTGATGGCCAAGATGATTCCTGCAATTCCCCGCGCGTCTTCCAATCTTTGCTGCCGGGGATGAGTGCCTCCTCTGAACCCAGGCCGATAGAGACATCGGCAAGACTGTCTGCACCTACGAGCTCCTTGGGCGCCAGTGAGGGGTGGGTGCGTGTCGTGCTTAACGGCTTCTAGGGATGTGTGTATTGGCTTGAAGGGGAAAAACCAAGATGTGCCGTGCACCTGCGCACTCCCGTTGGCTATGTTTAGGGAGCAGGGCTTGTGAGAAAAAGGTGCCAATTCCATTTTCCCTTGGTGTGACTTGACATCCTCGCAGAAGTGTTGCCTTTGTCCCAAGGCCCCTGTTATTTTCAATGGCTTCAGGTACATGCGGCAGAAGGACAACATGGGCAGATGGGAACCCTTCCGCCACTTGCACGACGATGGCCTTGTAGCCTTTGCCTCAACCCCTCCCTCCCTCAGCTCGGCAAAAGGTTTGGGGTTTAGGGTTTGGGATTCATGGTGTGTGGCTCCTACTATAGGCTGGCTGGCCCGAACAGGCCCCATGATTTGAGGATATTGAGGGTGCCTCAAGTTCAAGGCTGACGAACTACACAAGGCTTACCGAGGATGTTTGGTGCCCGTGCCGTGTCCAGCGTCATGATTCCAAAAGCCCAAGCCACAATCCAAATGCCGGCAACGGGGCCAGACGGGCTTTGAAAGCAACAGTTAGTTTCTGAAGCTTTTGGGTACCAGGGACGTTGTAGTCTCAAAAAAAAGTCCAAGTGCCGTTTCCCTAAACGTTAAGTCCGAAAGCGCCCTACTCAAAGTCCTATAATTACGCCCTTCCGCCTTGTTCATCTAGGCTTGAAGCCTCAGTGGGTGCAGCTTTTTGGCGGGAACTATGGCAGCGTGGCCATGGGTGAGGTCCTCATAGGCTGGACGGATGGGAGGATGTTTCGGGCCTGGGCTCTAAGAAGCACGCCTTCATCATGTGCCGCCATGACTCATACCCGACATTGCAGGGAGCCGTCGCCTAAAATCTCCGCAGAGATATGTGTAGGAAAGCATGTATATCCCAGTTTTGCATGTCCCAGGGTTCTGACATCTAAAGGTCTTCTGAGGGTCGGGGCGGCCCTACAGAATCCCTGGACCCAACGCAGGCTTTGAGCTGCTTCATTCCAAGTTCCGGGCCGATTTGCCTGCCATCCAGATGTGGCCGGTGCCGGAGGCATCGGCTTTAAGCAATTGAGGGTTTAGGGTTGAGGGGCTTGCCCTAAAGTGGGGCTTCGGAACCGTTAGGCCGTAAGGTTCTGGGGTGTGGCTTCTTTTCGCGAAATTACTGGCTTCTGGTGTGATGGAGAGAGAACGGCCAAGACACGTGTGCGCTTCGGAGTTTCCAGCCCGCGCGGTCAGGTAGATACAGAAGGAGACGGTCGAGAAAAAAACACCAGAGAGCAGCCCTCCCACAAACCCGTCAGCCGGTGGTGAAGCCTTCAGTGCATTTGTTGTCTGTGCTGGTGCTTGTGGTACGAGTGATTCGTGGGGAGGTGAAAGAGCTGCCAAGAAGTCAAGAAGGTAGCAGTCGATAGCAAAGAGCGGCGTCGGATTGTGTGGCTCCCAAGTGAACCTGCCGGCAAAAATGGATGGGTGGGGGGGCCAGGGTGATGATGGAGGGGGCCTCTTCCAGACGCCTCCGAATGCAGTGCGGAACGTAGTCAGCTAGGCGGGCGGCAAACATCAAATTAGCACGACTCTCGTCCTTCAACCACTCAAACGCCTTCGCAGGAGGAGTTCGATCAAAAGAAGCATTTCTCCAAGCTGAAGAAGGCCACCCTCCACTTCTCACTGCACCTTGGACGTCTGCTTTCTGAAGGTTGTTCTCAAGATGTGAGAACTTCGGGCACATTGGGGTTCATAGCCTCTGTAAGAGGCAAGTATGCTATCAACAAGCCTATTTTGGTGTAGACCTCACAAGCCCGGACTACATGGAGTGGCCTGGGCAGTGGCTCGTCCGAGGTACGGCTTGCGAGACTTGATCCCCATGGGCGGCCGCAGTGAGGAGCCCCTGGTGAACGTGCGGGTGAAGAAGCCTCTTGCGTGCAATTCTGGATTCAGACAGAGTTTTATAGGGTGCAGTGCATAGGGTCAGGGAGGCTGGAGTTCAGAGCTGATTCTGTGGGAGGTTCTGACATTGCAAATCCTGTAAATAAGCGCGGTGGCCACTGCCGCCATCTTGCACCTTCGACCTGCTGGACCCGATCCCCGGGGCCCTAAACTCTATTAGCCCCTCTTTGCCGTGTCCGAGCATGGCACCGTTCAAACACAAAGTAGGCCTGAAACCTGAACCCAGCTTTAGCTTTCCCAGGGCGACATCCCCGCAGTGTTGCTCGCCGTTCCACTGTGAATCAAGAAGCCCCGCATGTCTGAATGTCAGCATTGAGACCAAAGGTGCGTCAAGCCCCGCCAACTCTGATTCAAAGCCCATCTCCAAAGGTTCGAGCGGCCAGGCGGCGAGGGTGGGGAGAAGCGCAGCAAGCAACTTGGAGCTACGAACAAGTCACACCACTAAGCCTCACTAAGCCTTTCGTGGCTCGGTTTTTAGCGCTGCCCGACGGGGATTGTCACATGTCGCAAGGACATGACAAGGCCCACTCACTCATGTGCCACAATCTTCCTCTACTTCAAGATCCTGCGCTTTCCAACCGACCTTGCCCAGGTACTACTCGATGAACTTCAAGTACGAGAAGCTGGTGGAAGAGGGGCAGGAGGACAACAAAGACGATCACCTTCACAAATGGAAAACCGACGCGCTGGGTCAGCAGGGCTGCCGAAACTTCGAGTGCCTTTGCTGAAGGAGTGGTTGGGCAGATCCATGGTGCGTTTATCTCTCTTTCTTTTGCCTTAGATTCTTAGATGTGGAGAGTATGTAGAAGCTGCTTGCAGACATGGTGATCGTGGCCGCCTGAGGCGTGGATAGGCGTAGGAGCGGTAAGAGTAACAGAGCCGAAGCCGCCATTATGAGATTCAATTCGAACTTGTCTCAAGCTAGAAGATTACGGAAAGATTGACTGAATTCCACAGCACCTTCATGTTGCCAAATCCCCTGCAGCTTGCAGCGAAATTGTTAAGTGAACGTTGCGGGATGACACCATTATGGCCCAGCGCTCACCTCGGCCTGATCCCACGGCTGGATTTTGCACTGCAGTCCCAACCATATAAGTCCGAAACCGACGTGGAGCAGTGCTAGTAGGGTTGAAGGAGCTTCTGGGGCCCCTGTAAGGAATGGTGTCGGGAGTGGTATTTTTAGGGTTAAATTACGTTGATGTTTTAAAACATGCTGTTTTCAGACTTAGCAAGCATCTGATAGGTATCCTTTCCAATCCTCCAGGCAGCTGCTCAGACTGTCGTTTGAGGTTCTTCCAGGTCCAGAAGGTGAATGTGCTGCTTCCTGACAAGGTGGCGTTCAGCTGTGTGCAGGGAGCATGGATTCGGACTCGGACCTTAAGGAGTTTTTGGGTAGAATGACCCCAAACCATTTCTCTAGCAGCTGGAAAAGGAGAGCACCTTTGGGAGTGAGTGATTTGCGCTACGAATCCCCCGAAAGGCTCTTGCGGTGGTAGCTTGGCTCAGGGTTTCGGGAGAGTTCCAAACCAGGAAATCCTCCAACCATTTATCGCCATCCGCGTGCTGGAGAAGCCCCTGGGGCCCTATTGGAAATACGGTTTTTCCGCTTGGCCATTCGTGCTTCGAAGGGGTGGGTTTAGATCCCAGCATCGGGCAATACCCTGACTCCTACACCCTTTGGGCTGTTCAGGTTTAAGACTTGGGCCATGGTTTCAGTGTCCCTGCAACTATTCCTTGCCAAGGCCCGTGGAGCTCTTCCAGGGCACATCACTGCAGCTGATGCCCTTTGGGAACGAGGGGACGCCCGGTGGAGCAGTCTTTCTGGTTTAGCACTCCTAAAACCCTTAGGATGGTTGATGCGTGCGGTTGACTCGTGACAGAATGGCTCTTTGGCTTCTGCAGCACGAAGCCGAAGTCGGAAGAGCGTTGGATGCTGCCTTCAATGGAACTCAGGATGTGACTTCGTGTTAAGGTTGCGCAGGGGTGTGTTCTCCACCCAAAGTCCCCTGAAATTTTACGCAACTGCCCGGCTCGTTAACGCAGGCACCCTGAACGGCACCCGTGCACCCCGTGGTCCTGCTTGAGCTGTCTTATGAAGCCCTCCCGCACAAATCTAAGCCAAGGACCCTTGTGGGCGAGAGCCGGCAAAGTCTGAACAGCCTGTACCCGTGCACCTGGTACGAGGGCGTGACGCTGGATTATCCTTACACCTACCAGGAGTGCAGCTTTCAAAGTTGGTCCGAACCACGCCGTAGCCCGATCGGGTGTTCCGGCTCAGGTCCCTGGTGTTGAAGGGGTCTTCTGTCTCAAAAGTCGGCTTGCGAGTTGCGAACTCGAGTTATATGCCAGCTGCTTCTGCACAGCTATGTTTGCGCTGCATGCAACCCTTACGCCCCTACACCCTCAACCTTGCGCTTCATTCGCCCGAGATCTGTGTGATGAGACCAAGGAAGACCTCAAGCCCTAAATCCTAAACTCCGGGCCTTGCCTTGAAATCAAAAGGAAACCGCAGTGAGAGGGTTTAGATGTAGTCCGGAACGTCCTAAGGGAGCCGCACCGACCCTCAGCCTTGCCTGTCTAAACTGGCCCAAATACAAGTAAGTGCCTGTACTATATCAAGCAGGCCCGAATACGCCCCTTACCCCCCCCTGATACCCCCCGCATACCCCGTATTTAGGGGTTAGGGTTTAGGGTTTAGGGTTTAGGATTTAGGTCCCGGATAGTCCCCCGCTCTCCACAGGAGAACAAGATCCGGAGAGGGGTTGATCGAGCCATCAAAGCCTGCGCCTCCAGGTTTCTGCCAAGGGGGAAGGGTTTAGGGCTTAGGGCTTAGGGTTTAGGGTTTAGGGTTTAGGGTTTAGGGTTTAGAGTCATGAGGGCTTCAGGGTTTCTTGGAGGTGACGGGGGTGGCTGCTCCCCGTTCCCCCCCCCCCCCTCCCCTTAACAGGGGGGTGTTTAGGGTCTAGGCACCCTGATGTAACGGATCACGCTAACAGGGCCCTGTGATATAAGGCAGCTTGCGTATTGGGCCTTTTTTGCTGGTGTTTCTGAATGGCCTCGTATGACTGCTTTGAGAAGTTCTTGATGTACAGAGTTTTCGCCCAACCGTGGCTTTCCCTTCGCCTCGATGGTGTGCTTACACAAGACTTGCTTCAGGGCATGAGTTTGGGGTTTAGGGTTTAGGGTTTAGGGTTTTTATGTTCATTGTTGATTTGCTGGGGAAGTTGTGCACAGGATGTGTGGTGTCGTACGTCGCGGTGTGAGTTTGGACACGTATGCAACAAAGTAGAACAACAAGGCACAAGGAATTGTTCAACTCCCGCATCTTGTGAGTCGAAGTTCGTGCAACAACGCCCTGAGACCCGCTAGGGCCGCTAGGGACTGGTTATGAGTCCAGGCCTTGGTCAGTTCAGCAGGGCTGTTTTCAACTCCTTCGCCCTCTGGCATCGTCTGTCCATGGTGCAGCTAGCTGCTGAGGGCAGCACCACCTGGGACCCTCTTTACCTACAGTTTTATGGGTTATATGCCTACTAATTAAGGGTATAGTTGCTACTAAACTGTAGGTAGAGCTCCAGAAAAACATTAAACCCCCGTGAAGGGCAAGCTCAGTAGCGCCGCGTCGCGGAGCCATGTGGCAACATGCAGACTACCCTAAACCCGAAACCCTAAATCCGAAGCCCGACACCCTGCATGTGCGCGCGCCATAGTTGAAAAAGAGCCGATAGCCGCCAGCAAACCCTCCAGTGGTGGCAAACAAGCCCGCCAGTGGTGTAAGCTCTTTGTGGGGTTCGGGTAGATAAGTTCTGCTAGGAGCTTCACCTTTCCCCCCTGACGGTCGAAAAGCCTGCGGGGTTTCTGCAGTTTGGGGTTTTAGAGAGGCCTTGATGCCAAACAGAGTTTTTGCAAGGACGGATCAGAGAAGGGGCCATAGCTCAAGCGTTGAGTGAGCCTGCTAGAGGGTCGAAGGGGGTGGGTGTATGCGGGCAGCTTTCAAATTTGAAGAATTTTGGGATCTGAGAGTTCGGAGTCCTTGCCCCCCATTTTGCCCTAAAACCTTATCCACAGGTCCCTGTACCAGGAGGAGTCCGCTGAGGACCCGGCCATGGATGATGTGGTAGCTCAGCACGCCAGGTTTTGGGGCAAAAGTCTCCTGTGGAGACATCTTTTTTTGTGGGTTTTAAGGGCTTTTTCCGAGTTGCCAGACCTCAAGATTCCGAGCGCGTCTGCTTCGACCTTGCTGAGCCTTCTCGGAACATGGTGTTGTGGGTTTGTCAACGGGGTTGTCTTAGGTGCTGATTCGGTAGGACTCTACAACCCTCAAGCCCCCCCCCCCCAGCTTCGCCGCAGAAGACCAAACGCCAAACCCTAAACCCTAACCCCCACGAGCAAACAACCTTTCGACACCCTAAGCCCTAAACCCTAAACAGGAGCGGGCCAAAGGACTGCAGGCTGAGAAGGAGGCCAGGCGGCAAGAACAGCTGGACTACATGAAGTCCTTGACCCCCGTCTCCAGAAGCAGGGTTTTGGGTTTCGGTTTAGGGGTTGTGGGGTTTAGCGATTTAGGGGTTTGGTTAGGGACGGTTTAGGGTTTAACTTGGGCTCAGTTAGGGCATTTTGGGGGGGAAAACAGGCGGTGCGTAAAGGGCTCGTGTGTGACTCGGCCTCCGAAGGTTGGCAGTTCGGCTGGGGAGCATCTGAGGAGTTCAGGGCTTCTGTTATAGGGGAGGGTTCGTGGTTTAGGGTTTAGAGTTTAGGGTTTAGGCTTTTGGGGGGAGCAACCAAGAGCTGCGAAGCCCGGCTGAAGAATGTCGTTTTGCTCATGTTGAGTGTGTTCGCGAGAAAGTCGCAAGGCTTGCTCCCACCCTTTTCACCCTAAACCCTACACCCAAAGGAGCACGCCATGAAAAGGATTGGCGAGGCTTTCGATCGTAACCACGAGGGCTGGGTCCGAGAGTTGTTGCTGAACACATCAGAGTCTAGGGTTGATGATTTGTCATCGCAGTTGTTTGGCGGCTACATGTTCCAATACGTTAGAACCACAACCGAATGTTCGAAATACCGCTTGCCGTACGCCGTGAGTCTCTCAACAAGCTGAAGCATAGTACGTCCCCCCACCTGGAAAAAGTGTCCAAACCTGGGCAAAAACCGATACCACAAGTGTAAGGAGAAGGATATATGAGCACGTATAGCTGCACAAGTATGTGCTAAACTATGCCAACTAAATTTTCAGTTTGTCAGTTTGTTCCTGGGCTTATGGGCTCAGTGCGCGTGAGCGAGGTCGGTAAAACTCATCTTGAGTGGGCAGTGGCAGTGCTGATGAATTCCTGCACATGTCGCTAGCAACCTTGACCCTGAGCGCTCCAGGCCCACAAGAAACGAGCATTAAACATACCTGCCCTAAACCCTAAACCCTGAACCCTAAACCCTAAACCCTTTTGAGGATCAGCATGGAAGAGGAGAAGGCAGAGAAGATCGACTCGAGGGCTATGCCTTTGGAGCTGAGACCCTTCAGAGCCGTCTACAACCCGAATGGGTGCCATGTCTGTGGGCACAGGGGCACAAGATTCTTTTCGGGAGGCACTAGGGAGCAGCCGCGGCTCAATTTTGACAAGAGGGCTTTGGCCTACTGTAATCCTCAACAGTTGAGATCTCAACCTCCAGGGGCCTAGGGGTGTTCAAAGCACCTTCCCGCTGAAGCACATTGCATGCCCCAATCACAATGCCCTATGTTGCAGCGGCCCTGAAGCATCCATCTTTGGCATCCAAGAAATCGTATCATGAGCCCTGGGCCCCAGCCCGTTCAGAGATGGGCAGCCTACTTGTCACACGGGCCCAGTGTTCAAAGTTGGATCACCAAGGTACCTGCCCAATGATAAGGAGTGCCTGCGGGTGCGTGAGGAGCACTCGCTGAACATGGAGCACTTGAGCCTTGGCATTGAGTTCTTCACTTCTGTCTGCTTTCCGTACGAGAGCAGCACATCAACCCTAAACCCTAAACCCTAAACCCTAAACCCTAAACCCTAAACCCTAAACCCTAAACCCTAAACCCTAAACCCTAAACCCTGGACTGTTCTGAAGGAAGGATAACTTTTTCAAAAGTGCAAGGCGGACCTTGGCAAGGGCTCGCTCATTCTCACTTCGGACCCCCTCTTTGAAGTGTAGCTAAACCTGGACCTTGGGGCTCCAAGTATGCAAATCACACCTACTTAACTTGGGTCTAAAACAATTTCCCGGATGATTGCCTCCTCATTTTGCCGGAGCCTACACAAAGCATACCCGCTTTGGGGTCGAAGGTCTACAGAATAACTACCTCCCTATCATTCCGGGACCCGCCCCCCCCCCCCCCCCCCCCCCCGGGGTGTGCAGCTTAAATAGGGTCTATTTGGAAGCTGAGACTCGTGTTTTAAAGAGCAAATCAGGCCCCAAAACGTATACTTATTTACAAGAGACAACTTCTCAATAGACCCTATTTTAGGTTCTGTAGGGTTGCCAAGACAGAATTTAATTCAATTAATTCAATTAATTAATTTATTTACACTTGGGGAGGTTGAATTAATTGAATTAATTGAATAAATTCAATTAATTCACCCCCCCCCCTTTTGGAATTAATTGAATTAAATGAATTAATGGAATTAATTGAATTAATGGAATTAATTGAATTAATTGAATTAATTCAATTAATTCCAAATGAGGGGTGAATTAATTGAATTAATTCAATTAATTCAGTTAATTCAATTAATTCAATTAATTCAATTAATTCAATTAATTCAATTAATTCAAATGGGGGGGTGGGGGGCTCGGGGCTGGGGGCGGGGGGGGGGGCACCATTTGGAAATAATTGAATTAATTGAATTAATTCACCCCCCCCCCTTTTGGAATTAATTGAATTAAATGAATTAATGGAATTAATTGAATTAATGGAATTAATTGAATTAATTCAATTAATTCAATTAATTCCAAATGGGGGGTGAATTAATTGAATTAATTCAATTAATTCAATTAATTCAATTAATTCAATTAATTCAATTAATTCAATTAATTCCAAATGGGGGGGGGCACCATTCCGGGCTCGTAAATTAGTATTGCGGGGAGGCCCGGGCTCGTGATTTAGTATTGGGGGGAGGCCCGGGCTCGTGATTTAGTATTGGGGGGAGGCCCGGGCTCGTGATTTAGTATTGCGGGAAGGCCCGGGCTCGTAATTTAGTATTGGGGGGAGGCCCGGGCTCGTGATTTAGTATTGGGGGGAGGCCCGGGCTCGTGGTTTAGTATTGGGGGGAGGAGGATTCCCCAGCCCCCACCCCCCATTTGGAAATAAATGAATTAATTGAATTAATTGAAATAATTGAATTAATTCAATTAATTCAATTAATTCATTTATTTCCAAAGGGGAGGTGGAATTAATTGAATTAATTGAATTAATTCAATTATTTCAATTAATTCAAATAATTCAATTAGTTCAATTAATTCAATTAATTCAATTATTTCCAAATGGGGGGGATTCCCCAGCCCCCACCCCCCCCCCTTTGGAAATAAATGAATTAATTGAATTAATTGAAATAATTGAATTAATTCAATTAATTCAATTAATTCCACCTCCCCTTTGGAAATAAATCCATTAATTGAAATTCAATTAATTCAATTAATTCAATTAATTCAATTAATTCATTTATTTCCAAAGGGGGGGGGGGGGTGGGGGATGGGGAATCCCCCCCATTTGGAAATAAATGAATTAATTGAATTAATTGAATTAATTGAAATAATTGAATTAATTCAATTAATTCAATTAATTCCACCTCCCCTTTGGAAATAAATGAATTAATTGAATTAGTTGACTTAATTCAATTAATTCAATTAATTCAATTAATTCAATTAATTCATTTATTTCCAAAGGGGGGGTGGAATTAATTGAATTAATTTAATTAATTGAATTAATTGAATTAATTCAATTAATTCAATTAATTCAATTAATTCAATTAATTCAATTAATTCATTTATTTCCAAATGGGGGGGATTCCCCAGCCCCCACCCCCCCCCCGTGTGCAGCTTAAATAGGGTCTATTTGGAAGCTGGGAATCGTCTTTAACAAGAGGAAAACAGGCCCCAAAACGTATTTTGCCAGGCAGTCTGCGGGCAAAATTTGGCCAAATCGAGCCACGCATTTCTCATCGCATACGAAGGGCAGCCCGATTTGGCCAAATTTTGCCCGGAGGCTGCCCGGCAAAATTTGGCCAAATCGAGCCGCGCCTTTCTGGAGGCCCGAAATTATTTAAACTATCGCGGCTCGATTTGGCCAAATTTTGCCGGGCAGCCTCCGGGCAAAATTTGGCCAAATCGAGCCACGCATTTCTCATCGCATACGAAGGGCAGCCCGATTTGGCCAAATTTTGCCCGGAGGCTGCCCGGCAAAATTTGGCCAAATCGAGCCGCGATAGTTTAAAAATTTCGGGCCTTCAGAAAGGCGCGGCTCGATTTGGCCAAATTTTGCCCGGAGGCTGCCCGGCAAAATTTGGCCAAATCGAGCCGCGCATTTCTCATCGCGTTCGACGAGCAGCCGGATTTGGCCAAATTTTGCCCGCAGACTGCCCGGCAAAATCTGGCCAAATCGAGCCGCGCCTTTCTGGAGGCCCGAAATTATTTAAACTATCGCGGCTCGATTTGGCCAAATTTTGCCGGGAAGTCTGCGGGCAAAATTTGGCCAAATCGGGCTGCTCGTCGTACGCGCTGAGAAATGCGCGGCTCGATTTGGCCAAATTTTGCCGGGCAGCCTCCGGGCAAAATTTGGCCAAATCGAGCCACGCATTTCTCATCGCATACGAAGGGCAGCCCGATTTGGCCAAATTTTGCCCGGAAGCTGCCCGGCAAAATTTGGCCAAATCGAGCCGCGATAGTTTAAATAATTTCGTTCAATTAGTTCATTCATTTCCAAATGGGGGGGATTCCCCAGCCCCCACCCCCCCCCCTTTGGAAATAAATGAATTAATTGAATTAATTGAACTAATTGAATTAATTGAATTAATTGAATTAATTCAATTAATTCAATTAATTCATTTATTTCCAAAGGGGAGGTGGAATTAATTGAATTAATTGAATTAATTCAATTATTTCAATTATTTCAATTAATTAAGACTTCAATGAATTCAATAATTCAATTAATTTCGAAAATTAATTAATTTATTTCCAGAAGGGGGGGGGTGTGGGGGCTGGGAAATTCCCCCAAATTGGAAATAAATGCAGTAATTGAATTAATTGACTTAATTGAAATAATTGAATTAATTCAATTAATTCAATTAATTCCACCTCCCCTTTGGAAATAAATGAATTAATTGAATTAATTGTAATTCAATTAATTCAATGAATTCAATTAATTCAATTAATTCAATTAATTCAATTAATTCAATTAATTCAATTAATTCAATTAATTCAATTAATTCATTTATTTCCAAAGGGGGGGGGTGGGGGCTGGGGAATCCCTTCCATTTGGAAATAAATGAATTACTTGAATTAATTGAAATAATTTTAATTAATTCAATTAATTCAATTAATTCCACCTCCCCTTTGGAAATAAATCAATTAATTGAATTAATTGAATTAATTCAATTATTTCAATTCATTCAATTAATTCATTTATTTCCAAATGGGGGGTGGGGGCTGGGGCATCCTCCTGCCCCCAATACTAAACCACGAGCCCGGGCCTCCCCCCAATACTAAATCACGAGCCCGGGCCTCCCCCCAATACTAAATTACGAGCCCGGGCCTTCCCGCAATACTAAATCACGAGCCCGGGCCTCCCCCCAATACTAAATCACGAGCCCGGGCTAAATCACGAGCCCGGGCCTCCAAATTACGAGGCCGGGCCTCCCCCCAATACTAAATCACGAGCCCGGGCCTCCCCCCAATACTAAATCACGAGCCCGGGCCTCCCGCAATACTAAATCACGAGCCCGGGCCTCCCCCCAATACTAATTTACGAGCCCGGGCCTCCTCCCAATACTAAATCACGAGCCCTCCTCCCCCCAATACTAGGGCACAGTTTTTGCTCCAAAAAGTGACATCGCAAGCCCTGGTCCCTAAGATTTTGAGCTCATTTCTTGCCCCAAAGAGTAACATCGCAAGCCCTGGTCCCTAAGATTTTGGGCTCATTTCTTGCCCCAAAGAGTAACATCGCAAGCCCTGGTCCCTATTATTTGGGGCCCAGTTTTTGCTCCAAAGAGTCAAATCGCAAGCCCTGGTCCCTAAGATTTTGGACTCAGTTTTTTGCTCCAAAGCAAGCCCTGGTCCTTAAGATTTTGGGCTCATTTCTTGCTCCGAAGAGTCAAATCGCAAGCCCTGGTCCCGAAGATTTCGGGTTCAATTTTTGCTCCACAGAGTCAAACCGCAAGCCCTGGTCCCTAGGATTTGGGGCACAGTTTTTTGCTCCAAAGGGTCAAATCGCAAGCCCTGCTCCCTAAGATTTTGGGCTCATTTCTTGCCCAAAAGAGTGACATCGCAAGCCCTGGTCCCTAAGATCTTGGGCCCAGTTGCTCCAAAGAGTCAAATCGCAAGCCCTGGTCCCTAAGATTTTGGGCCAAGTTTTTGCTCCAAAGGGTCAAATCGCAAGCCCTGGTCCCTAAGATTTTGGGTTCAATCTTTGCTCCAAAGAGTAACATCGCAAGCCCTGGTCCCTAAGATTTGGGGCCCAGTTTTTGCTCCGAAGAGTCAAATCGCAAGCCCTGGTCCCTAAGATTTTGGGTTCAATTTTTGCTCCAAAGAGTGACATCGCAAGCTCTGGTCCCTAAGATTGGGGGCCCAGTTTTTGCTCCAAAGAGTGACATCGCAAGTCCTGGTCCCTAAGATTTTGGGTTCAATTTTTGCTCCAAAGAGTGACATCGCAAGCCCTGGTCCCTAAGATTTGGGGCCCAGTTTTTGCTCCAAAGAGTAACATCGCAAGCCCTGGTCCCTAAGATTTTGGGTTCATTTTTTGCTCCAAAGAGTGACGTCGCAAGCCCTGGTCCCTAAGATTTGGGGCCCAGTTTTTGCTCCAAAGAGTGACATCGCAAGTCCTGGTCCCTAAGATTTTGGGTTCAATTTTTGCTCCAAAGAGTGACATCGCAAGCCCTGGTCCTTAAGATTTTGGGTTCGTTTTTTGCTCCAAAGAGTGAAATCGCAAGCCCTGGTCCCTAAGA